AATTTTAAATCAACAACATGGTTATAAGTAGCAGCCCCTAATAAACGTATATTTACGCTTTTTAGCGGTTGTTTTCATACAAATTTAAAATTTTTATGGAAAGATTACTCTTTCCTGAAGCCATCCAAGTGCCCGTGAAGCTAAACGGGTTTAAAGGGGTATGCACATGAAAATCTCGTAATTGCTGTGCTCTTTTAGCAAATATAACACTGTGACGTACCTAATGAACGATTATAGTCTCTTTTCATGTTAAAAATTTGTATACGAACTTTGTGTTACCGTGGGGTTTTTCCGTTTAAAATCGTAATTTATGACAAAATTTTTATGAATTTTCAAACTACTGTTAAAAAGGTTAAAAAAACAGTAAAAATGCTTTTTTATTGGCACGGCAAAAATATCTTTAATATTTTTTTTAAAAGTAACTTAAAGATCCTAATGTTTTAATTTAAAGGATGACATTTGTAAAACATTTTTAAATTTTAAATTTTAAAAATAAAATAATTATTTTTCAAAAAATTTTCCCAAAACCGAATTGTTAAATGTACTGCCAAATGTATACGCATTATAAGTAATCATTTTAATATATGCTTTCATTTCTTATTGAAAAATTTGGCTTATACTTTTATCGAAAATCAATTTCTAATTGCATGTACCTCCCTTTATTTACATGAAATGTAAATTCGGTAATATCTTTACAAATAATGCTTTTTGGAACTTACAATATTGATAAATCTTCATTTGAGCATCATATTTATGATATAAATCCATAACAATTTGAGCTACAGGTCTTTAAATGTCATGCATGGATCTGCCAGCTTTTGATATTTTCTGAATCCAAGATTGAGGATGAGCTTTGTGATAAACAGTTAAACAATATCTCTGAAACCACTGGCGAGAATATCATCAGTTTGGTTTCATGCATACTTACTAATCCTAGGATCATTTATTGATCAATATTAATTTTCCCCCTTTAGGTGCCACAAAAGTTTGAAAAATTCTTTGAGCATTACGAAAATATTTCGAACAATTTTGAAACACTTCTTTTCTTACTTGCAGAATTACATGGGTTCAGATAGTAGCTGTTTTAACTATGGCAACCAGAGTTCAGGCTTAAGTGGTCAGTTTTACAATCAAGGTGTGGCTCAGTCTATTGATTCAATGATGAGCTCTGCCTACATGCAACAATATCAGGGATCGTCATTTCCCCAACAGATTTCAGATGGAAATCATTTTCTCAATATGCGGAATTCCTTTCCATCATCCAGTTAGCTTCTGGATAGCAATCACAATCGTGCTTTTCTAAGGACAGGTTCCGGTTCCCCTTTTGATGGGCCAGACTAACATGCATCATTTCACATCCTCCATTTGAGAAATTCTGGTCAAATCCCCAAGAGGTGGCTAATAATATTTACATTATGCAGCATCATTCGATATTCCACAAATAATTACTGTACAAGTGCCATCTATCGAAAAATTAGATCTGCACCATTATCATATGCCAAATCAAGATTCACCAAATTACAATTCCAAAATTCAAGATAATCAACAGCTCATGTGTTCAGATTACAACCAAGGACAGTTTGCATACTCCCTAGCCCACCTCATCAGTCACAGCTGCACATGGCAGTCCAGGGATTCAAGACTGTACACCAATAAGTCCTGCCTCTGCGTCAGTATGATGTCTAGTCCACACTCCCACCATAGTGGACGTAATGTACCTAGCTTCCAGTCCATGTTCAATGCATAGTCCAAACAAAGGAGTGCGTGAGATCTCCAGGCCCAAATCCCCAACTTATAAATTCACCACAACGGGGTCAGTACCAAATGATGTCGCCAATGAATACCTCAAATCAAAGACTGATTTCTTCCCAATTCCTGCCAATCAGCAACTCAAAGTCTCTGTTCCGTCTTCCTTGCCACAAACTTTCCAGCAGTGTTACTATGGGAATATGATGAATACTTCGCAGTATCCAAACTTCCAGCAACCAATGTCTGTACAAATTTTCACCTAGTTCAATCTCACAACCCTCTACAAGTGGACAGTTAAGTAATTCCCCTGGTAATTTCCAGCACATTCCCCAGGTGGTCATTAGTGGGCATTTTTAGTAACATATCATCTCCCTACACTCCTGGATCAGGTAATTACCTTAGTCCAGGTCAACCTCATAATTCTCCATCTGTGTCTCAACATATGACTGATAGAAGTTTAGCAAGTTCACCAAACTTTAAAAAAATGTAATAGTCCTCTGCAGTCTCTTCAGAAACTGTGTATGCTACCAGAGGTTCAAGTTGTTGATCCTAAAACTGTAGTTAAAGAAGCTTGTGTTCATTCTCAAGGAGAATCATTAGAAGAAAAACTTTTAGAAAACAATTCGCCATTGCCTGTGTCTTTCAAGTGGCACACCATTGCTGATACCAATTTCTCATCAACCTTTAACGAATTAGCTCCTTGTAATTTTGAGTCTGAATTGACACAAAGTAATTCAGATAGAGCAGCTTGTGAGCCCCTAATGTAAAAATTTCAGCCAAAAGAAGTTATGTTACTAAAAGAAGCAAAAAATGATTTAAAGTTCACCTCAAAGTCAAGATACTGTTCAATATTTTAATGTTAGATCGGAGATTGATGATACAAAACAGTATACTTTTGGAATTAGTTGAAAGTATAGAAAGACAAATCAAAGGGAAATAAAAAATTTAGATGATTCTCCAAAGTTCGGATAAAACAAATTCAGAAAAATATTGATAGTGAGAAGAACTTATTAAAGGGTGACACAGACAATAAGGTTGTTCATGGTTCTTCAGAGGATCAAACTTGTGCTGAAAACTTTGTTGGTGGATCTACAAAATGATCATGTAGAATCTAACTTGGAAAATAAGACTTCAAGATAATTTAAAAACAGATACTGTAAACAATGAAGGAAGTATTGAAAGGTAAACAAGATTCTAGTCAGAGTAAGCAAACTTTGTGATACTGGCTCTGAAAAAGGTGCTGACACCACTGAAAAAATGTGCAATTTAATTCAGCAGACATTGATCAAGGAGCTTAAAGTGGCAATCAAAAGATGTTGAAATGGCATTTGATTCTGAAAGTTCTTTGAGTGGAAATGATACTCAGCTGAGCTTGTGTGTTAAAGATGTGAAAGAAAACCTACAGTAAGCAAGAGATATTAAAGAGTTTTGAAATAAAGCCCAAGATTAAGAGGTGATAGTACTGGTTCATTAAGGCATAAATGAACGTGCAAACAGTGATTATGAATATGAAGACCATATAGGGTGTGATGACATAGAAACCGGTTTTAGTGATATTGATAGTTAAGTCTAATGAGATGGTTGAAGAGTCGTTTGATGATGCAAAGGATTTGGAAATGATATTACAAATGGAAGTGTTTTAATAGATAGGGTTGTGATTACTAGTCCCTCTTGGAAAAAAAATAGCATTAAAAATAGTGTTTGTTCACGTCAAAAAGCGTAGAAAAAATGGGCACATGAAAGAGAGCGTTTCATGCAGTCTTTATCAGACTCTGATGATGTGCCAAGTCCACTGGGTGGTGATGTTGATGAATGGTTTAGAGGATCCAATAAGTGTAGATAATGGTGATGGAACAGTCACGGTGAGAAAGATCATCTCATATAAGACAAAGAAAAACTCCTGTTAAGTACAAAGATACCTCATTTTTTCAGGGAGATTTTGTTTTGATTGATGGACAAGATGAACCTAAAAGAAAAATTGTTAAGAAAAGCATCAGTATGAACCATAATGCAAAAGCAAAAATGGTGTTGTAAAAAAATCTGATAAAAACTATAATAGTATCAACTCACATGATTCGCCCAAACTGAAAATCAATGTGAAACAAAAAAGACAAAAGTTATGAAGATGAAAATGTTGTAAAGAATTTGGAAAGTACCATGAAACTTTTAGCAAAGCAGGAAGAAAAAATGAGTAAAAGTGAACAGGAAAAAAATTCATGTTCAGTGAATAATATTAAAGTTCTTACAAGAGGGGAAGATGGTACAATTTAAGGAATTGAAAACAGTAACTATTTGTAAAGGCTCTTCCAAAAGATGACTTGGTGAGAAATAGTGGATCTAAATCTGGTTTTAATTACTCAACTGCCAAAGTCAGAGATTCAAAACACACACCTATTCAGACAGCTACAGTTATGACCAGGAAGTCTTCTAAGCGAGAATGTAATATAGAAAAGAGTGAAAGTACCAATGTAAAGAAAAAAGTTTCTAGAAAGCATATCAATGGTGTTAGAGCAGATACTATAAATGGTGAAACAAATGAAAGAGTTTCTTCAGGTAGCCTTTCAGTGAACCAAAATAATGAAAAAAAATAAACAGAAACTAAGAAATCAAAAGCATTGTCTAGGAATAAAGATAAAGTCAGATGAAGACATTGAAGTAATTGAAATTGATTCTGACGATAGTGAAGGTGCTGGAAATAACAATGCGTGCTGATATAAAGGTAAACTAAATTACGAAATGAAGAAAAAACAGTTCCAAAGACTAATAGTAATCACTGTGGATGTTCAAATGCAGTGACTGAAGATGTGAAAGAAGGCAGAGGATTTTATGTTTTCTCTTGTTGAAGATGAAGTAGTTGACAAACACTTAATTGAAGGTATTCAAACTGATCTCAAAGAAAAATCTGAAGAAAGTGAGGAATTTGCATTGAACCAGAGACTTCAGTAAAAAGGTTAAGTAAAAAGTCATCTTCTGGGTCAAATAACAGAGGTAATAACTCAAGTTGTAGGACCAAATCAAGTGGTAAAGTTGTTAAAAGAAAATATTTGTCTGATGATGATCCTGATTTTGAAGTGGGGTCCAGTAAACGACAATGTAAGTCAAATAGAATTGATAAAAATACTGATAATTCTGCTTCTAAAAAAAGTAAAAAGAAATCGGACAAATGGGCAAATTTCAAAGGACCAAAAAATCATATTTGAAGGAATGAAACAAACTCCTAAACATTTTGTGTTGTGATAAAATGACCCATATGAAGAAACTGCCTCTAAAAAAACAAAAACTGTGACTCAGAATATGACCAGAATTGAGATCTCACAACTTCCAATCGGACAAATCAGTTCTTATTCCAAACAATGAAACTACTGAAATTGAAGCATGGACTTGTGCTCTTTGTGGTAAACACAGTAGCTTCAAATTTCTGGGTGATCTCTTTGGACCATATACTGTTGAGACTATGTCTGACGACATGCTAGAATTGAGTCCAAAAGTTCGACTTGGTACTAAAAAGAAAAAGGCTGAGGACAGTGGCAATAAGAATGGTAAGTCAAGGAGGCGTTCAAGTAGTGTGACTCAGGAAGTTGGTGACTGGAAGGAAGTGTGGGTCCATGAAAGCTGTTCAGTGTACTCGGACGGTGTGTTTCTGATTGGCTCCAAGATCTACGGCCTTCAAGAAGCTGTGAGAATTGCCAGTCAGACGGTAACTCAAGATTAATTAAATTATAATAAACATATCATGACAAGAGTTATAAATACTTAAACTTATCTAGTTACATGTACATTAAAGCCAGTTAAGAATCATTCGGGAAACTTAAAAACTTTAAATTAATTTGTGTCCTCAAAAGGGTAAATTTGTATGGAAGCTGTACTGGTTTTAGCATTATGAAAATTGCTGTGAAATGTTTCATTATCACTGACTAGTTTCTCATTATTCTTTAATAGACAGATGTACATGTATCAATTGAAGAACTCATAAGATAGTAGTATACATGTTGTAACCTACATGAATGCCTCCAGTTATAATGGAGCCAACAGTCACAGCAGTCGGAATCTAGAATCAATACTTAATTTACTTTTAACCTGCTTAAGTAATGAGTGTGTCTTGCTTAGACTTCAGAATCTCATTAGTTTGAGCTATTAATATTAGAAAGTTGGGTTGGACTTGTTCTAAACTGATGGCATTGATTTATTGATTGATTATGGCTGCTAGTGTGTGCATGCAAATGTTAAAATCACCTACCATTTTAATTTCCTCTTAGAACTTCCAGTATTTTCAATGTGTTACTGTACATGTTAGTCTATGAATTGTTGATTATTTAAACCAAATGATCTACACATAAAATTCTAGTTGTAGAAACTTCAGACCACTGCAGAAATATTTTACTGACCAAGATTAAAGTACATCAAGTTGAAGGGATATAAATAACATAATAACTCACTTTAAAATACAACGTAATTTCTTAATGTAGTATGCACTTTTTTATGTGGAATCTTCTGGGACATTTTATTTAATGTGATTGACACAACATAAGGTTAAAGCTTTTAAAACACAATTTGATATATTGCTTATTTTTGAAATTTAAGTAAAAGGAAAGACATAATGTTTTGATATCAAATGATGTTGTTGTTGTTATAAATTTCAATGTTAATATTAAAACTTTTTTTACAGCCGTGTTCAGTTTGTAATGAAATGGGTGCTATGATTGGTTGTCTAAATAAAGGATGCCAACAAAAATTCCATCATGCCTGTGCTCAAGGAGCTGGTAGGTTGTTTTATTCCCATTGTTAAAATTATTTAGTTCATACCTTAAGCTCCCCCTTGTGGCTGAGGAGTTTCCTTTAAGATCGAGGCATCAGAATTGCAGCTTCCGTTTAACCCAGTGTGATCGTAAGAGGTGACTAAATGGGTTCCAATATTGGAGTCTGTTATCTCTTTGCACCAGCAGGTGAGATGGTTTTGACCTCTGGTGTTGCTATAATTTTGTAACACCCGAGGTTAGTCAAAATCATCTTTCCTGTTTTGGCGCCATATGACCTAAATTGTGTTGGTGCACCGTAAAAACCAAACAAACAAAAATACGTTAAGCTGATATAACATCTTGTTCTCAACAAAATTTAATTTAAATCCTGCATGGCATCCCATTAAGGAAAGTGGGGGGAAAATGAGAACAAAGATCAACAAGGCAAGGTGATGATCACAGAGCGCAGCCCCCGACACAATGTGTTTGCATTCTAACACGGAACAGGGACAATATCTTTAACAATGCTGGAAACTGTGGTGGTAAATTAAAAATGTATCTATGAATGTTATATCAAGAATAAGATAAAAGATAAGTAGCTTTACGATGATGATTGCTTAATTCTTTGAGGAAAAACAAACAAAAAAAACAATAACAAAACATTAAACATAGTGTGATACAAGCTGTTTGGTAAACCTCCACAACTTAAGATATATATGCAATTAATAACGCACAATTTGTGACAAATGTAACTCAGAAACATGTGAAGAAGTTGCCAATTTCAGTGTCACAATATAATGTTTAGGCACAAATGTTAAGGCACAGGTGGCATGTTTATTGCATGAACTTTAATTTCCTACTGGATTAATGTACTCTTATTAATTGATGTATAATATAATAAATAATGTTTTCTATATTGACAGAGTGCTACCTTGATGAAGAGAACTTTTCACTTCTTTGTCCAAAACACAAGGTTAGTAGTGACGGTTTTGAAGAAGTATATACAATTTTTTGACATTCCTTGTCTTTTATTAAGAAAAAGAAATGTAATTTCAAATAATCATAAATCTGTGTATATTTTAAGAATGGTTGAACGAGATACAGTGAAAATTAATAATTATTCGCCACAAATACATATTTTTTTACACCTTATGTACCGTATTTAACCAATTATCACACGTCTATATGTCATATGACAGTAAATCTAATTGTGTGATCATATTACCCACAGGGACTTAAAATTCTTTCATGTAAGAAAGCTGACCAACTATTTTATATAATGTTTGCTGTTTAACTTAGTTGTGTAATATCAGTGATTCTCTACTCAGAGATAGAAATAATGCAAGGAGGAACACCTGGAATGTATCACCACCGGATAAGCTAAAAAGTCACCCTATGACCATTACAGTGTAGGTGTGACTTAAAACTGACCCCTGCCCCTGAAAATGTAGCTTCTCTGTATTTATATGGTTTTTTGGTTCTGTGAATATGTAAGGTTAAAAAACCCAATGTTTGAAAAGGTTCTAAATAAATTTGTTAATCAGGCTTAATAAGATACTTTATACAGATAGTTCAATAGTAAACCCTGATAAACCATGAAGAATAGATATTTTGGTATGAGTAAACTGAAAGAAGAATCAACATATTCTAACAAATGTTACGTTAAGTAGGTAAGGAATAAAAAAGTTGTATGTGATTTACATAGTAGGAATACACACATGTATTTGTACTTTTACCCAGCTTGAGTGAGACCATGTTGGACAAGGTAGCAGGCTTTTCCAGCATGAATTTTAAATTGAATGTATTTGATGATGTTTTCTTTTAAAATTATTTTATAGGTAAAAAAATTAAAACAACTAGAAGAGGCCTCAACGTCTACTAGTGTTGGGTGATGAAATAAAGGAAAGGGATTTGAAAGAACTGTTTCTGAGTCACTGTTCAGGAAGGACGACAAGTTGTGTTCTGCTTTGCTTCATTCCGTTGCTGGGAAAAAAATGAGAGCAGGGTACCAGTGTCATAATTTGTTGTGCAGGGTATCGGACACCAAAAAATGAAGAGCACAAAGCCAAGTTAAAGTTACTATGGATAAATGATCCAGACATCTTAGATATAGGATTAGATGACTGTTGAGGGGGGTATAAGGCAATAATTGTTCTGGAAAAAAGTTTTAGTGGGGCTCTATGAGCATCATTAGAATGTGTTAATGTTTTACTTTAGGATGTGTGGGGGATACTATTTGATGATGGTATCAGACATTAACATTTGTTTATTTTTTTACCCTTCATAATCAATCTTTTTTATAGAAACATATACAGATAAGTTTGGGATTTTTTTTGATTTTTTTTTTTCAAAATCTGAATGTATAAATTCCTGCTCCCATTTCTTTAGGGAAAATAATACAATTTTTTTATAATTGTATAGGCACCTTGGTTGGCCACTTGTTATGATATACACTGTCCAAAATAGTGGGTTATGTGGTTACTTAATTGTACCTAAAAGTGTAAGAAATATTAAGAAGGACCATTACTTAATGATTGTTATATGATGAAATAGTAAACAAACCAATATGTTTACATGTCATACTTATAATATTTGGATTAATGTGTGTATATGAGTCAAAACCATGATTTGTATTGCACCAAAGCTGGGAGAAAGGGAAAATTTAAGAATTTCTTACAAATTTTGACAAGATCTTAACCAAGTTTTATATATATTACTTGAAGTAATGTATTGAATGTCTCCCTTGAGTTAGAAGTTTTATCACGACTACGAAAATTTCTATCTCAGCAGTTAACATACAGGTTTTTTTTCACCTTTTATAACAGAGGCCTGAAAGAGGTCTCTTCCCATATTGTAGTTTTCTCTAGTTTTCCAAAAGTCAGTTTTTGCTTTCTCAAATCAGCTATTATAGCAGTAGTACTTCCCAAAATCAAGAGGCTTACGCCTCTTCCTAATTAAGAAAGAAAAACTCTTGGCACAAAACCTGCCTTAGTCGCATTTAGCAATATAAGAGGATGATTGATAAAAAATCAAAACCTGTTGATTATCTTGATCTTGTGAACTTGTGTCTCAACTGTCACAAACTTGGTCAACAGCGTTTTGAATAATTCTCAAGTATGGTTGTATAAAACTGTTACAGATCATTTACAAGGTAAGAGATCAACAGAGCTACAATAGTACACTTGTCACAATCTTACTTATTGTAGGGTCATCAGAAAGTAAAAGAAACAAAATTTTGATTAGTTTTTGTCTGATCAAAATAATAACTTTTGTTTTTATTAGCATTCGGATCTTTGTGTCAATATCAATATATACATGTAGCTTTGTTTCAAGTTAAGCATTTTTCTTTTGCAAAAAAATATATTTTAACTTTGTTGCTTTTTGTTTTTCAACTTGCATACCTCATTTTCCACCCACCTCATAGTCACATGAAAATTGTGAAAAAAATGTCTCATTTTTTAGCTGGACTATTCCAAGAATAGAGAGGCTATTTTACCCATGCATAAGAGTTACTCATGGTTAAAGGCTTTGTACGCAACTTTATATCTCCAACACAAAGGTATTCACTGAAAAGTTCAAGCATGTCTAAGGGATCATAATGCTTACTGAAGTTTATTTTCCTAAAACCTTAGCTAGGATAAGTTTATTTTCCTAAAACATTAGCTAGGATTTTTAGTCTGACTAAACAAAGTTTATAGACGGCAGGCGTATTCTTATTGGCGACGGCACAGATGTGCCAGCTGATCTCGGTCTGTCATGGTCTCATGGGTGGAATCAGTTGCCACTAGCATAAGGGTTAGTAATCCGTTATCTCAAAAATGCTACATCTTACAGATCCATCTAATACAGTCTAGGAAAAATATCAAAGACTGTTAGAGAAATTGTATATTTACAAATATATTATGTAAAATAAAGCTTGTGGCATGAATTATAGTTTTGTATTGTTGACTCATTTCAGCTTTTGTTGTTGAGCAAAACTGCTATCATTTAAACATTGCAGAGGTATTCACAAAGTTAAGTGGCAAATGTTAGTGAAATATCCTCTCACCATTTTGTATAAAAGTACTAATGTTACAAAATTAGTTAATTTTAATTTTGTTGATAAAATACCTGTTTTCTGTGATAGATTTATGTTTAGTGATGTTGTACAGTAAGTGTTAAATACAAAGCTAACTGGATAAAGTTTCTGGTAAATTATTAGCAACTTATAACTGCTTCTCTAGAATTTTTAGTGCCTTTACATATTTTCTATTCTAGATCTTGTTGCCAAAAAATTGATTAAGCCCTTTTCATGCTGAATGTCTTAAATAGACTTGTCCATCTTTCAAGGTGAACAAAACTATCCATCTTTTGAAATATCGACAGCTTGGTGTGACAGGGTTGTAACTCCTTCTTTATCTAATATGAGTTAAAACCCTTTTGCACCAAGCCCTCAATATGTACGGATTGAAGAACGAACAGTGAAGGCATGGATGTGCTTGCCTGATCTTGTTTCGCACTGCTTTCATAGGTTAAGTCTGATTCTGCCAGCAGGTTATGGGTTAAAAATATATAATTTTTTTCTCTCAAATGATGGCTTGTATATATACATTCTGTTAAGTGTGTAGAAATTTGAATCAGTTATTTGATTTTGTAAAAATATTTTGTAGACAAAATAATGAAAAAATATGTAATTTTATTCATTGGTTGTGCTATTTTCACAAATTCTTATTTTTGTTTACATTATTATATTGTTCATTTGAGGCGGACGTTTTTGTTTTTTGTTGCATTTCTTTCGGTTGATACTGAGGGATTATTTAGTGGTGAAATATCACTACCTGTTGAATGTTTAAATATTTCTTTCTTATAGTTTCACTAGTGCTTAATGGGGGAAGAGAAGATGTGGCCTCTAGATTCCTAAACTCTGTTCACATTTAAACTGGTATCTTTTGAGGTCACATTTTCTTCGTCCTACCACTATGAAACTTTTGTCAGAATGTTTCTTCTAATACAACAGTTTTTAACAGTAAATGTAGCTCCCAGAACAGTTTTGTTAATTTATATACATGTAGTCGAGGGCATTTTGTTTGTTGCTCTTTCATGATGTGATTTTTTTAAATTCTTTTTTTCTTATGTTTAGATATTTCAGATTATTCAAACTACAGAATGAAAAGTTTAGAATGTGAAAGAGTTCCATTCAATAATTACAGTTGTTAAAGGTAGCACATTTGTGATGTGTCAAATATAAAGAATGTCAGTTGCATGTCTTTGACACAATTATTAATCTGTGCCTAAAGAACTTATCAAACTTTATTTCTGGACAAAACCATTCATCATCTATAGAAACAAAAATAAAAAAAAGTACAGTGAACTGTACAGACCACATGAACGTGCCATCGGATCTTGGTCTGCACTGGGCTGCATGGGTTACCAAGAATCATATAGCACCAGCAAGCCTAGAGTTAAACAACATAAATATTACTTGTCAGCTTTTGTATATACAATATAATTTGTTTTGCTTCTTTTAAAGGCTGAAAAAAACATATATGACTGAATGGAAATGGAAAAAATAATCTTAAAAAAAGGAATAAAATGTTATAAATATTTTACACCCAACTGGCATTTTTTTCATAACATGCGTTATAAATACATATAATTTATGATAGTTAAATACATATATGTCTAAATATGTGATAGTTAAAGATGTCTTAATGTTTTTGTTTTTTTTCTCTCGTATTATTGTACTTTTCGTAATAAGTGATCATAAGTATAAAGACAAATATGTTAAAGTATCAGAAAGTTCTCACTTTAAATGTCATTCATATGTTAATCTGCTTTCTTTTTCCTTAATCTTTGTGCACAAGTGCACTTGTACATATTTATGAAACCTTCATTTTTTCTTTCTTTATAATTGCAATGAAATGCCTATGTCATTAAAATAAAGAATATGGTTTTATTTGTTGTTATATGTTGAAGGCTTGCTGTCAGATTTTAGGATAACTTTTAATAAATAAGTCCAGAAGATAGTATGAATGTCTTTGGTATTACACTTTGATTCAAAGTGAAACACCTAGTATATTTTGTAAGAATTTAGGGAAAATTGTTTACAAAGATTTTGTAAAAGTAATGAACACAAGGCTGTGATGTAACCATTTATGAAACCAAAATATTAAACAAAGTACAAAAGGAAAGATCAAAAAAGGAGAGTGACATTCACAAAATGCATTCCCCATAAGGACCCAGCCTCACAGGACCATCGTTAAGGTAGTCCAGCAGGACACAAAGCCGGGTAAAAAAGACTGACTGACCTTGGAAGTCAAATTATTGTATTATCACAGTTTTTTGTTGGATGCTATAATTGGCTATACATTTGTAAGAAATTAATAAATTGTCTTTATACTTTGGCACAACAATCCTTTGGACAAGACATAAAAGAGGATTTAATGAAATTAAAAGTTGACCTGAATTTGACCTTTACTGTCGAGGACAAATTTTGCGTATATATTTATATTGTCATTATAGACTTGATTGATACTTCAGACAAAAGAACATTTTGAATTATTTTAGTGTGACCCTCAACCCTTTAAATGACCTTTACTATCAAAGTCAAAATTTGCTTAAATTTTCATAACTTTGTTGTTTACTTGTGGATTTTATTTATTTTTTGACAATAGAACATCTGACAAAAATAACATGATGATTATTTCAAATGAGACCTTGACCTTTGAAGGACCTAAAATTATTTTTTACTACAATATTCTTCCACAGATGCATTTGACTGTAGAAGTAAGAGTGTCAGTGCCACTCGGTTGGCACTTGTTTCAGTTCCACATCATGTGCACAGACCAGGCAGTATTCCTCTATTACTGACATATGGAAAAAATGTTGGACCGTGCTTTCCCTTAAAATGGATAAATCATAAAAAAAACCTACAGTATGCTGCAGGGCATTTAATAACTGTAGGAAATGTTGCACACAATATAATACTGCAAACAAGTTTTAAGATAAAACATATATACTGGAAAAGAATTGTAAAAAGATGCATAATGAGGTTGACAATGCTGGTTCGGTGCGAATTTTGTCATCTTACTGTAACATGATATTATACAGTGTCTTTTAGTATATCATTACAAGAGACTGCTAATCCGCACAGACAAAAGTAAAAAGACCTGTATAAAGGGAGGAAATGTCGTGAAGTGCCACACCATTTGTATGCAATTACAAATAATGGATTCTACATGAGTATCAGGCTACAGCTGCAAGGTTGGTAAATTGTTACAGATTTCAAAATACATATTTCAGTGCTTTTTTTTTCAAGGGTATGTATTGTTTCCTAAATTATATTTTGAATGACGAAAAACAAAGTTGCCTGGCAGGGACCAAAGGCATAACATTAGACCTTAAAAAAATCACAATTGTATTTCATTGAATTTTTGCCTGAAATCCGTTGAGAATTGAAAAACTTCCACACAGAAAGAGAATGATAGTTTTTCTTTATTTATTAATTAGATCTAGATTTTAGCTCTATCTAGATTCTACCTAGTGAGAAAAAAAACAACGCATACACTATGATACAGTAGATGATATTTGTTTAGTTCAGTGTAAGATCGGAATTTATGACATGCTTTTCGGTGGTTTATAGAAATATATCAGTGAAATATAAAACTGATAATTTCACTGTTTTAAACAGTGAAATTATCAATTTGATAATTTCACTTTTTTAAATGTAAGCCCCTTGAGTTGTTTCAGTGACCAACTTAATGACGTCACGTCGTAAATGACGTCACGTTGTATTATCATTTGGTGCGCTTTTCGTGAACACCATAACTTCATATTTCACTCGTGGCTGCGTTATGTTGATCAAAAGTTGATTTCTAGATCTTATTTCTTCATTAATACCGATATCATCATAAACATACATGTATTTTTAAAGGCACATTATGCCTCGGAAACGAATAAACTTTCCTTCTTTAGAAAGGGGTAAGTATTAATTCAACGAGGAGTTTTAAAATATTCATAATGCAGCTAAGCACGTAAAATTTTATTCTTTATAACAGGTACGTATATTAATATATACTTGTTTATAGGTTTCACTTAAATTTTAATTTTATTCTCTAAAAGTATTCACCTCAAACAGATATACAAAGTTTCAGTCTCCGGATCCAATCTTTGAGGGCATTTTCATAGTCCTTTTATGCATTTAAGAAGACACTGGAATATTGAAGAACCAAGGTAATTTCGCTGAACAAATTTTCGACCTGAAAGGTATTAAATTTTTTAGCTTTGGAAAACAAAAAAGAAGGCAAGGGGCAATGTCAGGTTAATACGAAGGACGGGGGAGATTTTTTTCTGCTTCAGAAAGTCTTCCACTGTAGACGCCTTGTGCGATGACGCGTTGTCATGCAACAATTTGACATTTACCAAAACTGTTGCGGGTATTCGTTTTCGAAAGTTTTTGTTTTTTAAAGAACTTTTGTCTTGTAAAATTTCGAATTAACAGACTTGCATTCAGGAACAACAACCGGAATGGCGTGACCTTGAGTTGTAAAGAAAATGGCATATACATTACGTTCGTAATACTGATGGTCCTTTTTGTCATTTGCAAGACTTTGTTGCCCAAATCTTGTTTTTTTCTGTGTGTGTTTTCGCTTTGGGTCATAAAAATGAACCCATGCTTAGCGCATTACACGTGAAAGTTTTTCTGCTCATCTGTCAGCAAATGGGGAATCAATCTAGCTCAGATCTTTCTCATTTTCAAATCAAGTTTGAGAATGGTATGAGCTGCTCCTAATGAGATGCCAACGATACTAGCTATTTGCCTAGTGGTGTATATTGTATCGATCAGTTCTATTTCTTTCACTTTAGCAACCATCTTGACAGGCTTATTGACGGGCATTGGATGCATCTTCAGTGTAAATCAACTCACCTTTCAAGCCTATTTAACCAACAAATAACTGATAAAAAAGATATTTCCTTTTGTCCAAATACAGAATAGATTTCTCCAAAATTTACACCCTTTGCCAAGGAGACAACGATTCCTAATGTAAGAATGTTCCGTGTCACTTTCTGATCTTCTACCAACCATTGTTGTATTACAACATACAGTAAAAATATACACAGCTAAAGTGAACGTATTTTAATGTAAAACTAACATATGTTCATTATATACATGTACTTATAAATGAAATATTGAGAAATACCGGTATTGATAAATAAAATGCGTATTTTCACTGTCCGTATTTTCACTGTAAAAATTTATTTTTCACTGCAGTGAAACATATTTTCCGTATTTTCACTGGTGTCTTGCCCGATAATGTAATGTCAAAAAAGAGGAAAATGTATATAATAAACAGAAAATTCAAGTTTCCAACTTGTGGCATGAAAATTTACATATTTCACTCGTGGCTACCGCCACTCATGAAATATTTATTTTCATACCACTCGTATGTATCAATCATGTATTTATAGAAAAAACTTGGATATCCTCTATATATTTTCCCGATAACCTTCATTTCCTAGTGATTTTTCTTTCTTTCTTTCTTTCTTTCTTTCTTTATTTATTTATTTATTTATTTATTTGTTTATTTATTTTTATGCAATATTGAACAAAATTACGTTATAGATGCATTCATATTTGAACTTGGGGAAAATATTTGAACATTCCTCGTATAACGTGGAAATAATGGATTTATTACATGTTAGATGTTTATCACCTAAAGAAATGAGCACTGAATGGGAAATTATTTGTCATTCAAGTAGCATTTGATGCAAACAAAGAAGTAATTAGATTTCCATACAAATAGAGGATATTTGTTTGGTTCAGTGTAAGATCGGAATATATTTCACCGAGTGAGCACCAAAAGGTATATTTCACGAGTGGCGCAGCCACGAGTGAAATATGAACTTTTGGTGTTCACAAGGTGAAATATATTTCGATCTTACACTAAACTAAACAAATTTTCTTTTTATTATATGCAAAGAAACGTTTTAAAAAGACATAAAACCTAATACTGAATGATAAGCGCGCCAAATAATAATACAACGTGACGTCATTTACGACGTCACGTCATTAAGTTGGTACCCAGTTCTGTGCACGCTTGTATTTCACTGAAACAACGTAAGTGGCTTAAATTCAAAACAGTGAAATTATCAAAGTGGTAATTTCACTGTTTCAAACAGTGAAATTACCAGTTTTATATCACTGATATATTTCTATAAACCACCGAAAAGCATGTAATAAAATATTATATCACTCTAACTTAACATATTGACAAAAAGCAACAGAAGCAAAAGATGATTTAAGTATATAATTGGCCAAAAAGTTACTTTTTCGGAAAAAAGAAAGAAGAAATAACAGGGCATCAATATAAACTCTTTAAAAAAATATTTCTGTGGCATAATGGGCGTTAAAAGAAAAAAAATCAAAGGAAGTCAACAAGATTCGTATGTGAACAATCCGAGTTAATGAAATTATGGACAGAGTATTCAAATTAACACTTATATATAAAAACAAACGCTTTTATTACATGCTTTTCGGTGGTTTATAGAAATATATCAGTGAGATAAAAACTGGTAATTTCACTGTTTGAAACAGTGAAATCACCACTTTGATAATTTCACTGTTTTGAATTTAAGCCCCTTACGTTGTTTCAGTGAAATACCAGCGTGCACAGAGCTGGGTACCAACTTAATGACGTGACGTCGTAAATGACGTCACGTTGTATTATTATTTGGCGCGCTTTTCATTCAGTATATTAGGTTTAATGTCTTTTTAAAACGTTTCTTTGCATATAATAAAAAGAAAATTTGTTTAGCTTAGTGTAAGATCGAAATATATTTCACCTTGTGAACACCAAAAGTTCATAACAGTAACAGGCTTAAGTTCAAAACAGTGAAAAATATCATATTGATTATTTCACTGTTTCAAAAAATGAAATATTAGTTTTTTATTTCACTGATATATTTCTATAAACCACCGAAAGCATGTAATAAAATAAAAGTATTTTATGACATTTAAAGATACGTTTTTTATTTCATGCTTTCCAGTGTTTTATTGTAATATATCAGATGATATAGAGGATATTTGTTTGTTTTGCATGTAAGATTGAAATATAATTTCACTGAGTGAACACCAGATGCAATATTTTCACGAGTGGCGTAGCCACGAGTGAAAATATAATAGCTGGTGTTCACGAATGAAATATATTTCAATCTTATATGTAAAACAAATAAATTTTCTTTTTATTTTATGCTTTTTAAGTGATTTTAAGTATTTTTTTTTACTGATTTTGCCGCGTAACGTCGCGCATTCTCCTTTGTGACGTCATTATATCATGACGTCACATCATAAGTTTTGAAATATAGTTCTGTTAAATTTCTCTAATTTTGTTAACTTTTTAACATGATGTATGATGACATTGACTTTCTTTTCCTAATTAAGCAAATTTACGTATGACGGCATTTATTCCTGCCTGTTATTCCATTTGGTGATGATTTTCTTTTCATCCGCATTCAGATATAGTCCGGCTACAGTGAAAATTATATTTTATGAATTTCACTAGTGGTTTATCAGAATATAATCATCTGATATATTGTAATAAAACACTGGAAAGCATTAAATAAAAGATCTATATTCTGATAAACCACTAGTGAAATTTATAAAATATAATTTTCACTGTAGCCGAACTATATCTGAATGCGGATGAAAAGAAAATCATAACTAAATGGAATAACGGGCAGAAATAAATGCCGTCATGCGTAAATTTTGCTACTTAAGGAAAAGAAAGTCGAAGTCACCATACATCATGTTTAAAAACGTAACAAAGTTAGAGGAATTTAACAGAACTACATTTCAAAATTGATGATGTGACGTCATGATGTGATGACGTCAAAAAGGAGAACGCGCGACGTTACGCTACAAATTCAGTAAAAGATACTTAAAATCACTTAAAAAGCATGAAATAAAAAGAAAATTTATTTGTTTTACATATAAGATTGAAATATATTTCATTCGTGAACACCAGCTATTATATTTTCACTCGTGGCTACGCCACTCGTGAAAATATTGCATCTGGTGTTCACTCAGTGAAATTATATTTCAATCTTACATGCAAAACAAACAAATATCCTCTATATATTTAATATGTGTTATTATATCGCAATATCTATTTAGAAATCTACTATATAAATGTAAAGCAATTAAAAAAAACGATTTGTCTACAAAAAATTAATTGCATTATAGTTAAAACCTACAGATCTAACTGCTTTTGATTTTTTTGTACCTTTGAAGCACGTTCGACTGCCAATGTGACTAAAGATATCTTCCAATGTGTTTAACATAGACCACTCGTATCATTTTACTAAAGAGTTATGAAATTATGAAAAATGTGCCTAACATAATTATACCTATGTAGGAAACACCATTATTTAATGCGATTTTTACGCGCCATTTTATTTAGTGGTTTTATACCTGTTATGTTCTTTAAAGTTAAAAAAGGCGGGAAATGCCCTTTCCAATCAAGTTTAGAATATGTTATAATTAAATTGCGCAAACCGATTATAGCTATCTAGTACCGTGTTACCTATTATACGTTTCATGCAATTATGTATATACATAACCATATATGCATGCATGCGTGCGTACGTGTGTGCGTGTAAAAATCCTCTAAAAACACAAGGTTACGGATCAATAAAGATCCGGATCGATTTGAAAGCAGGATAAGTGGCTCTAATTTTATCAAATAACTACCATCATCAATTAATTTTAGTTCATCAGTAATAAGCCACTGTACATGGATTTTTATTTTTACAGCTAAAGTGCAAAAATATTTTTATAAATACATGCAGAAGTGTCCCAGAATTTAATTCCTTATATAGAGCTCAATGTGTAGATAACAGTCTATGTCGCCATTCGTGCAAAAGTGTTCTCAGTCCATCTTATAAATTATGTAAAAATGTAATAAAAGTCTGAATAAGTGCTTAAAGTTAATACTTTTGGTTCTCAAAAATAATTATTTTTGGTACTTTTTTTAGTATAAGTCCAGGTATTTCAAATATTATAAGATCCATTCTATTTTAATAATGACCCTGTATAAATTTAATGCACTAGCTATTTATTGCCCATAGAAAATCTACTTATTTAATTTACGTGTTAGATTAATAATATACTTTGTATAGAAACCAAAAGTGTTGTGAATAAAAAGAGTAGCTGAATTCGTAAGCAACTTACAGGTGACAACAATTGGGACATATGTAATCAACAGTTGTTCTAAAATAAATTTACTCGGAAAAAGTAACAAATGCTCGTACTGATTTAGGTGCTAATACAAATGTGTCAATATCAACTAATGAGATGCCTACTCCTGGAACGTAGATTAGTTGGATAAAGATTTTTTTAAACATTTGACAAGTCTAACATTTGTCAGTAGCTATATATGTCCGTCGCAGGGTCTTTTCCTAGACAAAAATAAATGCATCATCGATTCAAAACCTCGCAAAATACGTCTAATTAATTTCATTTCGATATAAAATGCGAAAAAAATGGATTTTTAGGTGACCCAGACCGGATTCCGTAGCTTATGCATTCAATACACAAATATTTTGAGTCACCTGTCTTACTGAATGATCTCCCTTGATAGCCTCTCCTAAAACTGTCACGTGATTCACTACTATCAAATCATTCAAAGGCGGGCGTCGGCCCGGGTATAACTTGGAAGTATAGAAAGTTTGACAGAAATTACGGAATATACTTAATATTCAATATAACAGTTGTTTTGAGGAATTATTTGCATATATTGACACGTGGATACATTAATTTTTATTCTCAGCGTACGAAGTTACCTCACTTTGAAATTTAGGTGACCAGTTTGGGTATTTTCAAAATGGCGGCTGGTGATGATCCTTTTGGTAGTTCGGGCGTGAGTGCCCAAGAAATGAAGTATTTGATGGTAGACAAGAATGTAATCAATGACCCGATGATGCAGGCTGAATGGGCATCCAAAAAGCTTATCTGGGTACCCCATGAAACGCATGGATTTGTTGCTTCTTGCATAAAGGCGGAAGTTGGTGACGAAATTGAGGTCCAGATAGAAGAGTCAGGAAAGAGAATGAGGTTTCACAGGGATGATTGTCAAAAGATGAATCCCCCGAAGTTTGCAAAAGTTGAAGATATGGCAGAACTTACTTGTTTAAATGAGGCCTCTGTCCTCCATAATTTGAAAGATCGTTATTATTCTGGCCTGATTTATGTGAGTAATCTCTTGGAATTTGTTTTAGAACAAATTTCATAATTTACTGATTAAATGACTGGTGGTGCCCAGTGTCTACAACCAATCAAATGTATCTGTTACTGATTCCAATACCCTTTTTATTTACAAACACTTGTGTATATTTCAGTGAACTGTATTACTTATAAATTTTTATCCTAAATGACCCTGGTATAAATTTTGAATGAGTCATTTATAAATGGTGCATTTTCAATCAATTGCATATAAATGCCATATATATATATATTTAACAATTATATTTTATGCCTTCAATGAGTTGAGTTGAATATTGTTGGTTGAATAGTTGTCTGTTGTGTCTTTCAGATAATAATTTGTTTAATGAGGTGGCTATAGCCATCATCTGCAGAAATGGCACAATGATATATAGAGTGTTGGCACTATCAAACAATTTGAGCTGCAACTTAAAGGCTGTTTATGTATAAAAATTATTATATATCTTTTGATAGGGAAATATGTGCATTGTTTTTTTATCTGCCTATTATTCACGAGTTGCTGCCCCTGAGTTGAGGTAAAATAAAAAATGTCAAATAAGAGTCTAAGCAAGGAAATATTGTAAATGTTAAATGAGATCTATTGCACATCTGTAAAATGTGTACATATAATAATACTTACCACCAAAGGCATCATATAGGAATCTGTCTTGACAAGTTTTTTGATCTACTTAGTATTTCAGGAGTTATGTAACCATGTTCTAAAACTTTGACAAAATATCTAAAGCCATGTTCAAATTATATCCCTGGAACAAATTTTATCAAGATTAATGGGCAATCCTAGGGTTACATAGAACATACTTATTGATTAATCGTATAATTATTTTTGTGCATTTATGTGTGTGTTTTAATTTATATTCAAGTTGATATCTGTGATAAAATTGTATGTGTATACATGTATGTCTATTCCCTGAATAAATCGATACGATGTACACAGAAGTGACAGGAAAATGTTGGTCTAGAGCTACAACTAGAAAACTGTAACATTCTTGATAAAATTTGTTCCAGGGATATAATTTGAACATGGCTTTAGATATTTTGTCAAAATTTTAGAACATGGTTACCAGCATAGTGAATTTTGTTTTAACTTTTCATCATCTCAAAAGAATTTCAGGAGTATAAAGGCAGGTTTTATATGTGATCCTGTATCTTTTCGGTGAATGATAGACATAGTGTACAGGGTGTTCACTAGCTATGAAATCCTAAGGGTCATTTTGACTGAGTTTTACTGACTACAAGGCCAAATCCCCACGAATTTAACAAAATTTGACCCTCCAGTTAAAATCCTGATGGTCAAATCAGGCCTTTTGGAAATTTGAAGGGTCAAAGAGTCATTTTAAGGGTCAAACGGACACCCTGGTGTATAAAGCAATTAACTTCAGCAAGAAAAGAAAAACATTATCAGATTATCTAGGCTGAAGAAATAGTGTGAAGACCGAAATATACATTAAGCTGAATAGAATATAGGACCAACCCAGTGTTTGAAATTAGCAGTAGTCCTATAGCCTCTGACTACTAAATTTCTCCTCGGGCTACCAACTTTTCAAAGTAACAAGCCCGGCCAGGCTACTGTATTTTCAGAGACAATATAAGCAACTGTTTTGAACAAATGAATCGTGCTAGTTTAATGTCTTTTGGGCTAGTGAATATTCCAATCTGGTAGTCCGACCAGCCTAGTGGAATCAAATCCGAATTTCTTACACTGCCAACCAAATGAAGTATATTTGTCAGCTAAATTCCTTTTAAAAAAATTTTCCATGTATAGAAAACAAATAACATTTAAGCTCTTTGTATATTATATTTTCTTTTTCATTAATTATATTTTAACTTCTTTTCAGACTTACTCTGGATTGTTTTGTGTAGTAGTAAATCCTTACAAAAGATTGCCCATCTACACAGAAAAAGTTATAGAACTATATAAAGGCAAAAAACGTCATGAAGTGCCACCCCATGTGTTTGCCATCACAGATAATGCATACAGGAGTATGCTGCAAGGTTGGTTAATGTTTATAGATTTCACTTTAAGGGGTATGGAGACAGGGCCCTTAGTGAAATGAAGAGGAAAATAGTGTAAAATTTGGGAATAAAGAAAGTTAGGAATTCTTATCTTCAATGAGTCAACTAACATTTTGGTTAATGTTTTTGGCTTTGTTTCCTGTTTAAATACAAAAAATATACATAATCGTTAATGTATATTGAACTTTGATACTATGATGCTTCCCTCTTTCATATTTGTAACACAAAAAGAAAATTGCTTTTTGTAGTACATGTGTGTGTCATAAAAGATCATTAAGGAAGTTTTGCTTCGGTGTCATTGTTTAATACAGTACATGCCATTACTTATTACAGATTATGATACAGATAAAAACAAGATAATATTGAAATGAAAATGTTTATTTCTGTGAAAAACCACTTTTAGATAATAATTTCAAAATCAAGGTCAAATATGAGTATTCTATGGTCAAAAAATGATTTCACCAAATCACATGACATGCAAACCTTGTTAACAATCAAAGAGGTATAGTTTTCATTAGATCTTTATCAAACTTAGTTTGACAGATTTTTAATAAGATCTTTTGGAAAAAAACAATAAATATAGGTCATCTAGGGGCGAAAACAAAGTTGCCAGCTGAAATCTTATCGGAGAAAAGTATTGTTATAAGTTCAGACACCCTATTTTTGATCATATCTTTTTGCTGACTCAGTATTTTGTTTTGATGATTAATTAGTTAAGTTGAATATTGGTTATCCAGGAGACAGTTACTGGTCCCCATGTCAAATCACAAGAAAATGTTCACAGTATGATTTGATCTTCATTATGTTACTTTCAATCATGGGAATCATGGGGGGAGTTTGAAAACAGGTCATCTTGATTCATAAACTAGGTCATCAGGTCAAATCAGAAGTAAAAGGGCACTGGTCAGTATTGACATTGCAGATTTTTTTGTAAAAATTTAATTGGTTCATGGATGTGCCAGAGAAATTCTCAGCAACAGATGAGCCTTTATAGTTTAATGATTGAATTATTATTATAGATATTATAGTTTTCCATTTTATTGTTTTAAACATATAACACACTGCCTTGTTTGTTTGATCAGATATTGGAGCAATCAGTATTGATAATATCAAAATTAAAGGGCAGTCTGGAATGGTTCATTGTGTTCTTTGAATTTACATTTCTTTAACAAGTTACTGATATATATTTATATATACACACACAATTGAAAATGCTTGGCGTTAACGGAAAAATCAAGATTTTACTCTATCATTTACTTAAGAGAAGAAACTGTGTCTAATATTTTAAACCAAATTTATTTTTATTTTACACAAGATTTACTTAAGAAACCTTGTCTGATATTTTAAACCAATTTTGCATGTTCAGCAATTGTGTAGGACTGTTGGGTTCAATATCTTATAGATTTTATTATGTATGCATTGTTTACAAAGCAGGATTGAAATTTGACCCAATATTGGCATTGAAGTGTGAGCTGTTGAATAACCAAAATATTCTTGCTTGCGATTAGGCTCAAAATATTAAAGAAGAATTTGCAGATAATTACATGTAAAAATGCTTGTTTAGCGTAGAGAGTGGAAAATTTAACCTTTTATACCGTAGGATGTGAGGTGTTAAGACAGTTTCAAGTTTTATTATAAGGTTGTAAATTGAAATATTTAAAATGTTAAGATTGCCCGAAGGATTGTCATTTGTCTGTTTGATTATTGAAATACCAAAAAATACGTTTAAAACAAGTATTGAAAAGTACTTAACATGGTACAGAAAAAGTTTGGTCTCTTTAAATATTGACAAATTGTTGAGTTTTTTTGGGGGGTCACATTTTCTTATGTACCTAAAATTTAGTAAATATTACGGTAAATCCTGTCCTAATGTTTAGTCATAAATAGAATTTATTTAGTGGCTGTAAAACGGTCATAGCCAAAGGACATGATTGCAGTTATTTACTCTATCTGGTTGTAAATCGTAAATTTATCTATCAAGAATCTTTAGAAACGGATTTAGATAAATTGTACATGATAAATTACCATTAAAAACAAGCTGACCTACTAATCCAAGTAACAATGTACATGTAAGTGTACTGGTATGTCACATCAAAGCCTTATTTATTTTAAAGGAAAATTTTAATTTCTCTCTTAGGTGTATTATAAAGCTTAAAAATGTTGGACCAATTTTGTAAATATTGAGTCTTCAGTAATTGGTCAATTTAAAACATTGTGTAATGATACAAAGTAATTTGGTAGTGTTTGTGTGATCACAAGTTGATTATATGTAACAGGTGTTTGCTTTAAATTAGTTTACTTGTAATTGACATTCATAGTGCACCTTTAATGAGAGTATTATAGGTGTATGGTTAAGGTACGGTTGTTTAGTCATCCTTCAAGTGTTTTTGGATGTTTATTTGGCTTACATTGAAAAATACTGGTAATATCCTCAAATCAAGGCCGATCCCGTGGCAACAGAGAACATGTATTTGTACCTAACAGCTCATAATTTCCGAACTACTCATAATTTCCGCATGAGGCATGATCCTAAATTTGTCAGATAAAATTAATTATGTAGTATTCAGCAAAAAAAAGTAATGGATTGGGTTTTATCACTAGTTTTTATCTTTCAAGTACAGCAGTTGACAGCTTTCTTTCATAGAAAACAAATGTTAAGTTGAAATAAATTTCATAGAAAACAAATGTCAAGTTTAAATGAATAGAAAGTCTAAAATACTCCACAGTCTGTTTTTTTTATTAATCTGCACCTACACACAGTGTTTATTTTACTGAGACATTAAATGCAAAACTGTCTTGAGACACAAATGCTTGGAAGCATCATTCTGTTTGAAAACAGTTTGAATTGTTTGATTTTTTACTTTTTGATTTTTTTTACTAGGGTTATAATGTTTTTCATTCAGGAGATGGCAACTTCTCCACTTATATAATGTGATCATACTTGGATAGCTTGAAAGGCATGTAGATTTCAGCACAAGCAATTAAAATCATATACCAAGGGCATAATTAAGCATTAAACTTATTTTCATTTTCAGATAATATTTTTTTTTTGCCATATTACTCAGTTTGAGGATATTTTAAGCCAAATATTACCACAATCCCCCTTTAAGATAGTATGTTTTTTTGTCTTCATAAATATGCAAAAATTGCTTATACTTAATACTATTGGGAGAAAAGTCAATTATAGAAATTCAGCAGGATATGGTTAAAAATGAAAAATAGCAACTGAATGTTAAAAATCGCATTATATCTTAAAAGTTGCCTGAATCTATTTACAATCAGATTTAAATTCATGATATTTTACTATCATATTGTCTGTTTGTGTAACTTGAAAATCGCTGGCGTCATGCTTTGAAAACTCTTACGATAAAACAGACAAACCGGTTACATACTGTGTGTTATAAGGCTTACTACCACCGTGTAAATCTGTGTTGTTGACAATGACACGCAACATGAATTTCATGTTTAATTATTTGTGTAAATTGGTTTCATATCATTCGATTTCAAGGGCTATCTACAAACACAATGTACTGACCAGAAATCTTTTCGTATACTTAATTTTAATACTTTTTTCTACACGTGGACTAGAGAGTTATCGCAATTTTGCACAAAGACTTACTTTATGGTAAAGATTAGTTGTATTTGGTTGAGATCTTATCTATTTAAGGAATGCAGTGTGTGCTTTCTCAACCATTCAGCATTTGTCATTACGTTAAATATGCAGGCTACATGATACAACAATTTATTTATTTGACCCTTGAAAACGTTGTATAATGACGGTCAACCTGGAAAAATGATAGTAGATCGCTAAATCGTCACTTTTATTAGCGATTTATTTGGTTAAACGTTTTAAGTCAACTGCCAATGAGGATTCTTTTAATAGATTAAAGATTTTTTCGATTTATTAGAACAAATACATTTCATGTCAACGAAAATAGGGTATAAATAGTATTGTAGTACTAGAAGATTAGGTACATTTATATTTGTAAGAAAAAAGAACATCTAACTCGCTACCTCATGAATGGGAGGGAAAAAGTGATAGAAAGCTGTAGTTTTCTAGTTCAAGTAGTTTTAGTCTCCTAGATAAAAATGTACTCCAAATTTTTAACACAATTTGAGTGAAGAGTACTACTGTATCATATCGACTGACTACTTGTGTTAAGTTCAGCTATTATCATAAAACCGCATCTTCTTCATATGTGCCTCTATCATACATCCATTGTACAGTTGTCACTTTCGAGATATGCGATTATTGTACAGGAAATTTTTATATTATGATGCTTGAGATATGAAGTTTTACTGATGTTTACATAGTTTAAATAGTTGTGTTTGGCGGCCTTTCATGATAAGTGATGGTATGAATAATCAGCGGGGAAAGGAAAGGCTGTATTTGCAAGATAACAGTGTTGAGGTGCAAACCTTACTTAATGCAACTGTACATAGCATTCTGTGTGTAAAACTCCAGCATAGATAGATTATAATTATACAAGTAATAAAAAGTTTCAAGTTAATACTTTCATATAGTATCTTCTTAACTTGATAATTAAAGCTTGTTTAAATTAATTAAATCAGCTATATCTCATAATCTGACTGTAAAGAAAAACATGTCCTACACTTCGTTTTTAAGCATATACTTTTTACTGTCATACTGAGTTAAGGATATAATAATTATATTCTATAATATTGACCTTAACTCAGTATGACAGTATTAAATTTGGGGGAAAAAATTGATATGGTGTATTGCGGATGTCACATTAATATCCATATATAACCAAATTTTGGGCAGTCTACTGTAAAATGGAGCAAAAAATTCTTGATAAAACATATTCATATCTCTATTCCAAGGCCAAATTTTGCATAAAAGATCAAATGGTAATGTCATAGGCTTAAATGCATAACATCAGCCTCCTGGGGCATTATTTAACAGATGGCATTTGTTTAATGTTTTCAAGAACCCTTATATTCAATGCTGCTTCCTGTTAGCTGATGGACACGCTTTTGGCCAGTGTATTATAGTATATTTGCATGCTCTGATATAAATTATGATTGTTAAGATAGTTTGTGATTTCATTTTTAATCTGTTCAGGTCATAAATAAGTAATGGGCTAAAAAAATTTTGAAATTGTAAGGCTTCTACCGCATTTGCATTAATTTTATATGTGTCTGTTTTGTGTTTGATCATCGGAACAATTTCTTCTGCTTCTTTAAAACTTTAATGAGTCGTTATATTATGACAATTCACATGCAAACATTTATTCATCTATTAGTATGTTAAACTGTGAAAAGAAAACATTAAAAAAAATCGCTGATAAAACAGCATAATTATTATTTTTATTGATACTGCAGAGTCTGCACTGATACAATTTGATAGCAATATATTAGTGAATATTATGAATAGTGCAATTAACCATTTCATGTTTTTGATAAATCGTGTGAGAAACTTTTCAAAATTTTGTAAACGACTGAGCTTTAAAGTTGCTGACTTGACTGAAGTCACAAATTGAAAAGATAATGTTAACCCAGACAAGTTCTGTAAGGAATGAATTGTGTTCTAATACAGAACAATTGAATTTTTCATTGCAATTAACTACCTCGGGGGGGGGGGAGGGGGGATATTACTTAAATTTTCTTTGTTTCCTTAAAATTTAAGTAGGTTAATGTGACACTTAAAACTGAAACACCAAAAACAGAAAATAACACCTGAAATTTAATACAAATTTATAAAACTGCCTGAATAGTTTAAACTCCTGTTAAAACAGCTTTTGTTTTGTGTCAGATTTGGCATCAGTTGTTATGTTTCTATATTTGTGGATGGTAATGTTTAGTGAACACAGTAGTCGATTCATTTTCTTTCAAGAGCCCTTGTAATAAGATATTGTCCTTGCATAAAAATGAATGATTGTTTTAGGTGATAGTCAGCTGTAGTTTACATGTTTGTCAAGAGGTAGATAGATGAAATGCATAGTCACACACTGGTTTGGTACAGTTATTTTTACCATAAAGAAATTCATGCTTCTTGTATCTTTGTAAGTTTGAATGTCCTGCTTACAGTTGCAATTAATTCTTCCCTCCTTGTTAAATAAATACCATTTTAGATTAGGGAAATGAGTCATTATGAAAGGCAATTGATGGTAAGGCCACATGGAATTTAAATGTTGTTTTTTTAAGAAATTTTCACTTTGTTAAACTGAGAGTAAAAATTTTTTGCAAAATTCATGAAACAAGATTTACATTTTAATGTCAGAAATACTAACTGATCAAGGGTGAAACAGATACTAATATTAAGTACCTTGTTATGCATTGCTTTGTATTGAGCATTTGAATTATGGAAAGGGATCTGATGAACCACAGATTTATTGGGATGGCCTAAAATAGTTTTGAAAATCTGCTCCTGTGTGAATAAATTTTAAATGCTTGAAATGAAATCAAGAATTTGAAATGAGAGAAATCCAGCCAGAAGTATAAATCAGATTGTTGAAGTATCTATATATATTTATATATATCTGATACAGATACACAACTGAAAATCTGTTACATGATGTATAATGATTAATATTAATGTGAGAAAATAACATTTTTTATTTGCTTCTGGAGCTTTCACTTTGATGCAATTTATATTTGAACAGATAGAACTCTAGCAGATGTTCCCAGACCTTCATTGTTTTAATCATTTTTTTTCTAATGTAAAACCATTATACTGGAGAAGTACATGGTTAAAATTATGAGTAATCTTGTTGCCAGTCATGTTGATATTTATTGTACAATACATATATACCAGTTAAAACTCAATTTTATGCTACTGGACTGCACGATTTAAGAAAATGGGTAACATTTCCTTCTGCCTGATGTTTATACCACACAGCCTGTCTAGGATGGAATCATTCTTCATAAATATGACATGCAACTGAACTTCCACCATCGGAAGTTAACTATGTCATTATAACATCAACAGGTCCTGATATAAATTCTTGTTGTCTGATGGCTAATTATATTAAATCTATCTTTTCACCTTTGATAGAATGGATTTCAGCCTGTGTATGCATGATATTCTAATAATTGATGACAAAGTCACTGACAGTGTTCCAGGAATGTTTCCAGGAAATTATAAATGATGACTTCATAATCCTCTTTAAGTGGGTTCAATACAAATTGATCGAGCACAATTACTTTCAACCACATTCATAACATTCTTCTGGGAATCGATAGACTATGGCATGGAAAGCATTTTTAGCCTCTTTGCTCCAGTTGAATGTCTTGAACTAATCTGAATGGTATCAGTTACAGTAAAGTTCACTAGCCTAGAAAATGTCTTATCACATCTGATTTTCTCAGGTTTTCTTTGTTTAGTAAGTTTGTTCAGTTCAGGGTAAATATGAATTGATTGAAAAAAAAGAACATTGATCAGTGTTGAGGAAATCTGGTTTGGATAGTGGTCTAGGTAACAAAGTGATCTAGGCTTCAATCTGTTGCTATATTAATGCTTGAGTTTGAATTCCACCAGCCACGGTATGTTGAATATTTTTAGGCAAGGGCTTGGGTTATGAAGCTCCTACCCTTTCTGAGAAAAGAAAGAAACTTGAAAAGAAATTCTTCTGGTACATGTAGTAATGACTTTCATTGGTGTGATTGAAGGTTTGATTGACCTGTTGCTCATACTTGTTACAGTCATTCATGTCATTGATCCAAGAATTGTGAATCATTCAATATGTGTCTGCATTCTGTTACAGACAGTCTTATAGACAGTCTTAGCATCAATGTTTTATCAATAAATGTATAGGTGTCATTCATACCACTTTATCAATCTATTTATATAATCAAAGGATGATACATTATTTGGTTTGTATTCAGGTAGGCTCAGTTGGTCATTTGGTGACAGGTCAGTAAAACTGCTTCAGTTAAAGCTCAATATCTAAAGTACCCTTCATTGTATAGTTGTCTTCTGTATTAAGGTACAACCCCTATTGATTTCAGTGTCAATCGGTCATAGTTGCATTGACTTTAAAATTGAAACAGTTGTGGGTCTGTCTGGTCAGTCAAGTGTCAGGAATGGTGTTGACTGGTCACTAGATGAAATTATCATTTCTGTGGCGATATCTCATAATTGGTCATTTTGTTGACTTTTACAAGATGACACCGTCTAATCTATATATCTGAAATGTTGAGGGAATTTATAGATTTAATATTTAACTGTACTGTAGCTTGAACAATTGAAGAGAGACTGGCAATATGTAGGAGTCCGAGAGGTCCCTTAATATTTTGGATTTGATTTTGTTTCAATTTTCCAATTAATTATTTTGAAATGAATATCAAACTATATTAATTATTATTACATATTATCTTATATGTATTGTAGTCTATCAGTCTTCACGAAAAACTTTAAAAAGCGCAAGACATTCGGGCCAGTAAAATTTCAAATCTTACTGGCCCTGGTGATTTTAACCGGACCAAATGCATAGATAGGTAATAAATTGATGGGTAAAGGAAAACACTTGATCATGCTTCCCTTGACAACTTTGAAAGAAGTAAAATACTTCTTGTATTCTGGGCCATATGTTGACAGCTTTGAAAAATCTATAAGGACCAAATGTTTAGACAAAATTGACTAGAATTGAACATGAACAAAGCAATTTGCTTCTAACAAATCACTTTCACACAAAATATTTACTTTGATAATCATAAAATCATAGCTAAATAATGACAATAATAAACAATGGTTTAATTTCCGTTACTTTTCGGTGCGGTACGGAAAATATCCAAGAAAAAATGGCAGCCTCCAATACTCAATACAATTTAGACATCTCTCGCTGTGTTTTGAACATTTAGGACAGAATTGATGGGTTTCATTTGCAAAAAAGGCAAAAAGATCGACCTTTTAGAGAACCCTGCTTCATTATTTTGATGAATTTTTCTTATAATATTTTTTCATGGCCAAAAATCTACTGGCCCGTCGGACCACCAACCTTGCAATAATCACCGGACCGATGCTAAATTTAGTGGCCTCGGACTGGCGTTAATTTCGAAGACTGGTCTATAAAAGCTTTTAGGAATGTAAAAATCCACAACTTAGTGGGAATCATGTAAACCCCAAAACATCCAGTTTTTCACATGACACCTATTTCTTCATTTGCAGTATTATCAGCATGTTTTAAAAGGGCCCTGTCATTCTTGCCTTCAGATCAATTAATCATACTGATTGCTTCATGATATACTGTTATATAGGCAGCATATTTGTTTAACAAATGGGATTTTGTGTTTAATATATGAAAAAAAAGTTGTGAAAATTCTATGTTCTAATTGTTGACATTTTTTGTTCATTGCAGATAGAGAAGATCAATCCATCCTTTGCACGTAAGTAGATGTTCTTATTCTTGACATTGTGATAAATTAAGGTCCCTAAATTTCACATTTCTATACTCTATGGAGTTTCATACGCACACAAATTCTGTTACATGGTACCATTCATCTTAGGGCCAGTGGGTCGGCCCCAACATTGTCAGTACTGGTCTTTGATAATTAAAGGTGATTATGCATTATTAATTGGGGATATGAACCTCTTATATTCACCAGTAGATCTTAATAGTGTTTGTTGTTTGTTTGTGTGACATAAACTCATATTGGTTTGTGACTTATGCCTGGAATGAATACTGTGTACATTTTATACATTGATTGATGTGTTTGTTATATGTGTTGATGGGGTGATAGACCTGTCAGTATTGTGTCAGATTATAGAGGTAGTTTAAGGTCATTAACTGCTTTTATCTTTGCCAAGTACACCATGTGAAAATTTTTCTTTTTATCATATATAATATATAGTAAATTATGCATGTGACATTTACATAAATGACTGTGTATATGTATAATGTTAGATCATTATCTGTACTGTCAGTTTATCAGAAAGCAAATATCCCAATCTTTTCATTGGTTTGTGTCACATACTGGAGACGAAAGTAAGGCACAAGTATTTAACCTTTTAAAAATTAAGCATCTCAAGTTTCCCTAGATTGGCCAATCAATATTTCAGTGCATTTTCATTGGTTTTATGTTCACCACTGCTGTCCAGCAATAATATTTTTGGAATCTCCATGGAGGTTTACTTGCTACATTATCAGTCGCTTTATCTTTTCCACATACAAAGTGAATAATTGGAACTTCATCTATATATTGTTTATTTATTTGTCCAGCTTACCTTGTAGCTTATCGAAGGATGGCGGTTCTACTTGTGGTGCATGCTAGTGAGTGAAAGAATAAAGTGGTACATAGGGTCTCCCTCCGCCACTTAACAGTAGGACTGTAGGTGTGTCTTCAAAACACAACCAAGTTTATTTATTATCATCCCTTTAAGTAAACAAGGCATGATATAATAATGACAGGCACTGATATATTACATTCAAACTATTTACTGCTGCATTAAAATAAACCTTAACATTGATCATGTATATAAGTGTTTTCTGGCTTTAGTCATTGTATTGTTTTATATGGGATTATTATTATTCATGGCTTATTTTTACACGGGCATATAATTACAATAAGTCCACACTTGTGAACACGATATCTCGTGTATGCTAATGAAGAGAAAAGAAATAGGTTCCTGTCTAACATGTTATGACTAATGTTAGGTTATCAACATGTATTTTGTGTTCAAATCAATATGCACTATAGGGTAACCCAACCGCACAGATTATTTCTACACTCCTCAAGGTTTTTATTACAAAAAAGAAATATGAAAGAAAATGTCTGCATGTGTTACAACAAAGCTTAAGGTCATATCATTAAATGCAGTGCGAAAGTTTGATTGCGCAGATAATATTTGTATAAATTTACACATTACTTTATATAAAAAAGGAAGAATTGAACTTCTGTTTATTTAAGGTTTGAATTATTTTTAGAATTTTAAGGATAGGTTGTTACTTCATTTTTTTAAGAAGCATAAAAAGAATTAATATCTACTTAATCAAAATTAAATTTGATCTCCTCGGTGTTTCAATCAGAATCAGGTGATCAAGTACTGGTCGGATTTTAAGATTTTTACATTGTTTGATTAGGCGCAAAGGGTCCACTGAAGCAAAAAATGTGTAGTATAGAATTGGAAAATGTGCTCAAAGATAATATTTTGGCTCCTTGGCTCCTTTAAGGAACTTGGTCAGCCAGTGACAATGAGGGTATCTATAAACTACTTGATATAGTCTTGTTAACAAATTAATTAATTACAACTATTTATCTCTGAATGGTCAAATTACCAGCATGTGGAGGTATAACTGGTCAAGTAACCAGCATGTAGAGGTATAAGTGGTCAAATTACCAGCAGCTGGAAGTATAACTGGTCAAATTACCAGCAACTGGAGGTATATAACTGGTCAAATTGCTATAAGTGATCAAATAACCAGCAACTGGAGGTATATAACTGGTCAAATTGCTATAAGTGATCAAATAACCAGCAACTGGAGGTATAATTGGTAAAAATACCAGCAACTGGAGGTATAACTGGTAAAAATACCAGCAACTAGAGGTACAAGTGGTCAACAAATTACCAGCAACTGGAGGTAAAAATGGTCAAATTACCAGCAACTAGAGCTATAGTTGGGAAATGTGCTTCCCTCTGACAAGCCCTGAATTCGCCAGCATGTGCCAGCATCAAATTTGAACTATCTTCAGTCATACAGAGTGCCACCCTTTCAAACTTTACATTTATCAAACTGTATTATAGATTGATATTGTTCTGTTTTGAAAATGCACTGGTAGATCCTAGATGTTTTGAATATATAAACACTTCATATCGAAGCGTAAACGGTTTCCGGGACCTCAAACCTTGTCCTGTTAGAATTGTCAATTGTTTGCAAGTTTTGCTACTTACAAATAAAGCTATTATTATGTGGGACACTTGAACTAATGATTATAATACTGATTGTTTACAGATATAAATGTTAAACCTTCCTGTGTGTCAAAAATGTCATTGAAACTTGACGTTAGGTTAAGGCCTTATTTATGTCCCCCCTTTTAAAGAAGAGGAAATATTGTTTGGCTTAGTATTGCCCTATTGATACAGTTGTAGACAATTGTATGTCTGGCAGAGAACTAGATATAAACTGCACATAAAACAGATATAGTCAGTGGATGTTTTAGGGCAAAGGTCAAGGTTACATTTAAGTTTAGACTGAAAAAATGAGTTTCCCCAGTGTCAATAAAAAGAGAAAGGTTTCATTTGCAGTGGTCAAAATTTAGCAGAAGATAATGAAAATGAGGTGTTAAGGCAAGAAAGGCAACTGCTGTGGATTTATAAAGATAATAGCTTACTATCTTGATAATAAGGCATGAAAAATAAGTCCAATCAATGTTGGCACAAATAATTTTCTTATCCTATTACTATGGTGGCTGATTTGTGCTAATAAGCGGGGACCCGTGGCGAAGTTTTATTTATTAAACTTTGCCCCGCGCCCCCGCTAATAAGCGTGTTTTTGTTCCGCGACCCCGCTGTATTATTTCTTAAATCTCGCTCCGCGCCCCGGCAGGACAAAGTTTTTGTGTCGCCTTAAAAAGGTGACATATAGGGATTACTTTTGTCGGCGGCGTCTTTGTCGGTGTCGGCGTCCCCTAAAGCTTGTCCGGAGCATAACTCAGTCACTTTTAAGTCTGATTGACTTCAAACTTGGTATGCAAGCTTCTTTCAATAACTCGAAGTGCAGTACACAAGGATCGGTACTCTGCACTTCTTAATTTTTGAGTTATTGCCCTTTGTTAATTTTCATACTTTAATTTTGTCCGGGCTATTTCTCTTCAACTATAAAAGCTATGGACTTGAAACTTCATAGGATGATAGATCTAAGTAAGAAGAAGTGCAGTGCACAAGAACCGGTACTCTGCATTTTCTATTTTTTGAGTTATTGCCCTTTGTTAATTTCATACTTTAATTTTGTCCGGGCCATTTCTCTTCAACTATATAAGCTATGGACTTGAAACTTCATAGGATGATAGATCTCATTCAGAAGAAGTGCAGTGCACAAGAACCAATACTCTGCATTTCTTATTTTTTTGAGTTATTGCCCTTTGTTAATTTTCATACTTTGTCCCGGTCATTTCTCCTCAAGTATGAAAGCTATGGACATGAAACTTCATAGAATGATAGATCTCATTAAGAAAAAGTGCAGTGTTTAAGAACTGGTACTCTGCACTTCTTATTTTTGAGTTATTACCCTTTATTAATTATCATACTTTATTTTTGTCCATTTCTCCTAAACTGTATTGTTATCAAGGCGACAAATCCGACTTGCGGAGTTCTAGTATTTATCAAACTTCGCCCCACTCCCTCGCTCATTAGCGTGTCTTCGCTCCGCACCCCCGCCATTTTAACTTGTTAATTTTCGACTTTTCGCTTGGCGGGGTCGAGGGGTGAAAACACGAATGACAAAGATCAGCCACCATACATTACTGACATGATAACAGAAATAGTTATCAAGCATGTGTTATCAGGTAGAATGCCCTTTAAGTATTTGTATGATAAATATAGCCTTTAATGTCAAAGATATTCCGGGGATTTTTGCATAAGTGTTTTAGGGTCAAGTAAAATTAATACATATTCAGAATTTTCACACAATACAATCATTATACTAATTGTACAAGTCAGGAAGTTTTCAGATATACAGCTAGACAATGTGGGTCATCCTTAGTCATAAAACTAAAATAGTTTTTGCCCTATATAATTATATTGTGATACAGAAATCTTTCGTCAAAGCTAGAAATACATAAAATAAAACAATCATTTAATGAAATTCATAATTATATACATTTATACATATATGTATGTGGTGGCATATGGCTAAGTATATAGGGAAAGTGAATTATTTACATGATGTGTGGTCTTTGAATGAATTGTATTTCTTTCTTTTTTTCTACATGATGAAATTGTCAAGCTGGTTAACGAAAAAGTCAATTTATAATTAGATATCTACACTAAAACATATGAACATGCTTTATACACTAATGAAAATGAATTGGAATTTAATGATTCATGTTTGAGGAAATAAATAGTTTACACTTGGCCTGTAAACTATTTATAAGTGAACTGTTAATAAAGAGATGATATGTATTTCTAGCAGAATGTGCCAACTGGGGTGTCCTACTGTATATATGTTAACAATTGTCTTCATATTTGCTCCACAGTGTGCCCTTGGGTTTGCTCATAAGCCATTATTGACCCCACCTGTTAATGCTGCTGCCTGGATTATGAAAACCTAGATCAAGTTTTCTTATGATAATCACCAAAGTAATTGTTGTTCTTTAGCATTCTTTATATTCTTCTTTGCTGAAAATTTAAGAATTTGTCAGTAAAACTATTGTTGTTTTCTACACCAGTCTGAGACACTTTGAAATTTACATCTCCACTTCAGTAAGGGAAGAACTCATGATTGGCTAGCATCTATTTCTGTGAAGGAAGTTCAAGGTTTGTCTTAGTCATTGATAAACTTCATGCCATATGCCAGCCTTTTTCATTTAAGATGTCATGTGACAGTGTATGTCTGCTATGACAGTGCACTACCTCAACACTTAGCATTTGTTTCTTAAACATATCATATATGTTTTATACAACTTACTGCATATTTTAACATTATCAGTGTCAAAAATATTTCAAATGGTATTGAATACTGTTTTCCGTGTCATGCCATTTGACTATGCAATGAATAATAAATAAACTAGCATACTTTTTCAGAACCAGACATATACTCTTTCAATGTTTGGATTACTGATAATAGCTTGTAAAAAAGGGAATGGAGATGTAACAGTATTGAAGTTTCAATCATAGTAACAATGGGGCCACTATGTTTGTTCTGGAAGAGATTGATATCTTGTTCAAACAAGCCAATATTGAAAAAAAAAATCACAATTGTACAACAGTTACATAGAGTTAATTAATAGAGTTTCAGATATTAGCCGCAATACATTTGCAATTGGCCATGTACAAAATACAACAAACTTCCATACTGTTTAATAGCAAGATTTAATTGATTGGGAACAGCACTAGGTATTCTTCTAAAATTGATAGTACTCGTAATTTTTTTTTATACCTTACTTACATTATGTAAAGAGTGAAAAAAATTAGCTTTTAAGAGAAATTGTATTAATGTGTTAGTGAAATAAATATTTACATTGGACTTAAGACAAGATTTTAGGTCATTTTTATTGACAATGGACAATGAATTATTTACAATCCTGCATGAATTGATGGGAAGATTTGTTTTCCTTAACCTTTCTATTAAGATTTTATCAAGGTACATGATGTAACTTGAGCCGTCTCTAGTATTTATTGTCTTGTTTTACATAATCCAGAACTACCCACTTTCTACAAGCAGACATTTCATGTACACTTAGTGGAAAAGTTCACTACACCTTTTTCAGTTAACTGTGGGCATACCTAACATACTTTACATTTCACACTGTTTAAACACGGAAACTTGAATTATCGAAATACAGACTAAACAAGGTAAACACGCAAGATGGCCTTATATGGTATTACATAAACTATGTTAAAAACCCATCTTGTGGTTTTTGTGGTCAAAGAGACGGGACGACGTGTAATTTTTATTCAACTTTTTTATCACCTGTTTAAATTTCAGTTATTTAATGATTAATTTAAATATTGTGACATATGTTTTTTATAGGGAAAAGTCAGTTATAATATAATAGTTTTTCAAGTTTTACTGGTTATTTAAGCTATGGGGGAATATGTTCATTTAAGTTTTTTCAATGGTTTTCCATGGATCAGCAGTTTAGGTCTTTCACTTTGACCCTGAGACAAGCAACACTTGAAATTAATCGGTACTGAATTATTTCCCTTAATGAAGTTATAAAAGTCCTTGTATGCATGCAAGAACTATCTTGCAAGTTGAGAATAATTAAGACTACAGTCCATGTTTATAAATGACCTCCTGACCAGTTACCAAAAGGTCTCTTTATATGAATCTTAGTATCAGGAACTAAATTTTGGTCACCTTATTCAAAACTACCCCTTCTATTACATTATACTAAGGGTAAAGGACCATCCATCAGGTTTATTGATGTTTTGTTTTTTCAAAAGAACATTTTTAATGGACGAATAATGTTTTGGTCCTTGATGAATAATCATAATTTTCCGTACATTGAAGAACTCATACATGCAGGCAGTACATGATACTTATATCACAACAGAAATTCTGATTTGTTCATCATTTTACATGAAATTACCGTGGATATACATATAGATAGAATGATGTTGTATTTTATCATAATGTCTCATATTGTAGAAAATAATTGATGCACTGCAGAGATGTGATTGAAACATCTGTGGAAAAAGTAACAATTCCCTGGCACGTTAACAGCAATTCTCTCATCATATATTGTAATGAATTCCTATATGTCTATGTCTACAGGTGGCTCTCATGTATATACACAATATAATTACAATTATTTTAACACTTTCCCTGCTGGAAGTTACTGAACAGACCAATGCAACCAATACAGACCAAGATTATGGTCTGCACTGTTCACTTAATATGATTCAGTCAACACATATTTTGACAAAATACCTGAAATGATACATGGTCTAGTCCAGATCGAAAGATGGATAAGTCAATTCAGATATATAGAAGCCTGTTGCTATCTACTTTTTTATTTGCCACAGAAAATGTTAAATTTTCATTTCATGAATGAGATTTTTTGTATGAAGAAGTTCAGCTACTTTCATATGGTATTTTGAGGTGTGGTTATCTTGAAGTTATATTGAAATTATAGTGCACATAACATCTGTTCACTTTCTTTGAACAAGTAAATATTATGTACTATTGATATGATTCCAAAATATGTTAGAAAACCTCTGTTTGTGCAGTAAAACCAGTTATTTGTACTGGTAGATATCTTTAGAAGTTGTTACATGTATTTCAGCTGAATATGATATATTATAGACTTTAATGCCAGTGAACTAACAAGTTAACATAGCTAAGGATGTTTAGGTTTCAATTGTAAGACTTGAACCTTTTTACTAGAATCATCACATGTCCCTCACCACTGTGGACTTTAATTTCTCAAGGAACTTTGAATGCTATCCAGCTAGCTTACAGTGCCTGAAAATACTGTACTTTTAGGCATTTGAGGTGTACCTGACCGGCCACTGGAGCTGTAAAGTCATTACTTACTTAAATAGTGTTTGTATGACTATAAATACATCTTACAAAAAGGACCTTGTGTCTGGGGGTATTTGTTGAGTTTACTTGCTGGTTAATTTTGATAGATCAAGGCCAACTTTAGTTAAAAACACAAAATTTCAAACAATGATCTAAACTATGATTTTCCTTGTATATGTCAGAAGACTGGAAGCATGTTCCATCAGTTAGGAACAAAGATAAAAGGTTGATGATAACAAAAGTGCATGTTGGGAATGATGAGAATGTTACTTTATATTATTTTAGATAAGACTTTATGACATTCCAGAACTAGGAAAATATTAGCAATTTGTCTGAGGTAAAATATCAATAGTGCTGTGTTCATAATATATTGCATGCACGATCATACATGCAGATGTTCACAGTGATATCTCAGGAACACACCTTTTATTTCTCCATTTTATGATTTATATATAGCTTAAACACTTCAAAAGACAAAAGAAACTTGCATTTAATGTTTTTACCTAAAGATTACCTTTGTTCCTCTATGAAAAAAACAACAACAAAAACACCCTCACACTTTGCAATATTCTTGAGATATAACTTGGGGATGAATTCAAGCTTTACATTGTTAAATGTGATATTAAAAGGGTTTCCAGAAGTTGAAAGTTACAAGTAAATCATCTTCTTCAATAGAGAATAATGATTTAACATGATACAGTGGTTTATTGGGTTATTTCTGGTACAGATTTATTTACTATCCCAACATCTTACCCTGTAGGCTATACCTTGCCTGTAATGTTACAATATTTTGACACTGATAAAACTATTGATGTTTTAAAGTAGACTTTCATCAACAAAATAAGATTTATAAACTAGATTGTTTGTTTGTTTATTTGTTTTTATTGTTGAATTCAGCACATTGTTGGTCATTTCTTAGTGGTTGATTTTCCTTGACAACTAGCCAGTAATTTACTTTCAAACAATGCAAATTTCTACTATGTTATTGTATTAATATCAATAAAAACATACTTTTTCATATTTTGGTTTCCCTGGTGTATCATTGTATGTCAATTTATTACAGTACATTAATGATGAATGATTTCATTATTAATTTATAGATATAAGTGATGTGCATAATTATGTACATTCTGTCAGAAATTGACAGCTATATTTGGTCATTATAGAGCCAGATACAAAATATAGGTTGTAATATGCAGCATTGACTTGTGAATTATCTTAACTTTCAAATTGTCCGATTCCTTGTTGACTATCTGATTGCCCTTAACAATTATTGCTTCCAATGACTTTATTAATTGCATTAAGTATGGTATGGAAACACTGTTAATCTGATAGGCATTATATACAAGCTGTCTTTCTACAAGTAGGGTAAAATACAAGTAGGGTAAAAAAAATAACTTCATAGTATATTATAATTATGACTTGTAATAAAAGATGTATTTAAGGCCAATATTGTGTTACTATTAGTAACTTTATATCACATATATCTAGTATCTTATCTAAATAGCACTTTTGTGGGGAAAATTTAAGTGAAAGGAGCAAATTATATATTTGCTTTGTGAGCAAATCATAAACTGCATAATCTGGACATTTGTTGTTTGCTTTACAAATATGTGCTGATTGGTTTAATTTTTTCGTATTTCAGAGGTGAATCTGGTGCCGGTAAAACTGAGAATACAAAGAAAGTCATCCAATATCTTGCTTTTGTAGCGGCCTCATCACGCACCCAGCGTACCTCTGTCTCTAATGTTCATATTCAGGTATGTATTTGGGCCCGGTGTAAATTATCAGTCACAGAAAATATCACTGTCATCATCATCTGCTCACTAGATGTTTGGCTGCGGTTGCTGGTCTTGTTTTGTGACATATATACTATTCTTAACTCAGTATGTTATTGTTCAGTGCTGGCAACTGCAAGACATATAAGGGAGAGGGCATTCTATGTCAGTAGATAATACTTTTACAGGCATTCTATGTGTTGAAATACTTTCAGCTTGAGTTATTAAATGTTATAGGCTAGAATGCATAGATTTTCTTTCACTTTTTTGCTTCATCAAAACAAGAGGTTCAGCATTGGATGGTCCTTTGTTGTAAAATAATCTGCCTTTTGCAAGTTCAGCATTGTATAAAAGTGGTGACATTGGACAATTCATTGCCCTCTTGTTTTAAATGATGGAAAAAAGATTTTGTTAAAAAGCTGCTAGTGATGTTTTAAAACTGGATAGTGGTAAGTTAAGTCCAGTTTAGAATTTTGCTTCATAGACTAGGACAGTGTCTAGATATAAAAATATGATTTTAAACTGATTAAGTTATGTTTGAAGAAGGCAATTGATTTTGAAAATAAGACTTTCTCTACAACACCTTTAAAGAATATATAAAACTTCCTAGGGTGCATCATAATCAAGTTGAACTAAAACTTATTAGATGATATAGCGTGTTTGGTGGGAAATGGTTATAACTCATATGGCATGAAGAAGCTGTATCAGTTTCGCGCCAAGCCATAAAGAAGCTATGACAGTTTCACGCCAAGCCTACGATTTGTACATATCAAAAGCATTAAAAGACTTTGAACTTTGTAAAGTTTAGTCGTTTATACTTTTGTGTGTAAATGTTCTAGGGTTTCGATAACAGAAGTCATATCATGGTATGTACGACACTTTAAGTTCTCGTACTTTCTGTGTGAGACAGAGTTGTGGTTGCAAGAATTCTTGTTGCCTGTTGTATTTAATCTTGCTTTCGTTATATGTTAAAAAAAGTTATAAAAGTTGTTGATGAATATCAAGCGAAACAAATTTTGCATGATGATTATTTATTTATCTTTAGAAAAAAACTTTTGATTTTCTGTTTGAGACATGCTGGAGTATTGTAATATCATATAGATTAGTGGAATTAAGCAAGAAGCATAGTTTATTTCACTTGCAGATTTTTTGTTACGCCTTGCATATTCATCAATGTTTAAGATTTCATCAGAATTTATATATATATTAGTACAATGTTTAATCAGAATGAAGATTTTGATTTTACAGTTTTTCACTTCTGTTTTTTTTTTTCCATTAAGCACTGTTATAATTTTAGAAAGTTGACCAGTATCCTAATAAAGTGTTTCTGATCTTTCTAATTCATTACTTGGATTTTTCTAATTTTTTAAGGACGACAAATTTTCAAGAGTAAGAACGCTGTTAAAGATATCCATTATAGTACACAAAACCCCCATTAACACTATCACTAAATGCCCTCTACATATAAAATTGTTTTGTACACAGAGAATATGTCTATTCTCTCATAGTTAAAATATATTCTATCTTTCCTAGTGACCCATCATCTCCCAAACATCTGTATTTCCTCTTTTAGTCATTGACTTATGGTCATGACTTCAAAATTTCTTCCCTGTTACCATATAGCCCATGGAACCTTTAAATAAATGTTATATAATCAAATTTCTAATAACATGCAAGTTGTTACTTCCAAAAAAATTTCATAATGATAATTTTGGATATTTTAGTCACCTACGCCATTAAAGCTAGTAAGTACGCGCATGTAAAGATTTTAGACAAGTCTCCCGACTTCATCAATATTGAATGATTTTCACGCAGTTTATTGATTTCGAAAATGTCTTGTGTTTTTTTTATTATTCTAGTTGAAAATCTTACATTAGTTCTGCAATTATAAAAGTAGCGATAACATGTAGAAATGATATTTACAAAACTAACATAATATTTTTTTCAGTTTTTTTTATTTTTCATGATTTAGTTTAATGGATAACCAATCACTAGCTCCAATATATATAAAATTATATTAAGGGCTATTGTCTTTACACTTAACTCTCACATTTTGATTTTTTAATAAGAAAATTGTTTGCAGTAGAATATTTTAACGTCACGACTGAAAGTGGTGGGGTTTTTTTTATCGACCAGTTAAGCTGGAAAGTTGCCATATAACCTTTACCATATATAAGCCGACCAAAAAAAAAAACCTTGCCAATATTGTGTTGTTATTCATTTTCTCGGTAATGCCATATTTCAATATTAAGGATAGAAATAATTGATTATGATGTCTCCTCTGGCAGCTTTTTGTTGACCAAGTTTAGATTTCAACAGTAAAATTGTATACCTTATAAAGCGAACAGGTGTCATGGTGTTGTTGAGTTTTCTTGTTTAAAGTTGTACAGTTGACCTAGCATTTGCAAAAAATTTGAAAATGACAAAATTCATGAAATATTTTCACAAAGATGTTATAATAACTTAAACTTGGATGATTACCAAACAAAATTTACAGGTTTTTCAGTATTTTTATGAAGCCAAGAGTTGATTCTGTTACTTTTAGTCTTCAGTTAAAAAATATGTCTTACACTAGCCAAATCTTCATAAAAAATGTTCATAATGTGTAATTATGTAATAAAAAGCTGTTAACCAAATTTGGTTTTAATTTATGATTTTAAGATTGCATGTTTAGCTAAGCTAAGAAAAGAAAGCATGATAAATATAAAAGACCTTATACAAAACTGGAATTGTATATATCAAAATTTCTAATAGTAATATTTTTATTGGGCCCAATTTTTGGCCATTTGTTTCAGGCAAAGTGCCTTCCGTGACTAGTGAAAAGTGACTAGTGAAAAGAAATAATTAAATAAAAAAAAAAAATCTGGATAGAAATATATGCCATTATTTTTATGAACCCCTGAAAAACATACAAGGGTAGATAATAAATAATTTGTCTTTCTAACCTACTTGTATTATCTCAAAGATCCTGCATTTTTATTGGAGGATAATTTTGATTGTTAGTATTTTTAATGACCCATAACCTTTGTATGGGGTCAAGGTTATCTAGACATAAAAATAAAAGTGAAAGCATTGTCAGGGAGCTTACATCAGTTTTGTTGATATTCTTGTTTGCACAAGACCAAAGCAGATCTAAGATGACGTATGGGGTCTTTTTTCTGTTGTGGCTAAAAATTTAGTGGCAAATAATGTTTGGCTTATTCTTGATGTGTTGGTGGCTAAAAAGACGCCAGTTGCATGTAAACAGGGTAATTTTACGTTACATGATCTTCACTGTGCAATGATATATAAATGTTTTAAAGTAGCACAGTTGTTTTGTTTTTTAAATGTATACAATTTTGTAGTTTACTGTCATAAAGGTAACTGGCGTCGTTTTGCCCAGCACATCACATATTTGTGTATGTTGTGATAAAATGTACTTTAATGTTGTCAATGAATCTTTGATTGTAGCAAAACACGTTTACTTTTGTGAGTACCGACAGTTGATAAAAATGCATGACAGAACATAAATGCACAATTTATACAAAATTATATCTTGTTTTTTATTGGTATTTTATATGAGTTCTTTATTAAGAAACACTCTTTTTTTCACAAACTCCCCCCTTTTATGCTAATGCTATTTACCAGTTTCCATATTGTTCTTAACATACCCTGGTAATCTAATGCAAGTATTTCTTTATTTTAGTTCATAGCACTGTTATAATGTGTTTGTTCTTTTTTACTCGACTCTGTGTCATCGAGGGGGGTGGGGTGGACTATTTGTCCTAAAACTTCCATGTATTAGTCAGTATGTTTAGTTTATTTTAGGTGTGCATAAACTTTTCTTTTCTTTAGAATGTTTTTGTGTCTGTCTTGTATTTCTTTTTTTTTCAGTAATAGCTTTTATCATTATTACAATATAGTAAAGTGGAAAGGTTACCTTTTGAATATTTGTTTAAAAAGAAGTCAGCAGTTTAATCTGTACAAAGGAAATGGTCTTTTGAATATAGGCAGGAAAGTATTTGAAATGACAAACTTTTTCAACAACATATTTCAAGGTTTCTTAGGTGGCTAGAAGTGCATGCTTGCTGTATAAGATGTAGTGCATTTTTGATATTATTTAAGTATATAGCATCATGTAGATTTAAATAAGCAATGCTTGAGGATAGCTTTTTCAGTAGCCCAAATCATTCTCACAATCATCATCATTTGTTTGGATATTGTTTTGTATAATTATTGTCAATCAGAGAAATTGCATCCACTATTTTTGATATCGATACATTTTTTTTTCTGTGTTGTAATTTCTTATTTAAATCATGCACTTTGTCAGAGCATGTAATATATAAATTGCAATTCAGGGTTTTCCCTCAGACTTTCAGAGAGGGGGTCCAAAGGCCTCCCAACCCCACCTTGTTAAAAATCTTTTAAGAGTCCATTGAAGTCCTCATATCAAAAGGGGTTTCAATGTCAAAGAATTGAAGGGACAGCAGTATAGAGTGATTAGACTACAAGGACGTGAAAGCTGGCCTGACTTGATACTGGTCATATGGTGGCATAGGCAAGTCACTCAGAGATGTAATTTTAATGTCTGTTTCAAAAAGTATTTAACACTAGTCTTGTCACAGATTACAACAATAAGTTTTGTCAATCTTTGTCAATCAGTAGAAAGCAAAAAAGTTTTGGATCTTTTATTAATTCTAAAGAACTTTATAGATGAACAGAAAAGAATATTTCTCACACAGCTCTGCTGCAAGTGTCTGCATTTGCATTCATTTCAATATTATTTTTGAAAACATCTTGTTTCAATAACTCTCAAAAAAAATAAGATTTAGAAACTAAGGGAAAATAAAACAGATGTGGGTGCATTTCTCTGTATTGAATATTTGAAGAAAATAAAAGCAGAATAATTTCAAAGGAATAATTTTCAAATTCAAAAGATGGATATTAAGTATTGATTCGAAATTTTAACTAAATTGTAAAAACAAATTGTAATAAAGTTCAAGCTGTAGTTCAGTAGAGATGTAAATGAAAGTATTTTTAGTACTGTAGAATCATTTCTGTAGTTTTGTAAACATAAGTTTCTATATTTGAATGAAAACAGAAAAAAGAAAACATGGCATGTGATAATTTTGTTGTCTCCAAGACAAACAGTGTTTGAAATAATATAGAATATGTGCATTTAGGATAAGGCAGAATTTTCATTTTAACATTTGGTTAGCTTTAAATTGAAAAAAAAAAATCAAAGACATCAAGTTAAATGGTACTTAAATTATAAAGTAACAAAGTAGTCATGTACTCTGTTTTATCAATTGAACAAGTCCGCTATGAGTTGCTTATCGATAATTGTGCTGTAAATGTGTTAATTAAAATGGTTTATACGTCTGTGACTTGAATTGTCATAATCTGTGTAAAGAAAATATCACTGTGACGCCTTTACCTTTACAGTGACAATAAAAGTTTCACATAATTTTACTGAATTTTTCACGACCTCTATTTCAAACACTGTTGTCAAGGGGACAGATATATTGTGTCCCAAGCATGTACTTTGTCTAATCAGACTCTCTCATTTTCTTTCCTTGCTATGGGGAAATGTCACCGTTGTTGTGTATTATAGAACAGAGAGATCAACCTTGTAAGTATACACAGAGACAAACAACCTCCTTCATACAAATCAGTCAGGACAGCGTTTTTGTTACTAAAAGAATTTTACATTTTTCATGGTTTGCTATTATAGCTCGTCAGAGCTGAGGTAGCAAAGAGATTTTATGGACAGGGTGGATGGTGTAATGTCTGTCTTCGAGTGTCTTATGCAAGTTCACTTGTCTGAAATTATTGGCCAGATAAGTTCGAATATGTGAATAACATTACTGCTCTGATCGAAGTACATGTATAGTCATCATCATCGTCTTGACCCATTTTAGCGGAGTTAAGGACAAAAACAACACACTTAAACACCTCATAAATTGATAAATCAGTCATCACCAAACTTGGTGGAGTATTCCCATTGAAAAAAAGTATTATTATAAATTACCAATTGTTGAAAAGCATATAAAAAGCAAATTGGAAATTTAAATGCAGGAATATTAGGCAGATTTTCTCGATATGCATGTACATTTACTGTCATATGCATACTTATACTAATGATTTGAGGAAGTCATAGTTACAGAAGTATAGTACATAGAACTGTTATCAGTATACAAATGTAATGAAGCAAGTTAAGATGATGGGGTTGTCACACTAAATCAGTATAAAATGTGAAAATCATGACTTAATTTGCCTGCAAGGTAATTGTAATAGATTTTTGAGGATATTTTTTGGGCAATTTTTGGGGGGAAACTTAGTACTATCTCATTACATATCAAATGATCGTCCTTGTTAGTGATACACAAAAACTTATTCTTTAGCCATTAGATGTAAAATAATGTCTAGACGGCCTGAATAGGGACTCAACTACATGCATGTATGACCTTAACCCTTACCGTACGAATTTACACTGCTTTCAGTTTGGAACAGTCTGTTAAAGTATTTCAATATCAAAAGTACTAGAATTGAGCTACCAATGGTATAGAGGCTGGTAGACTGACCTGGCTCTTTACTGGTTGCAATGGCTTATTTCTTTCAGTTCCAGCAGGTTATAAAGTGTTGGTTATAATGTTATTGTGTATCCCAAGGTTATTGTATAATCCTGACCCTAATATTATTAGGATGACATAGCACAAAATATTTATTCTGGTGAGCAATTATAGGGACCTCATGGCCTGTTTATGCAAGACAAAGTTTATTCAAGTTTTCTCTGATATGAAGACATTCTACATTATCAACTGGCCAACATTGAAATTGATAATTAAATATATTACAAAGATATGTGATATTTGTAGGGGTTGAGTGTTGTTTATAGAAGATACTGGTAAACATGTTAATAGTTTTTTTTTGCAATTTTTAGAAACCCTGACAAACTTTTTATGAACACTCGAAAATTGATTCATCAATGTGAATGAGATTAAAGATTAATAATAAAGTTGGCTGTAAGCAGAAATAGGATGAAAACACTGTCTTGTACATTAGTGATATGTTGATTTATGTTATTTATTAAATGTGTGTTGTTTGAAGGTTGTAAATATTTATAGATATATCTTTGGATACGAAACAGGTAGTAACAGGTATATTTTGTTGATAATCATTCTGTATAAACAATTACGTACACAATTTAGTCAGGTATGTCATACAGAAAAACCTCATTCTGTACAGATGTCAATGAAACAATATGTAGGCTTGCACTTTAACAGTATTTGGCTTATTGCTTGCACATAACTGAGATGTGAATGAACGAAACATTTGTTTGTACATGTAATGATGTAACATGTCAAGAAGAAGTTTTCCCCTCTCGAAAGTTTTGCAAATTAATTTCGCAATATTTATTGAGACATTTTCACTCCCCCCGCCCCTACCCTCCCAACAACCTCTGTATTTATGACCCCCTCCTCACTCCCCCCTCCCAATGAACCACAATATACACACTGTTTATGATATTCCATTATGCATTCTTTCAATTTCACCATCAATAATTTAGTTTAATGTACTGGGCATATCTGCTAAAATTTATTTTATTAGTGTGTTGTTACATTATGCATGGATGAATCTGCTGAAAAATTCTTGGAACCAACACATGATCTTTCTGCATACTAAATTTTCTAAAGAAAGGCACAGGCAAAAACTATATTATACTATATTTCAACATCAACTATGAGAATTTATGCCCTATATAATATTATGATGACCCAGCACTGTGAGTTCGATTTCCTTCAATGGATTTTGTAATTCTTTCATGTAGAAAAGCCATTTAGCAAGCTCACGTTACTTAAACCCAACCCCATGGAACATTCTCCTTCTCCCCCTTCTCCCCCTCCTCACCCCATCTCTTTAAAAAAAAAAATTGCATTAATGAATAGTTTCAGAGTTACCAAATAATTTTAAAAATTGATATTTTGTGAAAGGTCTATATTACTTGGTTTAGTGCTAGTGAACTTGACAGGCATAAATTTTAGGGCAGGATTTAGATTTCATGGAGAGGAATTGCTGCTGTTGCATTGGTTGTTAACGAAAATAGGGTCTTTCATTATTAAATCTATAGAATGAAATTTTTTAACATATTTGAAAAGAAAACAAACATTTTTCCTATCTCAATTATGTGCAAGCAACCTTTTTACTAATGAATATGTTACAAAATATTTGTAGTAATACAATTTTATTGACTTCCTTTGCACTTTTCTTTCCTTTCTCGGGTGAAATTTGGCATATTATTTATTTTTTTACCTTTAAATACACAGTAGTACAAGTAACTTTAGTCCTCAGTAAACTTAATTAATTTTAATTTACGTGTCTGATTTGAACTATGCCACCCAATATTTACACAGATATTTTAATGACTATGATTGTGTTGTTGTGTTGTGTGTGGTGTTGGCATGGTTGTGTTGTAATTTTGTCATGTGTGTAGTACACGATACATTGTGTAAGGTCATGTTTTCACATTGTGTTGTCTATACATTATACAGGGAGAACTCGAGAATCAGCTATTACAGGCCAACCCGATCTTGGAAGCTTTCGGTAATGCTAAAACTATCAAGAATGACAACTCTTCAAGATTTGTAAGTATTTTCTAACATCTGTTCTAACTTTAAAAAGTATGATTTGAAATGTTTCAATTGAGAACGATGAAAAAAATATATTAATACATGTACTGTTGATATTTTTATACTGTCAAAATACCTCTGAATTCACTGCTGCAAAATACTACACACATAGTGGATTGTGTGCAAAACACTTGAGATGCTTAATGACAATTCTCAATATTGTCGTGCATTCTTGACATTCCTGGCGGAGGAAATGACAATTGAGTGTAAAAAATCTCTATTAGATTTTTTGTTGTTTTTTTCAAGTGTCAATACAATAGGAGATCAGGCTATGTAACATTCGGTGATACGAATTCAGTTTACATTGTTGCTATACCATTGTTTTATCTAGATAATGATGTAATTAGTAAAATTGTCTGTATATTGTGTATGTATTGTAAAGTATTCACTGGTAACATGTTTCATCTATACAGGTGTGTTATACGTCATCACACACACATGACTGTCATTATACCTGACTCAATTGATCACTAGTTTTTATGTGAAAACATTCTTCATGATTAGGTTTACAAATATGTATTGTTTTTTCTTGGTCATTTAAGTTTGCAGTGGTTTTTGAAAGACGAAATTAATAAAAAACAAATTTAGCTTATAAATCGACATGATGTCACATCAAAAATACTGAGCCATTTTCACTTGTTATTGTATTGATTTACTCAGGGAAATATACATAAACACATACAATATCGTCACATATATCAACATGTATATAAACACACACAAAATGCAACAAAAATGATAATTAAATTAAGAAGTATGTTTTATGTTACTCTAGGATTGCCCATTAAGCTAAAAGCTTATTTCCAATGGGATGCAATAATTATGTTTACATTCTGTAACGATAATTCAAATGAAAAGTAAAATTGTACTAAATACATGTATGTATTAAAAATATACTTATATATGCTTTCATTTGTCAATTTCAGGGTAAATTCATCCGAATCAATTTTGACACATCTGGTTATATATCTGGGGCCAATATAGAAACATGTATCCTTTTGACTGGGATAATAATCTTCGAAATGCTGGTTTGACTCCCAGGCAATGCAAATTTTCTCTGTTATAATTGATCTTTGACATTAAGTTAAATGGTCATTTGTCTCAGAATGCTTGTGGGATAAGTAGTCATAGATATTGCAATTTCTGGCCAGTTATCTAGGAAAACTGGTAAGGTGGACCGACTACTGATATGAGACCAAAAAATGCGTTAAATCGGTGTTACAGAACTCATTATTGCTCAACATCACACAATTTTACCCACTGATAAGCCATTTACCAATATTTGATGATAAAAATGTTGTTGATGGTGGTATATATGGACTTTAGTATCACTCAGGTGTCATTTTCTTCCATCATTTTCCCACTGACTTAGTTTTAAATATTAATAAAAAAAGTCAAAGATGTTACTGTCAAAGTTGTAAAATTGAATACAAAATATTCCTAATAGAGTAACAGTCTGTTGATAAACATATAATATTGACATTTTAAGCATAATTTTTTGTAAAGTTTCGTGTCATTTCATATTTAAAACATGATAAGAAGTAAGTGTATGATTTGATTATAGTGCACAATTCTTTAACTGTGTGTAAGATTTACTAGAGAAGTCTCGAGCTATAAGACAGACAGACCAGGAAAGATGTTTCCACATTTTCTACCAATTCCTTCAGGGGGCCACACCTGCTCAGAGAAGTATATTTTCTCCAATGCTATTAAAAAGTTTTAAGTTTGTGTAAAGTGCTGTTGCAAAGCAATTCTAATGAATGTCTAGTAATAATAATGATAATTCAGTGTTTAAACATAAGGGCTTAAAAAGTGTCAGTTTATTTTGTACTTTTGTTTACCACTTTTATAGCAAAGTTGTTACAAACTTGTAAAGGTAAAGGTGGTTTTAATATGACTTTCTGTAAGAAATCTGTAAATTTATTTTAAGTTGACATATAAAATTGTTCTTTTTGTTGTTAATATTGCATTAGAATCTTGACTTATACAAAAGTTTTTGAGCATTTAAGAACAATGAAGGAAAAGTCAGCATTAGGTAGACTATAAGCAAGTTTTTGAAGATTCTAGCCTTTGTTTCAAATTAAAATTCTGGTGATAATGTAAATCTGGTTTTGATTCTTGTAAACTTTTGTAATGATATCGGTATTGATATATAGTGTATGTTTTACAGAGGAGTTTTTGCTGGATGATATTGGCAATTATAGATACTTGACCAAGGGCCACATGGCAGTGGCTGGAGTTGATGATGCAGCAGAATTCCGCTTTACTATTGAGGCCATGAACATTATGGGAATTAATCCAGAAGAACAATCAGGTAAAAACTGTTGTGGAGTAGTCTGTAACTTACGATACATGTTAATTAAATTATAAGGATAGCTGACTAAGCTTTTTGCACTTTCCTTGCCTTTGACATGACTATTTGGTTGAAAAACCCTATAATAGACATGTAAAAGCCATTTTCTTTAAATTCTTGGTAGATATCTTGGACTTTACTATAAACTGATATTTCACACACAAATTACAAAAATAGAGAGCTTTACCTTGCGTTTCTTTCTTCAAAGATACAAATTTCTTTTGCCATTAATGTACTTATGCCTTTTACTTGAACACACTACTGTCAACATACTCAATGACTTATACATGTACAGTATGTAACAGCCTAGAGTACTGTTTTAAACTTATATTTGACAATTTATGTTTTTATGCTGTACTTAATTTTTGAAAAATAGTTTTAGATCTGTATAATTATGTTTTTATTGTTCATCAGTAATCTAATGAAATACTGTTTTGTTTACAGCTCTACTAAGAGTGATGTCATCTGTGCTGCTTTTTGGCAACATGAAGTTCCAACAGGACAGGAAATCTGACCAGGCTACCCTTCCAGATAATACAGGTATGGTTTAAGATGACAAAAGGAATACGGTCACAATAGACTTACTCCAGAATAAAGAATATTTTGGGTTTTTCAAAGTTAATCTGGAGGTACAAACAAACTTTTACAGTGTTACAGCCTCGAAAAAACTTGCATCAGGTACTGCACTGTGAAACTGTAACAGTAAAAGTTTGTTTTTACTGGGATATTAGCATGGAAAAACCGGATACTGAATTTTATTAAACTTTGACATGTACTAAATGTATGTATGTTGATAGAAAAATGTTCTATGAAATTAAAGCTTTAAAGCTTTTTGTTTCTGTTCTGATAATTGAATTGTAGAATTTAATTGACAATACTTGTGAATTCATTTGATTTTGTGGGCATGAAATTTGGTGGTTTGTTGCAAAGGATATTTTCAGGGCTTCTGAAATTGGTGGATTGTCTCTTTTTCCAAAAAAGTGAAATGCAAATAATCTAGTGCAAAGTAATCTTGTAGCAGACTAATGAAGATTCACTTGATCTTAAATTCATGGTTTGACCTATTCTAGAAATCTACAAAAATAAGTGCTCCATGAATAATAACATTGCAGTGTTAACTGTTTCACCATTTACACCACTAATGCTTTATGTTTCAGTGGCACAGAAGGCTTGCCATTTGTTAGGGCTTCCAGTAACTGCAGTTACACAAGCATTCCTTCGTCCCAGAATCAAGGTTGGCAGGGACTTTGTAACCAAGGCTCAAACCAAGGAACAGGTGTGGTTTTCCAAAATATTTCGTGTATACTTTCTATACAAGACTGTTGAAAAGAAGTTTTTTTCAGATGACATTTACATATGAAAATCAATAAAGAAGACTAGTAAATGATATAAGACAACTTTGTGCACTGCTTGTTGCCTTTGAACCTTTTATAAAACCATGAGCTTGTTTGATTATTCAAATGACTAAATGATTATTATTAGCTCACCTGAGCATGCTCAGGGTGAGCTTTTAGGATCGATGATTGTCCGTCGTCCGTCCGTCCGTCGTCAGTCCGTCGTCCGTTCACATTTAGTTGTTAACACTCTAGCGGTCGCATTTTTGCCTCAATCATCATCAAACTTGGTCAGGATGCTTATCTAGTTGATAGCTCGGATGAGTTCGAACATGGGTCATCTCGGATGAGAAACTAGGTCACAAGAGCTAAAAATAGAAAAACCTTGTTAACACTCTAGAGGTCACATTTTTGCCTCAATCATCATCAAACTTGGTCAGGATGCTTATCTAGTTGATAGCTCGGATGAGTTCGAACATGGGTCATCTCGGATGAAAAAGTAGGTCACAGGAGCTAAAAATAGAAAAACCTTGTTAACACTCTAGCGGTCACATTTTTGCATCAGTCATCATCAAACTTGGTCAAGATGCTTGTCTAGGTGAAAGCTCGGATGAGTTCGAACATGGGTCATCTCGGATGAAAAACTAGGTCACCGGAGCTAAAAATAGAAAAACCATGTTAACACTCTAGAGGTCACAATTTTGCCTCAATCATCATCAAACTTGGTCAGGATGCTTATCTAGTTGATAGCTCGGATGAGTTCAAACATGGGTCATCTCGGATGAAAAAGTAGGTCACTGGAGCTAAAAATAGAAAAACCTTGTTAACACTCTAGCGGTCACATTTTTGCATCAATCATCATCAAACTTGGTCAAGATGCTTGTCTAGGTGATAGCTTGGATGAGTTCGAACATGGGTCATCTCGGATGAAGAACTAGGTCACCGGAGCTAAAAATAGAAAAACCATGTTAACACTCTAGAGGTCACATTTTTGCCTCAATCATCATCAAACTTGGTCAGGATGTTTGTCTAGGTGATAGCTCGGATGAGTTTGAACATGGGTCATCTCGGATGAAAAAGTAGGTCATCGGAGCTAAAAATAGAAAAACCTTGTTAACACTCTAGCGGTCACATTTTTGCATCAATCATCATCAAACTTGATCAAGATGCTTGTCTAGTCGATAGCTCGGATGAGTTCGAACACGGGTCATCTCGGATGAAAAACTAGGTCACAGGAGCTAAAAATAGAAAAACCTTGTTAACACTCTAGTGGTCACAATTTTGACTCAATTGTCATCAAACTTGGTCAGGAAACTTGTCTATGTCATTGCTGGGAATAAATCGAACATGGGTCATCTCGGATGAAAAACTAGGTCACAGGAGCTAAAAATAGAAAAATCATGTTAACACTCTAGTGGCTACTGTTGTGATCCAAATATTCTGTTAATTGGTCTGAAAGTTTGTTTTGATGATTTCTAAGTCAAGATCGAACATGGGTCATCTTGGATGAAAAACTAGGTCACACCGCCCAAATATGGAAAAACCTTGTTAACATTATAGTGGTCACATTTTCGACTCAATTATCATCAAACTTGGTCAGGATGCTTGTCTAGGTAATTGCTTGGATGAGTTCGAAATCGCATGTGAAACTAGGTCACCGGAGCAAAAAATAGAAAAATCTTGTTAACACTCTAGTTGCTTCTGTTTTGATCCAAGTATCCTGGAAATTGGTCTGAAAGTTTGTTTTGATGATTTCTAGGTCAAGTTTGAATATGTGTCACCTGGGTAAAAAACTAGGTCGCACTGTTCAAATATGGATAATCCTTGTTAACACTGTAGTGGTCACATTTTTGACTCACCTGTCATGAGACTTGGTCAGAATGCTTTTCTAGGTAATTGTTTGGATGAGTTTGATTAGTCAGGTGAGCGATCTAGGGCCATCATAGCCCTCTTGTTTTAAAGAAAAAGTCAACTTGTATAATTTGTCTTTTGACCCTTTGTGGAATGGGCCTGCCAAGCTTTAAACTTGGAGAAGTCCATTAAAAGTTATAGGGATTTCAATATCAAAATAGAAAAAGCTACCAACAGAAATGAGCTTTGTCAGAATGCACAGCTGTGCAGCCTGGCCAGACTTTATAGATACTGGTGACAAAGGCTGTTCACTTTTCTGAAATTCCAGCACAGATAAAGGGTAAATTAAGAACATACTATGTAATAAAATGACTTAACATTTCAGGTGGAGTTTGCTGTTGAGGCTATTTCCAAGGCTTGTTATGAACGTATGTTTAAATGGTTGGTTACAAGGATCAATAAATCTCTCGACAGAACAAAGAGGCAAGGGGCCTCATTCATTGGTATCCTAGATATAGCTGGATTTGAAATCTTCAAAGTAAGTGAATAAAAATTGTGTTCTTATATTTTATTATTTTAGTGGATAATTGTGTTATTGGGGAGAGAAATGTCATTTACACAGCTGTTAAATTATAGTGAGTTGACTTTGGAGAAGATCATTGCAGATTAATTTTGTTTTTCTAACTACATCAGATTATTTGTTGGTAACTATAGTATTTTTACATAAAATTGAAAATAATTGTTTTCATTTGCTTTTTAAGTTTTATGAATGATGTCTAAAAAGTACTGATGAAAATTTTTCTTGATATTTTGTTAAAAACCCTAGTTAAGAGTGGAAAGTTTATAACCCTTTGCTGCATAACTGGCTTCTTAGGAAAACCCAGCTTTCACAAGAGTGAGTTTGAAGTTTAAGCTTTTTTGAAGATAACTCTTACACTGCTATATTCATATGATAAGTGACTTGGTCCGCTTTGAACAAGTGCTTGCCATTCATTTAAGGAGTTTCAATATCAAAATAACCAAGTTTGAGCAGTCAGCAGCAAAGACTTTCAGTCTGACTTGACTTAACTGGTGGCAAAGGCAGTAGATATAATCATCATTGCTGTTGGCATTCAGAGAGATAAATAAATATTTTGATAACTACAATATCTATTGAATTTACAGTTGTTTTTGCATTGCAAGAATGAAAATATTATAAATGCTTGTATACACCTTGGCTCCACAATTATTTTACAAGCAACATTTTCTGCATGCCCCCTAAGCTTAGATTTTTTTACCCATCCATTTGCAATCCATGGTAATTTACTATTAAAATATCAAAATTTGAAAAATTCCAACACTTGTCAATTTATTTTTTAATGACATGATTAATAAATAGTGACAAATTAATTCTGATGATCATAATGATATGACCTTTGTTAAATTTAAGATGAATTACTGTCATTCTGAAACGATAATCTGCAAATGTTACATTGATAGTCTGTGTGAGATAAAATCGCTGAGTTTTAATTATGATTAAAAACTAAAGCAATCAGTTTGATGATTGTTGTCAACTAATGAAGGAGGCCAAACTCGTTCGAGGGTTAGGCATATTACAATTAATAATCTGAGTAGGCACTGGGAAGTTCAACTTGTCCGTTTTTGATTACTACATGATATACCTCTAAGCAGACAAATGGATTTGTAGAACCTTATAGTCTATATCTATTTTTTTTAAAGCATGTAACATTAGTTTATATGACATATAAACAGTCTCCTGAATTTCAATCAGATCTCTATTTCTCTCTGCATGTGTGAAGATAATGTTTCGATCAGTCTTCATTTATCTTATTCTATGTAATCTACTTCTTTCAGACTTCAACTGGCAAGGTAACACCTTGACCTGTCACTTTTTTTTACTTGTATAGAGTTTAGCTCTCATTTCATTTGTTTACTCAGCAGCATGACAGTAGCGTCTTCTGTCATATTTCATGTGTCTTATATGTGATAGTGAAAGCTTCAGTGAACAGTTATATATGTGTATATATAATGGCTGCTGCCTATGAGTAGAATATTAGTCTATATGGTTTTGAAAGTTAGTTTTCATATCTAGCTCATAAGAGATCACTGTAATGATGTCAATGCCAACAATTGAGACTCTTAGGTAATGTTAGGTCACAAGTTTGACCAATAATGATAAACTTTGATGTTTGTTGTTTTGGGAAATTTCTCAAGAAAAAATTCAATCTTGAGCCATGGAGGTCAAAAAGATCAGCAGAAAAGTTAAATATTGTACAAATGTGAAAAAAAAACAACAGCAAAAAAACATGTTTTAGGTCAAAAGTGTTTTTTCTTAAACCATTTTAACTGAAAAGCTCTGTAGGGAGTTTAAGCACTAAGTCCTTGAAAGCCCTGTGTCATGAACATATGGCCCTAAAAGGATATTGAAGTTGTTTGATAACTCTTAACTTTAATATGGTTATGATAGGGAATTATATATTTCTTGAAGAATTTGATTCAGTAAAAGAAATGCAACCTAAAAATTCAACGGAAGTGGCATAAGTTCATGATATACGATCATTTATTGTTAGACTAGGAAGGTGCAAGTTTTGTTTTTGAAGTATCAGCTATAGATAATATTGAGGATATTGCATTAGACAGTGCTGTCTAGATGTTTCTATTTGCATGTGAAACACGGATGATGATAAATCTAGTGTGTTTAATCTGATTGTTAGAAGCACATTGTTACATTTACTGTGTCAATTTTTGTTAGGCATGGACATTCCCTTTTGGGTCAATCACGTGTGTATGTGACTATAAGTGTAGTAACAATTCTTCTCATTTACAATTTACCATACTTATAATAAAACAAAAAACGGGAGAGGGGAGAACCCTTAAGGGGAAAAAACACATATATAGTTGAAAATTTATTAATTTACCATAATTATAAAGAAAAAAACACACAAAAAATCAGTAGAATCGAGTCCCCATAAAGGGAATAAAAACAAAAATAAATAGTTGAAAATTGGAAACTCTTTGAGCCTGTTCATGAGAGACAATGGTAAGTGTGACGTCTGACTCTCTCAGGAAAGCACTACTGACTTTAAGTTCAAATCTTATAAGGACCAATGGGGGAAATATTTTTACTTTACCATTTTTATGATTTTTAGTAAATTTTTATATCGTTTCACAGTTAAGAAATTTGTGTTGACAAAATGATTTGGCATTTTTGAGGGGTTGCAAATATTCGTAATTTGACAGAAATGCCAATGGAGTAAATTGAAAATGAGTTGCATTGTTATATTATTTTTTTAAAGTCACAAGACGTATTTCCATTTAAGAAATTTCTTGTTTTTGTTGAGTTACATTTTTATATTTTATTAGTTTATAATTTATGAAGATTGAACTTCAGGACAGTTTGTTATATTTGGGAAAATTTTGTTTCCCAGATGTGAAAAAGTAATAGCAATGATAATAATTCATGAGGGCCTAATAATGTGAGGTTAAGATTTGCTATAAATTAAATTGATAAGAAAATAAATAAAAGTGAAAAAATGCAACATTGACTGTGGTTATAAATGAATTGACAAAAAAAGAAAGAATGTGTGAACAAGGAAATTTTTTTAACTATATTTTAATTAGCTGTAACAAAACAAGTATTCACATATCATCACAGCATAGGACAGAATTAGAGTCCTGAATTTGTCTGCCTAGAAAGCCATATGCTCATAAATGGCATTAAAATCTGGCAGACAAGTGTCTGTCAGATATACAATTATCTATACTTTCACTTTATCTAGTCTTTTTGTTGAAAAGTCCATTGTATCATTCCACATAATAAAAGTTGCTCTAAAACAATGAGTCTTTAAGAAGATTTAATGATAAAAATCACAAATGACGGGTAACACTGCTATTGAAACACAGACAATTGCATGTATCTGCTAACTTGAGAAGCTTGCAGTCTTAATTACAGCTTCACATGCATGTGTAGAAGATGCATGATTCTTGTGTTGTTTAAGACTGTCTTAAACTCTCTTGAACCAAAAGCTTAAAAGATGAACTTTATTTGTATAGGCGGAGATACTATATTTTGTTAAATGATTTTAATTCTTTGAAATCTTTGGTCAGAGCTACTTCAAAATATTGCCTATGTGGTCTGTTTGATACTGTTCAGAAAATTTTGATAAATATTTTATAGGGACTATAGGAGAAAGCAAAAAGAATGTCTCCTTCAGGAATAAAAAGATTAATTTTTAACCAAACATGGCCTTAAGGATACTAGGTTGAAATTTCCTGAAGAAAACCCTATTGTTTACTTGTTTGTTTGGAATCATCTTAAAACTTGTGAATGTAACATTGTTAAAGCTGTGTTCATATAAACCATTTTAATGGGAAAACTGGCTCAAGAACAATTTATATTTGCTCAATTTTACACCGATCGTAAAACTAATTATGTCTCCCCCACCTCGGGGGGAGACATATTGTTTTTGCCCTGTCCGTCTGTAAGCCCGTCCGTCCGTCAGTCCGTCCGTCCATTCTTCGTTTCCGGACGATAACTAGAGTTCCTTTTGACCTACAGCTCTCAAACTTCATAGGATGAATGGTCTTATTGAGCAGATGATCCCTATTGTTTTTGGGGTCAGTAGTTCAAAGGTCAAGGTCACAGTGACCGTTGGTCAATTTCTCGTTTCCGGATGATAACTAGAGTTCCTTTTGACCTACAGCCCTCAAACTTCATAGGATGATTGGTCTTATAGAGCTGATGATCCCTATTGTTTTTGGGGTCAGTAGGTCAAAGGTCAAGGTCACACTGACCGTTGGTCAATTTCTCGTTTCCGGATGATAACTAGAGTTCCTTTAGACCTACAGACCTCAAACTTCATAGGATGATTGGTCTTATTGAGCAGATGATCCCTATTGTTTTTGGGGTCAGTAGTTCAAAGGTCAAGGTCACAGTTATTCTCAGCAGTGGGGGAGACATGCGCTTTTTTACAAAAGCATCCTCTAGTTACTGATCTGTTCTGAATTTTTTGATATAACCTGTTCTCTGTCAAGTGTAACATAAATCTAGGTGAGCATTTTTAGCGATCCTGGTCCTCCTCTAGTTCAAGGTTTTACATGTTACATGTTTTATAAAAGGAACTCCACTGAGGTCCAAAAACCTAAAAGCATAACATTTGAATTTGAATTTCTTACATATATCAGCATTAAAAATATACTCTGCAATAATATAGAAAATCATAATACTGTGCAATTCTTAGTCCCATGTGAGAGAAAAGAGTTACAATGCTTGTCTTGCATAATTAGAATTATTATTCTGAAAAAAACAAAAAACAAAGCGAGCAAATGATCTGAAATTTTGCACGCAAGTTATTGGTATAAACCTTTCATCAAATGGAACATTAATCTCTTAAAGTAATTTCTGGTCCCGTCACGTCAACAAACTTCAGTGGTGTCCTTTTAAAGAAAAATGTTTAAAAGTTTGGCCTTATTAGTTATTTCTATAATAGTATCATTTACTTTCTCATGTAAGACGGAACAATTAAATGTTTTGTATACTTGACATTATACTTAGTTTTAGGTGAGCTAATTTTCTTTCACTTCTTATGTTACCTTTCGTATTGGAAAAATTCTCAAATCTTCAAAACCCAACTTTGAATATAGAAACACATTGCAGACCTCACTACCGGAAAATTATCATTTCATAGCTATTTTGTCTTTATAAAAGGACTTACTGCACTCTAAGTTTTAGTATAGGTATTTCCTATAACCTGAAAAAAGGAAGAAAATACTGATACTTGAGCTAAAATGTAATTGTTTTTTCTACAGATGAATTCATTTGAGCAGCTATGTATCAACTATACAAATGAGAAGCTACAGCAACTTTTCAACCACACTATGTTCATCCTCGAGCAAGAAGAGTACCAGAGAGAAGGCATTGAGTGGAAGTTTATTGACTTTGGCCTTGATCTACAGCCAACAATTGACCTACTGGAGAAGGTAAGCTGATCATTTATAATTTTTTCGCAAACATTGTTTGAATGAGATAAGTGGTTACATAATCATAAGGAAGGTTAATGACTATACTCAGCTGTGCTTTATATAGAATTAATTTTAGTTTGATTTTGTAAGAAGTACTAGTAAGAAGCTATAAGAATATAGACACACCTCTGAATATGTTACTGTAACCAACCATTACTGAACAAAGATTGTAATTTCTTGCTCAAGGAAACAATGGTTACTGTAACCAACCAGTTCTAAGCAAAGATTGTAAAGTTTCTTGCTCAAGGAAACAATGTCTTGCATTTGATCAGTAATCCTTAGATTTCTATTCTGACATGTTAAGCATTACGCCATGCTGCCACTTTCTGAGCTAAATTAAAGGGCATCAATGGTAAAATTGTAAAGGTGGTTGACTACAAATTGCAAAGCTTCTCTCTATGGTGGGATGCCTGCCGGCTGGTGCTGGGAATGTAGTAAAGTGAGCAAGACTTTGGATTTTCTCTATTAATGAATCTCTTTATAGCTGTATGGCTTTAAAATGGTTGATGTTGTTTTTAGAATATTAATGACTTTGTTATGTTTTTCAGCCTATGGGTATCTTGGCCCTGTTAGATGAAGAATGTTGGTTCCCGAAGGCAACAGACAAGACATTTGTAGACAAGCTGGTAGCACAACATTCCACACATCCCAAATTTGAGAAGCCAGACTTCAGAGCCGAAGCAGACTTTAGTATGATCCACTATGCTGGCAAAGTAAGTACTGATGTTTTTAGAAAGACCTGAATCTAGAAAGTTGATTATCGGTGTAATACTTTCATTTATAAGCTTTCCATGTAATGTACATGTTTTGAATAGTTACTGAAAGAATTTTTTCCCCCTATTTTATTATTATGACTCCTCTACTTAAGAAGGTTTATATAGATTTGGCCTTGTATATCAGTCTCTTGCAGTCAAGTTGTTCATATGTAGACTGACAAAACAGTAGAATTGGCATCTGTGTACTCATGACACATTTCTGATTTCTTGTAATTTAACAATAGAGACACCATTATCTATTTTAAGTACGCTACAAGTGTTCCAATATTGTTCAGTAATCTGAATCAATGGTAAGATGTTGATTTTGATATCAATGAATTGTGTTTAGGTGGACTACAGTGCAGCCCAGTGGTTGATGAAGAACATGGATCCACTGAATGAGAACGTAGTCTCTCTACTACAGAGCTCCTCCGATCCATTTGTAGCTACTATATGGAAAGATGGTAAGTTTTCTATATTTGAATTTTCATAGTGGCACTTACTGTAGAATTGTCAAATGTATTGTGTTATTTTGAATTGAAATACTTCACTTAATTAAACCTTCAGTAACTTGCCAAGGATTGAAAAATATTTTCAGAGCCACTTGTCCTGCAGAACGAGTAGTTGCTAAATTCTACTGGCAGGCAACAGTTTTCTACTTGTCCTACAAATTCTACTTGTTAATACAAGAAGACAAGTGGAATTTCAGTCCCTGTCTGCCTTTGCTTCCTATTTAAACCAGAACAGTTGGCACATTTTTGAAGTCCAACCACAGTTTACACTGTCAGCTGCTAGATTTCTGTATTTGGATACTGAAATCTCTTGAAAAAGAAATGGACTCTTCCAAATTCAAAAGAGGGAAAGTCCAAGCCAGGAATATAGAGAATGTCACCGCTAGAGTTGATGTATATAAAGTTTACTTTCATGATCTAAGAAGAAACTGGGATTGTGTTTATATCTTTCTGGACGATGATACTTGTCTACAACTCTTTACCATAACAATGAAATACAGTCCCATTTTTGGCCGTCAGAATGCAAAAGTTTTGCCCCTCAGACTGTCAAAGTTTTGCCCGTCAGACTGCAAATTTTGTCAGAAATATTTGTGTATATCCTCATTTTCGAATTTAATGAATTTTGGAAGAGTTTGTTAATTTTTGTCTTGAATGTTTTACTAGTGGTGGGGTGTAAGTATATGCATGTGTATTGATCATGCCTATTTTGAGCCTACCATAATTATGATGAAGGGTTCATACTGCACAGTTAAGATGAGATATGGGTTTGCTTAATCTGTAAAGTTGAAAGTTTTATTTTATTATTTTGAAATGTTTTCCCTTTTACTTTATAATTTTACACATCCTACAATACCCTTTGTTTTATTTTCTCAGACCATTCTATTATAAAAGTTTTTAATTTTCTTCTTTTTATTTGCTTCAAACATTTTAACACAGTTCATGTTACTCTGCTTTAAAGGATGTTTTAACCACTGTTATCCTGATTTTCAACTTGTATTGAGGCGTGTGAGATTCCAAAAACAAAACATTATTTCACATTGCCTGTAATACATCCAACCATTTTGCATAAACTACCATGTGTTCCTGTTTTGCGCTTATTTTAATCAACATGGGTAAGGTATAAAAGAAAAAAGATGGAAATAAGAAAAAAATCCTATTCAAATTAATGTTCATCTCTAGTAAAGACAGTTTATAGTGATATTGTCTTTTAAGAGTTAACCGTGATATGTTTACATTTTGGAAGAAATGATTAATATTCAAGCTTTTAAAAGGTCGCTAGCTTTTGTTGTTCTTTTTAGCTCGACTATTCAATAAGAATAAGTAGAGCTATTGCAGTCACCCGAGCGTCGGCGTCGGCGTAACCACTTATGTTAAAGTTTTTGTAATAGTTCAAATATTTTCAAAGTCCATTGACATATGGCTTTGAAACTTTGCACACTTGTTCACCATCATGACCTCAACCTGTAGACAGATGGAGGTAACTCTATCAAGCATTTTGACAGAATTATGCCCCTTTTTCGACTTAGAATTTACGTTAAAGTTTTTGTAATAGTTCAAATATTTTCAAAGTCCATTGACATATGGCTTTGAAACTTTGCACACTTGTTCAACATCATGACCCCAACCTGTAAACAGGAGGAGGTAACTCTATCAAGCATTTTGACAGAATTATGCCCCTTTTTCGACTTAGAATTTACGTTTAAGTTTTTGTAATAGTTCAAATATTTTCAAAGTCCATTGACATATGGCTTTGAAACTTTGCACACTTGTTCAACATCATGATCCTAACCTGTAGACAGTAGGAAGTAACCCTATCGAGCATTTTGACAGAATTATGCCCCTTTTTCGACCTAGAATTTACGTTAAGTTTTTGTGACACCTCAAATATTTTCAAAGTCCATTGTTATATAGCTTAAAAATTTACACACTTGTTCACTGTCATGCCATCAACCTGTAGACAGGAGGAGGTAAATCTATCAAGCATTTTGACAGAATTATGCCCCTTTTTCGACTTAGAATTTACGTTAAAGTTTTTGTAATAGTTCAAATATTTTCAAAGTCCATTGACATATGGCTTTGAAACTTTGCACACTTGTTCAACATCATGACCCCAACCTGTAAACAGGAGGAGGTAACTCTATCAAGCATTTTGACAGAATTATGCCCCTTTTTCGACTTAGAATTTACGTTTAAGTTTTTGTAATAGTTCAAATATTTTCAAAGTCCATTGACATATGGCTTTGAAACTTTGCACACTTGTTCAACATCATGACCCCAACCTGTAAACAGGAGGAAGTAACTCTATCAAGCATTTTGACAGAATTATGCCCCTTTTTCGACCTAGAATTTACGTTAAAGTTTTTGTAATAGTTCAAATATTTTCAAAGTCCATTGACATATGGCTTTGTAACTTTGCACACTTGTTCACCATCATGACCCCAACCTGTAAACAGGAGGAGGTAACTGTATCAAGCATTTTTTTTACTATCAATCACTAAGAAAAGTCGAGCGTTGCTGTCCTACCGACAGCTCTTGTTTCTATATTTTCTAAATTTTGCAAAGTTGGTTTTACTTAAATTCTTCATTAATGCTTTTATAAAATCCAAGGGAGTGAAGTTTATAACATTATTTAATGATTATAGCCGAGATTGTGGGTCTTGGTGCTGCTGATGGTGGAGATACTATGTTCGGGGCTCGTACTCGCAAGGGTATGTTCCGTACAGTCAGTCAGCTTTACAAGGAACAGCTCGCCAAGCTGATGGCAACCCTGAGGAACACAAATCCAAACTTCGTTAGATGTATCATTCCAAATCATGAAAAGAAGGTAAGTTGATTTTAATATTTATAAAGGAATTCTTCATTCATTAAGACAGTCATACCTTGAATAAATCTTCTTGTTTTTCTCATGATTAAGCATATGGATATATCCATTTTAATCCGAATTTGGAAAAAAAAATATCCTTGTACAAAGAATATTCATAATGTCTTAAAAGGGAGTTTTTTGTGAAAAACTTGGATAAAATTAAGGTATGAAGAATTTCAAGACTGAGCACATCAAATATGAAAGCATTTTATACTAAAGAATGTAATTTAAGTGCAAAAGTTGAATGAAAAAGAATTTGTAGGAAATTAAAAGATAAATGTTAATTAAATGTTTATAAAAAATATAGAATAAATGTATATATAGAATACTAATTTGACAATATTGTTTGTTATGCAGAAACTGTTTTGACCTCCATGATAAAAAATTTGAAATGAATTTTAAGAAATGTAATTGTTGTTTACAGGCTGGTAAGATAGATTCACCATTGGTTTTGGAACAGCTGAGATGTAATGGTGTACTTGAAGGTATCCGTATTTGTAGGCAGGGCTTCCCTAACAGAATCCTCTTCCAGGAGTTTAGACAGAGATATGAGATCCTCACACCTAATGCTATCCCTAGAGGATTCATGGACGGCAAAAAAGCTGTAGAAAAAATGGTGAGCTTCAGTTTAATTCTGGATATTAACTATCTGATTGAAATATGTTGGACAGTGATAAACTGCTATCTTGGTATTTGGGTATCTTTTCTGAAAATTTAATCACCAATTGCTTTTGAACCATTAATAATCAAGTTCATAATGTAGTTTCCACTCAATAACGCAAGTTAGGTATGATATTTTATTAACCAGGTTTTCAACGAAAACCGGGTTATTGTAATGCCGAAGTCGGCGGGCAGGCGGGCGGGCGTCAACTTTTGGTTTCCGCTCAATAACTTTAGTTTGCTTTGACCTATTGACACCAAACTTGGTGTATGGATAGCTTTTTCAAGAAGCAGCTTGGGATTGCTACCCAGGTGTCTGTGATCAAGGTCAAGGTCACTGTTACTAAAAATAGAAATTCAGTTTCCGCTCAATAACTTGAGTTTGCTTTGGCCTATTGACTCTAAACTTGGTGTATGGATAGCTTATATCAAGAGGCAGCATGGGATTGCTATCCAGGTGTCTGTGATCAAGGTCAAGGTCACTGTTACTAAAAATAGAAATTCAGTTTCCGCTCAATAACTTGAGTTTGCTTTGGCCTATTGACTCCTAACTTGGTGTATGGATAGCTTATATCAAGAGGCAGCTTGGGATTGCTACCCAGGTGTCTGTGATCAAGGTCAAGGTCACTGTTACTAAAAATAGAAATTCAGTTTCAGCTCAATAACTTGAGTTTGCTTTGGCCTATTGACTCCTAACTTGGTGTATGGATAGCTTATATCAAGAGGCAGCTTGGGATTGCTACCCAGGTGTCTGTGATCAAGGTCAAGGTCACTGTTACTAAAAATAGAAATTCAGTTTCCGCTCAATAACTTGAGTTTGCTTTAGCCTATTGACTCCTAACTTGGTGTATGGATAGCTTATATCAAGAGGCAGCTTGGGATTGCTACCCAGGTGTCTGTGATCAAGGTCAAGGTCACTGTTACTTAAAACAGAAATTCAGTTTTCACTCTATAACTTGAGTTTGCTTTGGCCTATTGACACCTAACTTGGTGTATGGATAGCTTATATCAAGAGGCAGCTTGGGATTGCTACCCAGGTGTCTGTGATCAAGGTCAAGGTCACTGTTACTAAAAATAGAAATTCAGTTTCTTCTCAATAACTGGAGTTTGCTTTGGCCTATTGACACCAAACTTTGTGTATTGATAGCTTATATCAAGAGGCAGCTTGGGATTGCTATCCAGGTGTCTGTGATTAAGGTCAAGGTCACTGTTATTAAAAATAGAAATTCAGTTTCCGCTAAATAACTTGAGTTTGCTTTTGCCTTTTGACACCAAACTTGATGAATGGGTAGCTTATATAAAGAGGCAGCTTGGGAGTGCTACCCAGGTGTCTGTGATCAAGGTTAATGTATTTAGTTTTCATGTTATAACTTGAGTTTGACCTTTTGACAATAAACTTGCTGAGTGGCAGCTTTGGATTGCTACTTAGATATCTGGAAGCAAGTTCAAGGTCATTTGCTTACAATAGAATTTTCAGCTTCTACTCATTAAATTCAGTGTACTTTGACCTATTGATTGCTGTCACATCAAAATTTGGTCGTTAAAAAAAACCCTGGTTTTCGTCGCATTGCGGCGCTTCTTGTTTTAAAGCTATGAATGAAAATATGGTTACTTGTGTTACTGCCCTTCTTGTTTTCTATCTTTAGAACAAGTCTTTGCCTTATTGCCATAAATAAAATTTTGACAAGTATTGGAATATTTTTCTTTGTAGATCAATGCTCTGGAGCTAGACCCTAACCTGTATCGTGTAGGTCAGAGTAAAATATTCTTCCGTGCTGGTGTGTTGGCTCATTTAGAAGAAGAGAGAGATCTCAAGTTGACAGATGTTATCATTACGTTCCAGGCATTATGTAGAGGCATGCTTGCCAGAAGGTACGAAACAGAAAATGCATAGCTTTAAACTGAATTTCCAGCTTAATTTTGATCTCTCATTGATTAATCTACAGAAAGAATTTAAGTTTTTTAGACAATTATTATATTTATATTTAGGAATGTAATATGCATGCATGTATTCTTCCAGAAATGATAATCTTTACTAATATATTTTGCAATTTTATATTGTATGATGTATAATTACATATCATGTGCATATGGTAGAAGTATCAAGTTTTAAGACCGCTCACAACCATGGCTAGGTTGAGCATTTTATTCACTACTTGCAACCTTAAGCTAGCAATGTTTCATCATATTGACTGTTGAACATGCTTAAATTGTGTTACAGTACAGTAAGATAGAATGAGAATAATGTTAACTTGGAGGTTTTTCTATGTCTAATTGATATCATTGTTTGATGACAGGGCATTCTATCGCCGAACACAGCAACAGAGTGCAATCAGGGTTATACAGAGGAACTGTGCTGCATATTTGAAATTGAGAAACTGGTCATGGTGGAGGCTTTTCACAAAGGTATAGCTATTATTTGGATTGAATCCTTCTTGAAGAAATTCAACAGATGACTTGTACATGAACTCTGTAGTGTATTGTCTTTGATATTTAATTTTTTTGCGGGGGAAAAGAGCATTTTGTCTAACTAGTTGTGTAATGAAAATAAAAAGACATAAGGTCTTCGAAAAATGTGTTCAGAAAGCAGTAAATGTTAACTTATAACATTACGCTATTGTTCATATGAACAGAGCTTAATTACTTAAGATGGGAAATATTAGTTTTAGTGTTAAAATTACATATTCATGCCAACTTAACTTCTTTTCATGATTTTAAGAATATTTGGAATGCTTTGTGTATATTGTAAATTGCAACATGAAATAAAATATGCTTAAACTAAATAAATTCTGAATTTGAATCTTATGTTGGAAATATTCATGAAACATTTTATTTGATTGGTTTTATTTCCCATGTGTTTCAGGTGAAACCTTTACTGCAAGTGACAGGTCAGGAGGAGAAGGTGCACTCATTGGAGAACGAGATGATGAAGTACAAGGACAACTTTGAGAGACAGAAACAAGAAACAGATGAGATGGAACGAAAATACGCTCAGATCATTGAAGAGAAATCTATCCTAGCTGAACAACTTCAAGCTGAGACAGAAATGTGCGCGGAGGCCGAGGAGGTAGAGTTACCATACATTCTCTTATAGATCATATTAAAAGTGTTTAAATGTACTTTCTTATGTTGACATCTTTAGAAAATTTTGTACAATTCATTGATAAACATGATATTGTTTGTTAGGTTAATTCTGATACTTTGTTTTATTGCTTCCCTTATCCAAGTGAATGGTCTGATTACAAATGTAATAGTTAATTTTATCTCCACTGATAGTTCACGTTGATTGTTCTAGTTCTAAAATGAGGAAATCCTGCTTTTATAAGAAAAAAAGGAAAAGAAAAATACATAAGAATATAATTATTTGCTCCAAGTTTATTGTGTCTTAATACGTTTTCCTAATGTCATACGATGAAAGTCGTTGACTTTATTAATGGGCAGAGGAGCCTATGTTGTCTTTGTCTACCATTAAAGCTGGCATGATCTTAAATTTTAATATTTCTGTAGCTTAAAAACAAACCATTTGACAAAAAAAACAAAACTTTCTGTTGTAAACCATACTGCAGCATTAACATATGATAGAGTATTACATGGCATGTTGTAATTTCAGTCGAGACAACGTCTAGTACAGAAGAAAGAGGAGTTGGAGGACATCTTACATGACATGGAGCTGAGGATGGAGGAAGAGGAAGAAAAAGTGGCAGCCATGATGGACGAAAGAAAGAAATATTCCCAAACTATAAATGATTTAGAAGAACAGTGAGTGTATAGTAGAATATGATATTTATACTTGATGTACATAATGATTTAGAAAAAGTCTTCCTTGTACGTATTGGAGGAATATATCTTCTGTTATTATTGTCAAATCATTTTAATCACTAAAAAGATGCTATTGCATGTACTACTAAAGAAAAATGGCTCAAAAGATGTTAATAAAATGTTTAAAAGAAGTATGTTGATAAAAAATTTAATTTTGTCATTTTAACCTCAGTATAATGGCATCATATATGGTATTGTTTCTTACTGTAGTTTGTCAATTGAATGATAATAGTAGATAAGTTTCCACTATAGTCTAGACTCATTGCAAAGTTTAAAAAAAAAAAAAATCTTGTTTTTATCTAGACTTGAGGAAGAAGAATCTGCTCGTCAAAAATTACAATTAGAGAAAGTCTCAGTAGATGCCAAAATCAAGAAGCTAGAGGAGGACCTGGCCATACAGGATGACTCGAATCAAAAGCTGAATAAAGAAAAGAGAAGTTTAGAGGAACGATTGAATGAAGTTAGCTCTTCTCTTGTAGAGGAAGAAGAGAAGAGTAAACAATTAGCTAAATTGAAGAACAAATATGAATCAATTATTGCCGATTTGGAAGAGAGACTACGCAAAGAGCAGCAAGTGAGTCTAGTTTTATCATTGGTATAGATTTCATCAAAATTGTAAAAATTGGTATAGATTTTGTCAAAACAGTAAAAATTGGTATAGATCTTGACAAAATAGTGAAAGTTGGTATAGATCTTGACAAAATAGTGAAAAATTGGTATAGATCTTGACAAAATAGTAAAAATTGGTATAGATCTTGACAAAATAGTAAAAATTGGTATAGATTTTAACAAAATAGTAAGTCTTTCATCTTTTTATGATTTATACTTGTGACAAAGGGACTCTTTTTGAAAATAAAGGCACTAGAAAAAGAACTAGAAGCCATTGGATGTTATAGATTATATGATACTGAGAGTGATGAAGAATTAGAAGGCATTGACAAAATTGTTCAATAAAAATATTCATTCAATAAAAATTATCTAATTTGCTTTAATACACTTGTTACTATATATAGTAACAAAATTGCCTATGATTTCAACTGATTATGAGTGTCACGTGACCTATTATGAGTTTGCGGCCCGGGGCCGAGAACTAGTTATCAGCCCGCAGAACATGTGCACGTTCACAAACTGAAACAATGACGTCATATTTTACGTCATCAAACAGTTAACTGTAAAAGTGAAAGTAGGTTGTCAGCACGAATCGCTTTATTTTAATTATGAGAGCTTAAGCGTATTTAGTACAAACACATTTTTGTTACTATTGAAATTTGAAGAAATAATACGACAAATTCATTCCGAAAAAAAAAATGAAAATAAAACTTGCTTCTAGATTCTACTGCTTTGAACACACAAACAGTAGACTCTAAACATCTCTGTACAGAACAGTAGAAGAGTACTGTAGACAAGAATTTCAACGAAAGAACTTCACAGTATTTGTTGTTTTTTTTTCTTTTTAAAAAAAATGCTACTATTAGATCTACCAAGTGTATTAAAGACATTAATACACGTCAGAGTAGGGCCGGAAGGTGATAATCGGCCCTGAATGAATAATGGCCCTCGGGCTAAAGCCCTCGGGTCCATTATTCATTTTGCGGGCCGATTATCACCTTCCGGCCCTCTCCTGCCGTGTATTAACCTCTTATTATTTGGTGTAAATACTGATTTTCAGACATCCAATTAATTTCAATTATTTTGCATTTTAAATATAAGACTACATGTTATAAAATGTGTGTCTTTTTTCAGGCAAGACAAGAGTTAGAAAAAATCAAAAGGCGACTAGAATCTGAAATGGCTGATCTTAAAGAACAGTTGAATGAGAAGAGACAACAAGTAGAGGAATTACAGACACAGCTTGCTCGTAGGGAGGAGGATGTACAGGGTGCCCTACAAAGGTAAGTCATTGAAAACCAGAGTAATCATTTTGCATTTGGTACAGTTTTTAAGTTTCATGCACAAAACATTTTATAGACTTTACAGCAATTTCCCCTAGACTCCATCTAGCAGGCTTTTTATTTCTCCTGACCGAAGCACACAATATGGCAAAACATAATTGTACTGTCTATTTACACCTTGGTGAAGTTAAGCAAAGTAAATTTCTTGCTCAGGGAAATTAGTGACCTTTAAATTGCTTAAAGCCATCACCTCTCTACCCAAAGCGGGTGTCCTACCTATGGACTGCTGCTCCTCCTTGATATCTAGTTTTGACAAATATCTAAATGTTGTCCTTGTACTCATACACAGTTCAGGATTTATAGATGATAAAAATCTAAAACGTATGGTTCTGAATTGAATTTTTGTAAAACAAGTTTTACCTTGTGTAGTCAGAGAAGATGTATCTGCTATGAATATTTCACATAAACTTTTGCCACTTTCTGTAAACTGTCATTTGAACAAAGAATAAGAAGGAAGAGTTCAGTTACACCTATCATGGCCATGTTGTTTTGTTACAGAGTTGATGAGGAAGGTATTGCTAAGTTTACCATACAGAAACAGATGAGAGAGATGCAGAATCAGCTACAAGAGCTGTCTGAGGATTTGGAAACAGAAAGAGAATCAAGGACTAAAGCTGAAAAACAGAAGAAAGATCTGAATGAGGTAAAAAAGACTAAGTCACTGTTGTTTATCTAGGCTGGGCAGATTGTTTCATTTGATATTTTTTAAGTCTTTCATAATCATTGCAAATGAAAGAGTAGTTAATATGCAATATTTGAGTAAGATCTAGGGCTAAGGCTTTCATATTGTATTCAATTGTCAATTTATATTTGCATTGATGCTTACAGGAATTGGAAGCTCTGAAAACAGAGCTTGAGGATTCCCTGGACACAACAGCAGCTGTCCAGGATCTCCGAGCAAAGAGGGAAGATGAGTTGAAAGATCTTAAAGTAACAATAGAAAGGAACCAGAAAACTTATGAAACTCAGGTGGCAGATATGCGTAGTAAACATCAACAGCAGATGGAGCAATTTAATGAAGAATTGGAAAATGTTAGGAAGGTATGCAGCATTTGTCACAATGCAAATTTACTTCCTGGGATATTTGAGGCCTTAAAAACACTAGCCCCTCATTGCTTGGACTTGAATTCTTTTAAGGAGGACAGTTTTTCAGATGACACACAGATGTTGCAAAAATGTCATAGTTTTGAGACAAGACTTTTTCAATATAGACATTCTTGTCACTTTTGTCCATGTGTAAAGCCATTAAGCTACTTTATGTAATTGAATTCAGGTATTTTTCTTCTTGCATTTTTATGTAAGTCTTCTTGATATTGCTTTGATGTGATTTGCCTTATTTACATTTTTAATTACTTGGTCAAAATGTTCTAAGCCGGTTAGGTTGCTTGATCGCTAACATATGACAAAAACTGTGTTAATAACGAAGTAAACAAACAAAAACAAACAAAATCTGATCCTTATTGGATTGGTAGTCATTTTCAAGGATAAATCATTCATTTGTTCTTGTTATATAAATAGATATATTGAAAGATTTACTGTATTTCAGACGAGGGCTCAGATGGAGAAAACAAAATCCACACTAGAAGCAGAGAACCAGGATCTAGCAAATGATCTCAAGCAAGTTCAAATGGCAAAACAAGAATCGGAAAGAAAACGTAAACAGGCAGAAGCATCCGTGTCGGAACTCAATATAAAATTAGCTGAATTAGAGCGCGTGAAGAGCGACCAGGCCGATAAAGTGTCAAAGAATGCTTCAGAGCTTGATTCTTTGTCCACACAGCTCCAGACTTCTGAAACTAAAAATATTCAGCTTGCCCAGAAATTGTCCTCCCTGGAGGCTCAACTTGCAGATGCACAGGTCAGTTAGGGTTTGTTTTATGTTGTTTTTTTTTGGTTTTTTTAGCTCACCTGAGCTTGCTCAGGGTGAGCTTTTAGGATCGGTGAATGTCCGTCGTCCGTCGTCCGTCGTCCGTCGTCCGTCCGGCCGTCCACAATTACTTGTGAACACTCTAGCGGTCGCATTTTTGCCTCAATCATCATCAAACTTGGTCAGGATGCTTATCTAGTTGAAAGCTCGGATGAGTTCGAACATGGGTCATCTCGGATGAAAAACTAGGTCACAAGAGCTAAAAATAGAAAAACCTTGTGAACACTCTAGAGGTCACATTTTTGACCCAATCATCATCAAACTTGGTCAGGATGTTTGTCTAGGTGATAGCTTGGATGAGTTCGAACATGGGTCATCTCGGATGAAAAAGTAGGTCACAGGAGCTATAAATAGAAAAACCTTGTGAACACTCTAGTGGTCACATTTTTTGAACCAATCATCATCAAACTTGGTCAGAATGCTTGTCTAGTCAATTGCTTGGATGAGTTCGAACATGGGTCATCTCTGATGAAAAACTAGGTCACAGGAGCTAAAAATAGAAAAACCTTGTGAACACTCTAGTGGTCACATTTTTGACCCAATCATCATCAAACTTTGTCAGGATGCTTGTTTAGATAATAGCTCGGATGAGTTCGAATATGGGTCATCTCGGATGAAAAACTAGGTCACCGGAGCTATAAATAGAAAAACCTTGTGAACACTCTAGTGGTCACATTTTTGCATCAATCATCATCAAACTTGGTCAGGATGCTTATCTAGTTGATAGCTTGGATGAGTTCGAACATGGGTCATCTCGGATGAAAAAGTAGGTCACCAGAGCTAAAAATAGAAAAACCTTGTTAACACTTTAGCGGTCACATTTTTGCATCAATCATCATCAAACTTGATCAAGATGCTTGTCTAGGTGATAGCTCGGATGAGTTCGAACATGGGTCATCTCGGATGAAAAACTAGGTCACAGGAGCTAAAAATAGAAAAACCTTGTTAACACTCTAGTGGTCACAATTTTGACTCAATTGTCATCAAACTTGGTCAGGAAACTTGTCTAGGTCATTGCTGGGAATAAATCGAACATGGGACATTTCGGATGAAAAACTAGGTCACAGGAGCTAAAAATAGAAAAAATCTTGTTAACACTCTAGTGGCTACTGTTGTGATCCAAATATTCTGTTAATTGGTCTGAAAGTTTGTTTTGATGATTTCTAAGTCAAGATCGAACATGGGTCATCTTGGATGAAAAACTAGGTCACACCGCCCAAATATGGAAAAACCTTGTTAACATTCTAGTGGTCACATTTTCGACTCAATTATCATCAAACTTGGTCAGGATGTTTGTCTAGGTAATTGCTTGGATGAGTTCGTGTGAAACTAGGTCACCGGAGCTAAAAATAGAAAAATCTTGTTAACACTCTAGTTGCTACTGTTTTGATCCAAGTATCCTGGAAATTGGTCTGAAAGTTTGTTTTGATGATTTCTAGGTCAAGTTTGAATATGTGTCACCTGGGTAAAAAACTAGGTCGCACTGCTCAAATATGGATAATCCTTGTTAACACTGTAGTGGTCACATTTTTGACTCACCTGTCATGAGACTTGGTCAGAATGCTTGTCTAGGTAATTGTTTGGATGAGTTTGATAATTCAGGTGAGCGATCTAGGGCCATCATGGCCCTCTTGTTTCATATCCTGAAATCAGCTGAATACTTGTAATTGATTTGCCCTGCTTTAAGTTCGAACAGTCAATTCAAAGTTTAAAGGATTTCAGTCTGACCAGGCTCTATACTGTTGGCTAGGGCTAATCACTTTCTATCAGGTTAAGATATTGACAGTTCTGTATAGGTCAAGATATTTGTATTGTTAGCATTGTTATGTTGTCCTGTTATGTACCATTATGTTAACCTTCCAAAGAAACATTATTTTCTTGACTTTGAAGAGTGACATGATTTTTCATGTGATGTGAAAGCTACCTTGTATTAAGATACATGATTTTGACTTGAGTTGTAAAACATTGCATCTCAGTAATTGTTTATGGTCATATTAAAAGTTAATTCAAGCAACGTCATTTGTTTGTAACTTTTGTTGCCAATTCTATTTCAGGAAATGGTTCAAGAGGAAACACGCGGTAAACTCGCAGCTCAAGGAAAACTACGGCAAGAATTGGAGGAGAAAGAAATGTTGAAGGAGAAGCTAGAGGAAGATGAAGATAGCAAACATCAGCTAGAGAAACAAGTGCAAGATCTACAACAAAAGGTATAAACATAATACTGATTATATTTGATCTAGTTGCGTTTTGAAATTTGTTGGTCAAGATCTTTGTTAGTTGATTTTTATGCCCCCACAATGTGGGAGCATATAGCGTTGCACTTGTCCGTCCGTCCGTCAGTCCGTCCGTCCGTACGTCCCGAAATCTTGTGAACGCAACTCCTCTTAAACCGGATGGCAGATTTTGCTTAAACTTACAGGGATGAACAACCTTAATGTGTAGATGGTAGTAAAGGAAGGAATTTTTGCTGCGACCAAATTTAACAGAATTATGGCCCTTTGTTCATTTTTTCACTAGATACTATGTAGAAATTTTGTGAACGCAACTCCTCTTAAACTGGATGGCAGAATTTGCTTAAACTTACAGGGATGAACAACCTTTATGTGTAGATGGTAGTAAAGGAAGGAATTTTCGCTGCGACCAAATTTTACAGATTTATGGCCCTTTGTTCATTTTTTCACTATATACTATGTAGAAATTTTGTGAATGCAACTCCTCTTAAACCGGATAGCAGATTTTGCTTAAACTTCCAGGAATGAACAACCTTAATGTGTAGATGGTAATAAAGAAAGGAAGTTTTGCTGCAACCAAATTTAATAGAATTATGGCCCTTTTTTGATTGTTTCATTATATACTATGTTTAAATTTTGTGAATGCAACTCCTCTTAAACCGGATGGCAGATTTTGCTTAAACTTCCAGGGATTAACAACCTTAATGTGTAGATGGTAGTAAAGGAAGGAATTTTTGCTGCGACCAAATTTAACAGAATTATGGCCCTTTGTTGATTTTTAGTTTTCAACTTGTGGCACATGTAGTCCAAAAAATATTTGACCTAGAGTCATAAGATTGACAGAACAGTGGCGTGTGGGGGCATCCGTGTCCTATGGACACATTTCTAGTTGTCATATTACAACTTTCAAGAATAATTATTGTTGAAAGAAAATCGTTGATTTTTGTCATATTACAACTTTCAAGAATAATTATTGTTGAAAGAAAATCGTTGATTTTTGTCATATTACAACTTTCAAGAATAATTATTGTTGAAGGAAAATCTAGGAATGCTGAGTAAGCATAATATCTAAAGTGCAAAATTGTACAGTCTGACATGATTTATAATTGTTAACAAAAGTAGACTTGAAACATCAGAATATGCATAAATATGTAACAATATTTTTTTCATTTTTCTAGATTATTGAGGTTAAAAAGAAGGCCGAGGAGGATGCCAGAAACAATGAAGCCCTCGATGAGTACAAGAAGAAGTCCAGCAGAGAAATGGAGACACTACAGGCACAACTCGAGGAGACCCGTGCAGCTGCCGACCGCCTTGACAAGTCACGCAAGAAGTTGCAAGCTGAAGTGGATGATTGCAATATGGAGCTGGAGAAACAGAGATCTAGTGTTCTTAATGCTGAAAAGAAACAGCGCAAGTTTGACTCCCTTCTTGCTGAGGAGAAGGCCAGCACAGAAAGGTAACGTTCCCTTTTCTAAACCTAAGTTTGTTTTTTCATCCCATTGTCTCAACTAGGTTAGTCTCAGATGTGATAATATTTCAATACTCCTGCATGATTGAACTTGTATGTTTTGTAGCATTTGGCTGAACTCAGACTGCAGGAGGCTAGATACCATTAAGGTTGTTCAGAGAAATAAATAAACAAGCTGTTTCTGTTCTATATATTATATTGAATAGAGATTTGTTGATAAGCATTAAACCCAAATTTGGACCGCATCTTTATGTTTCACTTTACTATCACATTGATTTTATACACCTCAAAATACAGTCACTGAAAATTGATTGAATATAATTGATAAACATTTAGGGATCAGCTAGTTGCCATTGCAATCGTTTAACAAGATATTTATACGTTTATTTAGACTTATGCAAGAGAAAGAGTTTGCGGAGAAGGAAAGCAGAGAAAAAGAAACTAAGATTCTTAACTTGCAACGTGAATTGGAAGAAGTTCGCGATAGGTATGAACAGCTAGAGAGACTGAAGGCATCTCAACAGAGAGAACTTGAAGACTTGTACGCAACTAAGGATGATGCCGGCAAAAATGTAAGAAGATTTGTAGTAAATTGATAAAAGTTAAATGTAATTTCTTCCATTCTTATTTTTATCTCCCCTGTTTTGAGCTGTTGTGACTACAAAATTGTATCTGACTGACGGCCATTATCATCTGTTAGGTAATTACAACCTTTTAAGATGAACAGCTCAGATGAGCAATGCGAGGTTGTTACAGTTCTCCTGTTTTTTGTCACAAACATAAAAAACCTTCTGTGTTACTAATAAAAGTAAAAATGAAATTATCATAAGTGCAGTTAAAAAAATTTGTATCGGATATTTTAAATTCTTGTCGAGTATACATGTAGTTTGAAATCACTGGCAATGTAAACATTTGTTCCAGTTTCATAATCAACAAAGAGTTGTCAAGTTAAAAGAATTTTTTATACAATGTAAATAATAATACTATAACAAGTTGTCCTTTAATGTGAAGGTTGTGATTCAAATTTTCCTTCATCATTTTAGGTACATGAACTGGAGAAATTAAAACGCAGCTTGTCAGAGCAAGTAGAAAGTCAGCGTCTACAGATTGAGGAACTTGAGGATGAAGTACAAGCCTCTGAAGATGCCAAGCTGAGAATGGAAGTGAACATGCAAGCAATGAAAGCCCAGTTTGAGAGAGATCTGGCTGGACGTGACGATGCTGTTGAAGAATCCAAGAAGTCTCTTATTAGACAGGTATGAGTTTGTATGGCTATCTGGTTACATCTTGTTTATAGTCCATATCTTTTGAAAATTTGTATAAATTTTTAAAAAATTAAGATCGTTTAATAGGTAAATAAATATATAGCATAGGTGTATATGTCCATAATTGAATTTCATCCAAAACTACACATTTGACTGTGTAGTTTATAAAAATAGAAATGGATATGGTCTAAATATTTTTAAAAGAAGTTCAAATAAGACCATTGAAACGAATGCATATAAACTTGTTAAAGTGGTATGATAAATATCGACTTAATACAATATTCCAAATGTTAAGCAGATTTCCAGCAAAATGATTACCTTTTACTAGTTTCATGTATGTTAATGCCTATTTATTTATGACTAAATGAGGAGTGATTGTATGAAGTTTATGAATAATGAAATTTACTTGTATATTGTCCATTTGTACATATTTTAGCTACGCGAAATGGAAGCAGAATTGGAAGATGAAAGAAAACAAAAGGGCTTGGCAGTTAATGCCAGGAAGAAGCTTGAAGGAGACATCAAAGATTACGAGCAGCAAGTCGAGGGGGCTAATAGAGTTAAGGAAGATGCAATTAAACAATACAAAAAGATACAGGCTCAGATGAAAGACTTTGCCCGGGAATTGGATGAAGCTAGACTGGCTAGAGATGAGATGCAGGTAACATTCAAGGAGAATGAGAAGAGATTGAAGAATATGGAGACGGAGAATCTAAAACTACAAGAAGACATTGCAGCTGCTGAGAGAGGTAGACGTAATGCTGAGGCTGAGAGAGATGAACTTCAAGATGAGTTGGGAAGCAATACCACTGGAAAGTAAGTTTAATTCTGTGTCAGGGATTTGTCATTTACTCTCCTGATACCAAAGGAAATGATGACATTCTAAACTTGGTCTGTTGCATCATTGAATGCTTTTTTTGCAGGAGTTTTCTTGATAGATAGAATTTTACCAATTTTGTCTGTAGCATCTTTTGATTGATCTTTTCTTTAATATTCAAGTAATTGAAATAAAACAAAAACAACAACAACAACACTGTACTTATGGGGCCCATGTTGCTTAAAATAATTAAATGTTAAATCATTACCTTTTCATAAAGTGATAATCTGCTGTATGGACTTTGGATGGTATTTGTGTATTCTTTTTGCATGTACTCCTGCCATGTGTTATATTTATAAAGGCAAGGTTATTCTGCCATCAAAGCCCTCTTCTTAGAAAAAAATTGTCTTTTGGTCAGCGTAACACATTTCTTGGAGCAAAATTCACCTGTTTATAGTAACATTTTAGTAACATTTAGTATAACAGTCTTTATCACATTTCAGGTCAGCACTACTGGATGAGAAACGTAGATTAGAGGCACATATTAGTCAACTAGAAGATGAACTTGAAGATGAACAATCGGCTAATGCAGATCTAATTGATAAAGCTCGCAAAGCTAATATGCAGGTAAGACCAGAAAATATAAATTAAAGCAGCAAGTTCGTATCTTAACTGTACATTTAGCTCATTTGTCAAAATATTCATTAATTAACTGATTAAGGCATTATTGTTATTGCTGTATGATAAGTAAATATGCAATATTTGTCATACTCTTAAAATAGAGTCAGAAGTTGTATCTCTAGACAATGTATAGTGATTTTACAACGATCTATAGCCAGTGGTATTTGACATCATTCTTAAACGTATTGTATTGATTAGTATTGAATATACCAATATTGTTGTCAGATATGTTTTAATATATGCTGAAAATGCACGTAAAAGCAATTACAATATCCCCTGCACATAAATTTTGGGCTATACTGGAGTCTCCAAATTTTTTGCCTGTAGTATGAATTCTGTGTCCCTTGAAGGACTTTCCTCAAACTTGATCACCTGAACAAAGCGATGTACAGAACCCATGCTACCCTTGATGTTATATTTGACTGGATACCTGTTGTTTTACCTATATTTTTTGACCTGATTGTTCATTGTGAAAATTTCAGCTGTTGTTGTGTATCTGTATATAATTGTATCGGTATTGAATAAATATCCTTCATATTAACAGTTTGAGCAATGCCAGACCGACTTACAGTCCGAGAGATCTGTCACACAGAAACTGGAAACACAGCGAATGCAGCTGGAGAGACAGAACAAGGAGATAAAGGAAAAACTGTCTGAACTTGAGGGCCAAATTAGAACACGAACAAAAGCAACTATTTCTGCCCTTGAAGGCAAGGTTGCCAACCTAGAAGAACAGTTAGATCTGGAAACTAAGTAAGTGGACTGAAACCAGAGGTTTTACCACCAGATAACCTGCTGAATTTCTTATTCGGACTTGTTCAGTTTTGATTGGCATTTCCACAAATTCAGTACTCTTGTATATTGACATTTTATTTCTTTTTTGATATGTAACTGTGTCACCTAGACCATATTCGATTTTGGTCATGATTAACATTGATTCAAAACAACCTGTTACAAGTTTATCTTAACAATGACTGGCATATTTCTTCACATGGAAACTCTTTATCTTGTAGAGAAAGAAACACATTACAGAGAACAGCCCGTCGTTTGGAGAAGAAACTCAAGGAGATGGCTATACAGGCCGAGGATGAAAGACGCCATGCCGACCAATACAAAGAACAAGTAATTTCTACAGTTTCATTATCAGAAAAAAATAAAGCATTGGTTTCCAAATTTGTTTAAAAAATAGGAATATAGTCTTAGTGTTTTACTTTTGTATGTTGTTTGTAGGACACTTACGAAAAGAACTTTTATGAAAATTTTATAAAATGTTGATAATTGTTATTTAATGCAACATGGCAGATTGCTATTGCTGTTTGTAAGAATCGTGTCAGTGAGATGTTTTAAGCTATCTATATAGGTTTCTGAAGTGATATAGTTCAGTTCAGGGTTTTTTTGGGGGCTAATAATCAAACAGAGAAACTAAAATATTTGCTTCCTTTTATGGCTTCCAAAGACAGGTTAGGAAATTGAACATTTTCTCATTCTTATATGACTAGATGGAAAATCTTTAAGATCATCTTTGGATTATTTTAAGTTTTTTTATTTTAATGAGAGATAAAAATTCATCACAGATTTTTGTAATAATATTCGTAGGTTGATAAGATGAATGCTCGCGTAAAAGCATTGAAACGCCAAGTTGATGAGGCGGAAGAGGAAGTGACCAGAATGAATGCTCAGAAACGTAAAATACAGCGCGATCTGGACGATCAAATTGAACTCAATGAATCTGCATCCAGGGAAATTTTACAACTTAAGAAATACAGGTGAGAATGGTTTTTCTTAGATAATTTAATGAACAAAATATTGTTTTTGGAAAGAGAGTCCTATAGATAAACCTGGCTGGTTTACAAGTATAGATAGTATAAGACTATAGAAGATTATTGTACTATTATGATTTAGAAGTTGTTTTTATTTCATCAAGTAGCCTCGAAGCTATATTGTTTTTGGTGTACAGAGAATGGCTTTAAATGTTGTACGTCACCATTTATTTATTCTCATTCGTTGTGCTGCTTTTTTATTCTTTTTACACAGAGGAGACAGCAGGTATGTTGATCACCGATTGTTGTAATAAGTACTGTTGCCATGGTTTCTGTGCACTTTGCTTATACACAAAAATAAAACCCCCGCAGCTCCACAAAAGCATTTCTCTCTTCTCAATCATCATAACCAGTAAAACCTTGAAAATTCCTTTTATTGTCGATTTCTGCAATCAGAGTAAAAAGCTTTTAAGTGTATTGATAATGAATATGGCTTGTGTAATATCTGTATATGTAATGTTTGTGTGTAAGCATAATATGTTTACTTTTTGCATTGAATTTCCAAGTTTCTTATCGCCTATCTCCATGAAAAAGTGGGGCTCTTGCGTAATAATTCTGTACATGTGAGTGTTCTAAACATCATGTCTAGTCTGTAATTTAACCCTTTGAGATATCAGAATCTTATGGCACTGATGTCTGCTATAAAAAAGCAGTTTTCACCTGCAAAATAACAAAGGTCAATGTCATTCTATCTAAAAATAGCAAAATGAATTCTTGTTAAGTTAGAATCTAGGAATTGAAGAAAAATTTGATCATCAGACCTAGGTTACAATTGTTGAGGATATTTGGGGTCAAGGTCACTATGATTTACAGTTTAACTGTTAGCATAGGAAACTGGTTTCTGCTTAAGTTGTGAATGAGGTAATTGGCATGAAAATTGGTATATGTGAAAGACTTGCTTATAATTACTTTAGGCTTCCCAGTAGTTAATACCAAAGTCACCATTAATAGTTTTCACTTTGAGATTTTGTCCCAAGTTGCTTTAATCTATATAGTTTGGTATGATTTCATCACGTAAGATTTAAATTGCTTTGCGAAGAAAAAAATCCATCCAGTTGACAGGATGGTGTAGAAAATACTTAGTTTAGCTTATAGCTCATCATTATTTTTTAAATGACAAAAAAGAAATGTTGATCAATGAGAGATTCAAGCTTTTGTAGATAAAAAAGATAGAGTGCATGGCCCTTTTCATTCTTCATTACATTTTCATATTAACTGTCTATTGTTAAGCAAAGCATGATATGCATGAAAATTATTGGGTATATTTTTTTGTAAAATTGTTATTACTTATACTATAACTCTTTTTTTCATCATATATTTTTGATACAAATTATTTAGCATTCTGTATAGATTTTTAGGCTGATGATTATTTAAATATTGTATGTGACATGCCATGCCAAATAGACGCCAGTTGTATTTAAAATATTGAATTTTACTGTACAGAGTTTAGGGAGAGCAAATTTATTATAAACTCCATTTTAGTCATATACAGGCAGGATATTTCTCTTGATTGCTTACCAGTATTAATCTGTTTTGGCAGTAGATAACAACTTCTTATTATAAGAAATTTGAGCAAGTTGAGAGCAAAGGGCATTCAACATAGTGTTGTCCATTAAAGGCACATTATGTCTCAGAAATCAATGTTTATCAAATACTTTAGAAATGTCAATCATATGTTTAATAATGGATTTAGAGCATGTTAGATGTTTAACAGCTTAACCCATTACTTCATGAGCATTTTGTGAAAAATGGCTGTTTTCATTGAAAAGTCTCCCGTTACAAGTTCAAATTGCTATAATACTATAAAAACTGCTTCAACACTAATCTAACTTGGCACAAATGTTGACTGGACCATTGCCCTTGCAACAACATGCTCAGACTTAAATTTTCTGTTACCATGGCAACGAGGGGACATCTCAAAATTGCCAAAAATCACTATTTTGCGTTGATTTTTTCCATCATAATTGATTTCAAAGTGCTGCAACTTCTCAATGGATTGAGATAGAGTCAAATGCTTTTCAGCGTTGGTTACACATTACCTTATGATCAATCTGAGGTCATTTATAGCCTCTCACAAGTCCAAAATTTTCTTGGTATCTTTTGGTTGGGGGGCCGCGCTGAAAATGTGGTCACTTTTTTTAACAACATTTCTCAAACAAAAACAAGTGTTGGGGGCCTAAATAAGGCATTTTTTCACCATTTGAGACAACAAAAAGGGGGGGGGGGAAAGGCGTTAAAAGGCGTGTATATGAAGTAATGGGTTAAGAAAGCAGCACTAATTGTGCTGTAATGTCACATAAAGGTAGCAATATATACAGAAAGGAGTATATAGACTTCCATACAAAATACTGATTCATTATAATTATACCATTTGCCAACAAAGCAAAAGGAGCAAAGATGAACAAATGAGTGTTTTTTTCGGAAACTGTAACAAGATACAACAAAACACTCTTTGAGAATTTCAATTAAAAATGATTTCTGAGGCATAATGGGCCTTTAAATTATTTGATGGTAGAAACATCTGCCTTGGTAAGGACCGAAACTTGCCTGTAGGCCTAACACTTTACATGCTACGTAAATTGATGATCAGTCAGATATCTTAGTATTTCTTGTCATTCTCAGAAATATCAAGGTTCACAGTTTAGGTTCCAGATATTGAACTGATTTGTCACACTTGAGCTTGAAATCTCATTCAGAATTACATATTTAACTGTTGAAGAAAGAGTAACATATAACCTTGCAGCATTCATGGGTTTTTATGATGTTTTATACATTCTTTATATGATATATAATGACTTAACCAACTGGTGTCTCTTTGCTGAAATCATCACATATACATGTATATATTTATATATTATAGCGTTTTACTATTGATATAAATTCACACGTATATAATTTCTTGAATGCCTTTCTTTATAACTAGCTCTCATTCATAAGAGGTAATATTAAGAACTATACTAATGCACAGTATTTTTTGGTACTGACGTGGGTTTGCCAGTCATTTTTTGCCGTTTGAAGGTGACCACTGACTTACATTTCAAGATCTAATTCATCTATAATGAGGCATTAATATGCAGTTTTTAGCAAATTTTGAAAGTTAAAAGTTTAAAGTACTGATGCAGAATGGATCCAGAATGGATCACAGTAATCAAGGCTAATATGCTCAGCTCATTTTCTAAATATACCCATATTGAGTACTAAACTGCGTGTTTTATTAACATGATATAGAATGCAAATTGGATGCAAAACTTATCAAATATTGGAGTATGTATAAAAACTTGTAATGTATTTATGAGCAGTGACCTATAATTTGTTGGATTAGTGCAAAATGATTGTAACATGTAAGATTTAATGGTGATACAACTGTTTTGCACTGAATCTATGATATTTATAATAGCCAAAATGAATGAATGGTGTTGTTGTGTGATATGTAGAAAGTACAGTTTGTTTGCAAACTATACAAAAATTGTGTTTGATGTGCGTAGTGATATCTTTATAAAGAAACAGTATCTTTGTTCTGCTGTAGTAAATAGTTTTCTTCTATCTATCCTCAAGCAACAAGATGTGATTAGAGGTATCATTGCTGCATGTGCTTCGTAAACTTGGTCAATGCATTCTGTCTGTGCTTGCAAGCATTTCGTGATCATGATGTAGCTACACACGTCACCAGTTGTCTCCGCAAATTATGCAGTTTTGTTTCTAATGTGTCTGTTTAGATATTGCTGTATGTTGAAGCAAAGTTATTATCTAGCATTTTAAAGGAAGGAATTGTTTTTCAAGAGTTCAAGAGAATATCTTTGAACAATTTAAGTCCTTTCCTTTAAAACTTTTTGTTGTGAAAGGTTAAAAATATAAGTTTTATGTTGCACTATTTACGAGCATGTCATAAAAAAAAAGTTTAATTAAACCATCCAAGAAAACAAAAATGTGGGCACTTCCTCCCCTAGATTTTTATCTTCTAGTTCTTTCAGACTCTTATCTCAGTGTGCATCACTTTTAAGCAAAGATATACTGCATATTTTGCTTGTTTTTGGTCTTGATGATTATGCATAGTATTTTATCCATTTGTAATGTTTTACCAAACTCTTTGTATGATAGGTCAATTGCTTGATCACTGTCAAGTGAATATGTACTGTTTTTGGTCCTGTGATTTGCATCGGAGTATGTCCTTTAATATTTTATGTAATGTCTTGAGCTAGTTCTCTGTAATGGTTCTCAAATGTACATGTGCATAATTTCTTCATGTCCTAGTTTTTATCATGACCATGTTTTATGATACAGTACCATATTGTCACCTTAGTTCAGTAACAGGTTAACTTCTTATATAATTCAATAAGAGTTTACTCGTTACTGCGCTAAGATAACCAAATGCTAGTTTGTCCATTAGTATATATCACACTTCTGCACATTAGTTTTTTGAAAGACAATGATTTGATTCATATTTGGTATGCAATTTCATAATTAAAATAGGCCATATTCAAAGTTTGGTTACAATTCATTGTATTCTAATATTATAATGTAATTTATACACTGTGATTGTTTTGGATGTATATATTTTATAACTATATATCTTATATCTGTGTGGTTCTGCTTTGATGAGAGTTCATGGAGTTACTTGTCTACTTTGTGTATGACTATGTTCATTCTCTGCATATTGACTTCACCTAAAAACCTTCCCAGTTTAAACCTCATTTCAATATTATCATTTCCATAAGCCTTAAGTTAAATTACTTATTTACAAGACTGTATCTCCTCCAAAAAATGGGAATATTGTTAAAACATCACTTTTATTAACCAAGATATTGTTTTACCCTGTTTTTCAATCAGAACCTTCCTCTCATTGAATTAATGTGCATACAAAGTAAACAAATCATATGGCATTGTAATTTTTTAAAAAGAAAAAAGTTGATATGGCTCAGACAGTTCATATTGGTATAGAAATAACAAATAATTGCTCTCTTGTGCCTAAGGATTGCTTTATTTTGCCTCCAAATTTTAAAATGGCCTGTAACCTTTATTTTATATTTATTTAATTCTTTGTCAGTCGACTTGTATATAGAGATATTTGCTGCTCAGTTCAGGTCATTTAGAGTAGAATGCTATCCAAGCTTTTTACCATATTTACATTATGCCATCGCCATTTTTATTCTGCGTCTAGTGAATCAGCTTAGCTGCTGCCTGTCACTTGTTATATTTACTGCAAATTTCATTAAAGATATGCTTTTGATCAGCTTTTTCATTCTTGAAATATTTAATCTAAAAACATTAGTGATGATCTTAATGTGCGATCCTGATTAACAAATTGTTGTTTTAGTGTTTGTAGCATAAAATCATTGTAACTCTAAAATAAAAAATAATAATAGAAAAATATTGCTATTTAAAGGTAGAGCCAACAAAAGTGTTTCTTATCTTGTATTGAACATGAACTCCATTTTACAGAGAAAAAGGTGTGTCTGTTGCTTTTTTGGTCAAACCTCTTGCCTCTGACCTCAGTGGGTTCGAATCCCACCAGGAACTTTGGATTCTGTCATGTGAAAAAGCTATCCAGCTAGCTTATGGAGTCAGTGGTTCTACTCTAAAATAATGCACAGAGGGGCACCTGAGGTCTTACTTCTTTAGTAAAGCTTGAATAGTCGCCATACGACCTTTATAGTGTTGGTGTAATGTAAAACGCAACAAAATAAAATTGAATAAAAAAAACCCCAGAAAAATGCTTAACATACTCTGTGATAAATTTCAATACGTAATTAAGTCTGTTATTAAAATTTGCATAATATCAAGATAGAGGAGTTTATTTTTGTTTCACATATTACGATGTTTGCTTTGTAGGGTTATTCCAGAGAAAGAATAAGTTTATTGGTAAGGTTGCAACAACCTGCATCCCAGAATAAAAAGATACATAATGAATCTCTTGCCTATAATGTTATAAAACCGAATGGCATGTCAAGTTTCCAGCTGTTCATAGCCTTCTCTTTATTTTTGCAGACTTTTCTATTCAGTATTCTCTTTCTTTTAGTGGCTCTTTTCTTTTCTTTTGAAAATGTTTACCAATTATTTATTTTATATTTTGACACACCCCATCTTTCCAAAAAAGAGGATGGGAAACATAAGGTGACCATTTGGTTTGTCCGAGGAATGCTTTGTTGATGCTGGATCGAAGAAATACAAAAAAGTTGTTTAAATATGTTTTTCCTCAGATTAAATCAATGAATTGTATCCTATTTTGGTTTACTGTCAATTTAACTTGTGTAAGGGCTATCTAGGTGTGCCATATTATGCTAGATGGTCCTCTCTCTCAAGTTTATTCAAATAATTTGCCTTGGCTCTGAGTAGGGGCCAATGTGTGCACCAAACATTGATTTAGTCCTCAAGTTTAATGTTTATTCTGACCAGTAACTTTATGGTCGATCTTGCAAATAGGTATAAATTTTTTGTTTACAATAATTTACAATATTTATTGATAAAAAAATGAGGTTACCTATAATGTCATAAATATTGTCACCTTAGTGGAGTAAAGGGTTAACTCCTATTAAATTATATTAGGTATTAACTAAGGTGATGAATTATACTACTTTGAAAGAGGTAAGGAAAGTGGTTCATTTAGCAAATAAAGACAAAATATTTTAACTTGTTATCTATATTTTTGGTAAAGGTACAAGACTAGGTAATGAAAGGTTGTAACCCATGCTAGATTTGATATTAATGTCATACTGATTTGCTGAGATATATATATTCTATCACCCTAACACTCACAAGTGTTTTTCCTCATACATCAGTTCTGAGCGGATTACATAATTTGCGCCGTGTCTCGACAAAACCAACATAGTGCGTTTGCGACCAGCATGGATCCAGACTGGCCTGCGCATCCACGCAGTCTGATCAGGATCCATGCTGTTGGCTTAAAACCCTATTACAAGTAGAGAAACTGATAGCGAACAGCATGGATCCTGATCAGACTGTGCGGATTCGCAGGCTAGTCTGGATCCATGCTGGTTGCAAACGCACTATGTTGGTTTGTTATGACGCAGCTCAATTTTGAAGTTAACTGCAATTCTTTCATTTAAATGCACCATTAAGTTGAACACAATTTAAGAACTGAAATGCTTAAAATGAAGGGTCCTAATGTGTAAATCGTTTTGATTGACCTCAATGGTTTTTTTTAATTGCTTATGTTTGTTATATTATATATTTTACGCTTACAAGTATCTCACAGTCATGTACATTTTGCTGTTTGATCTGAATTTGTAATTATAACTTGTATATTATAATTATTTTGCTCTAAATTTGCTTGTTTTCACAATAGAAATAGTGTTTTTCTTGTATATGTTTTTTTAAAACTCTATGTAATTGTATATTATTGTTTATAACAAATATGCTATTCTTTATAGTAATCATTGTTTCTTGGCGAACAAAAGCAGGTCTCTGATGAGTTGTGAAACCTAGACTTGCTGAATCTGTGTAATTGATTTGCCCTGCTTTGAATTTAGAATGGTCCATTAAAAGTATAAGGGATTTCAATATCAAAATACAAAAATTGAGCTTACCAATAGTATAGAGCCTGGTCAGACTGCACAGAGGGGTAACTTGGTCTTCTTCTATTATAAGTAATGCTAGAAAGTGCCATGTGACCAATTGCACTGGTCTGTTTATCCCCCTGTGTCACTGTCAGTCTCTTGAACAGTTAGACTGGCAAAACAGTGAAATGTGGGGGCATCTATGTCCTTTTCACACATTTCTAGTTAATGTACAATTAATGCAATAATTAAATTTATAATCTATCAACAAGAATGTTTTTTCTGTATATCAGTATTGCTTATAGACTTATTTCATACTTTCCATAAATTTATATATATGCCACATCTTATATTACTATAAGAAAGAGTGTATTTGTTAATAACAATAAAAAAAAAGAAGTTTTAATTTGGTTCAAAATGTAAATCAGTTTAAAAATTAGGATCAAATTAAGAATAAAACCTGGGTCAAAATTAGGATCAGATGTCAAATATTAAGCACAGCTCTTGAAACTTGATTTGAAATATATCTAAGATTTCACAAAGAACTTCGAGCCAACTGTTTTTTCAAATCTGTTTGCATCAACATGGAAAATGGTTTGAAATATGATGCTAATTTTGATCCTTTATAAGTACAGAGGCTGCCCATTGCTTTGTTCTTTAATTTTATTTAAAAAGCTTATTTTTAATTTCATTACATTTTGCTAAGCAAATTTAGTTTATTATTTTAACATTGACTAAAAACACTTTTTACATGAGCTGTAATATTGCATTATACACTTAATGGATAAGTTATATTCTGGATAATATAATTTTACAATATTGATTCTTTATCTTTGTTTGTCTGTATAGCTTTCTACCGGAAATACATGTAGATGATTGTTGATTATTAATGTTTTCATTAGATTCCTTTAGAAGTCATAGAGTTATCTTCTTTCTTGTAATAGACTGTTATGTTTATATATAGTTATTTAGTTATTTTTTTTGCTCATGGTCACTCAAGACAGCATTATGACATTTTCTGGCTAACAAGGGCTGACCGAGGCTAGGAAGACGTTTTACATCATAGGTTCTTATAGGTAAAGCTGGTAGTAAACGAGAGTAAGTTCAACAGGAAGGTAAAGTTTGGACGCGCAAACCGTGGCTAGAGATTAAAAAATGGGTTAAAAAATCTTTGAACAGCTTCTCAAAGAATCATTTAAGAAGATTTTTAGCTCGACTTTTCTATGAAAAGGGGAGCTATCCTACTCGCCCCGGCGTCGGCGTTAGCGTTGGCGTCACACCTTGGTTAAGTTTTTCGTACCACCCCACTTTATTTCAGAAGTATTACAAGTATGGCTTTGAAACTTACCATACTTGTTCACCATCATAACCTCCATCTACAGACAAGAGTACATAACTCTGTCAAGGTTTTTGACAGAATTATGGCCCTTTTTTGACTTAGAAAGTGTATTGAGCTTGGTTAAGTTTTTTGTACCACCTCACTTTATTTCAAAACCATTGGAGGTATTGCTTTGAAACTGACCATACTTGTTTACCATCACGACCTTCATCAACAGACAAGAGGACATAACTCTGTCAAGGTTTTTGACAGAATTATGCCCCTTTTTGACTTAGAAAATACATTGAATATGGGTAAAATCCACTTATTGCCTTAACCCTTTGAGATATTGCTTTGAAACTTTTAATGCTATTTCACATCATTACCCCCATCTGTACGCAAGAGAAGGTAACTCTGTCAAAAATTAAGGCCTTTTATCGACTTAGAATCTTGGTTAAGTTTTTAGTACCAGTCCACTTTTTGACTGAACTGTTTGAGATATTAATTTGAAAGTTGGAATACTTGTTTACAATCATGATTCCCAAACATGTCCAGGAGAAGGTAATTCTGTCAAAGATTTTATTTGAATTATGGCCATTGTTCACTTTAAAAATACAGAGATTCTTGTATTGCCTTTTACTGCAAAAACTTTTTTTATTGGCAAGCAATAAAAAAGTCGAGCGCGCTGTCTTACGGACAGCTCTTGTTGATCTGGTAGTGGATGAAGTGTCATTATCTAATTTTAGTGAAAAATTTATTCATTTTCTTTATTCTTGTTTCGTTTTAGACCATCTGCACGATCAAGTACAGCACGATCAGTTTTGTCGATGAGTCGAAACACGCCTCTTGATGATGATGAAGATGACGAAGAGGAAGATACTGCTAATAAGACTAACGACACTACTGCTTGATTACCATGACAACGGTGATTGGATAACGAAAAAACATTTTTGGGCGTTATTTTTGTTATTTTAATATTAATTCGGAGCAATAAACTTGTAAATATATTATATTGCACCATGTTAAACGTTGATAGAAAAGCAAGTTTTGTTGAAATGCTGTTTTCAGTTCTGGTGCATGGAAATGTATTTTAAAATTTTTGAACTTCTGAAAAAGTTGAAAACGGAAAGAAAAAAAAATAAAAAAAAATATATGTACAGACTCTTGAATAATTATACCATGTATAATATACATGTATGTGTATTCTCTTAGCTAATAATGTAAACAAGTGATAATACTGTACCTAGGTGCCTGTTTAATTTGTGATATAAGCTTATTAATATTTGTGTGAAGGGGAACAACTCTATGTATGCATGTACTTTACTATGTTAGGAAATATTATAGTGTTGATTTGTAGCTCAGTTAATTTTTAGGTCAGGAGAATTTTCCAGCCACAAACAAATAATTCACTTTAATATAGTACTCTGAAACGTCTGGTCAGAAATACTTTAAATATAAACTTAATGACATCTATACATGCTCCCCATGTTAGTATTTTTTTAAATAAATCTGAATGACCTTTTAAAGGGGCACTGGAGATAAAGATATTAAAATACTTGAATGACATTGTCAGATGAAAGAATTGATGGATCTAATCTGGATTTGGTTTGCAGTACCCTCGGGGGGTTTTCCTTATTAACTAGTTATCCAAAAATGGAGCATTTCTTATTGAACAATTTATTTGTTTTAAACTAGTTCTATATTAGAATCCTTCATTTCCTTGCATGAATTGAGATCTTTTTTCGATGTTTTTTGAAATGTTAAACATTTTATTCTGTTGAGCTGTTTAGGGTGATTATTTGCCCTCCTGTTAGGTGTTAAGGATGTAAACTACTGCTTATTAGCAAAATATATCTTATTTTTGTATTTTTGTTTTTGTATTTATGCAAGCCAAGCTCTTTGTTTTATTACCATTTATATAAATTTTTTTGCTTTCATTTTTATAAGTTACTGTAAGTTTTGTGCGAAAGGTGATAATTGTTCATTTACTCCCGACGTATTTCTCCACGATATTGTTAATAACCGATTATCATTTCGAAAGATGGATTACAAAAACTTAAGGATTTTACCAAGCACTTAGATTATAACAATGCGACTGAACTTCATACTTACCATTATATATTAATTTCATTGGTCACTAGAGATGATTTGATGTATGTTTCGTTTTTTGTCTTTTGTTTGGATAAATATTAAATAATCAGGTACAATTTTATCATAAATGAATACACTAGGACACATTTTTTAATGTAGTTAATTATTTAGCTAATATGATAAAGGCTGTAGCTTATTAGGATAGAAGGATGTTTTTCCCCCTGCAAAATATTTACTAGGTCAAATAGATCACAGTATAGAACTAACATTTTATCCCTGCTAATGCATTCCATTTAATTACAATATTGAAACTAATAATATTAGTTTTCCACATAGGTAATTGATGAAATTTGTTTCGTCTTGTTTTGCTCTGAGCAAATCGCATGAGTTTCTTGCTTTTTTATATGAACGTGAGCGTAGTGTTTTACCTGACTAACAAGGCGCAATAAGCTTATGAACTAGTTTGAAAAGCTATGGCTTTAGTTGTAATACTGAATCAAATTGTTGAAATAAGTGCAAAAAGTTCATCATGGATGAGCGTCCTTTTGATCTGGAATGTGATATTGATATAAAAGTTCATTTCACAAAAATTCGCTAGCAAAAAAGATTGTTAGAGTGTTAGATTATATATGAACTATATACAAAACATTCTGTTAAAGATATGAAGAATGAGTTGCTGTTAAGAATTTGTGAATGAAGTGATGTTTAGACTGTCTCTGTTTGTTTATGAATATAGATCTACGTCATGATTAGATCTACGACATGATGAATATAGATCTTTTTCATGATGAATATAGATCTACATCATGATGAATATAGATCTTTTTCATGATGAATATAGATCTACATCATGATGAATATAGATCTTTTTCATGATGAATATAGATCTACATCATGATGAATATAGATCTACATCATGATGAATATAGATCTTTTTCATGTTACTCAAGTCCTAGTTTTCATAAGTGTATCAGAAAAAGAAAACTGGAGAAAAATTGGAATAAGCATAAAGTGTAAATTTTTTAAATAATTTAATTGATTGACAGGTGTTTTTTCTGTTGAATGTAAAATGAACTTGATTTAATAAGTTTTAACATTATTAATTTATTGATAATTTTAATTATTTTGAAGTATATTTAACATAAGAACTAAGATTCTTATTTTCAAGATCGTTATAGGAATAAATACTTGAAATCTTTGATAAAATAGTCATATTGTCGGCAAGTTTTTTTTTTGTTTCACAGTTTTCTTCCATTATAAAGCATTGGACCTATTATTATATATTATGTATATACTGTTATCTATATATATATATTATGTTTGCATTGGCTATTAGCAATATTAATTTTGTTTAAGGTAAATATTAACATAGGTACTTTAGTTTTCTTTGTATTTTTATTTCTAAATAACTGAACAATCTCCAGACATGGATTACATTTGTTAGATATAATGTAAAATTTTCCAGGTAACTTGTGTTCACCCATATGAAACCGTGAAAGTGTCAATCAATTATTGTCCGATATCAAATTCTCAATGTGTAATCTCAAAACGAACATATGCTTAAAGAAGTATGTTTCACTTGCCATGCTTTTAGTATAGATAGGGCTTATTATATAATTGGTGTGATTGAAATAGGACAAAAATAGTGCTATCATTTTTTTTACATATTCATAATATAGTTGACCTTTTGTTTAGATTTGTTTTTTTGTGTGCTAAAACTGTTAGTTCTAAGTGCCGTAAAGACAATGAAAAGCATAAATTCACATGAACATTTTTTCATAACATGATGTTTTAAATGGTTTCCCAGCTTTGAATAAACTTACACATAACAAAATGGTTGAATGGCTAACAGTAAGTACAACATATCATTCATAATTGATTCAAAAATCACGTGGCTCCATATGTAGTTTAAAAAATACTTCCCATATATTGAGAAAAAAATGGAATATTTAAGCAATTATACTTAGTTGGATTTAGTTGAAAATAACTTCTTCTAAATAATGATTGAGAAAGGGATGATTTGATTGTGCCAAGACTTGCAGTTATTTGTTCATTGACTGGTTTAATTGTTTATATTTTGAAGAATATAATTTTTCGTGGTAACTGAACATTTATAATGTTTTGTTTTGTTATATTTGCATGGTTAATATACTCACGTCAAGCATATCAAATTTCTTTACATGAAATCTGCCTTACTCTTGTATATTGAAAAAGAGGATAAGTTTTATAACTATTGTCTCCTGTACAATACTATAAACGCCACTTCTGAAGCTGTGGATGTTCAACTGGTCAATTACCATGGTATTGTATTTATAGTACTGAATAGGCCATACTAATTTTGTGACTGTAAAGGCATTTATATGAATATAAATTCAACATCGGCAGAAGATGGTGTAGAAATAATGTACGAGCCGTCATCAGTCGTCATTTAAGACCTTAGCATTATTATTTTCCTTTTATGATAACATTTGTAGTCTTCTTCTAATTCACAGTTTTATTTCTTTTTGAATTTTTTTTCTTGTATATTTTTTTCTCTTATTCTTCACTTTGCTGTAGCTATTATATCCATGTATGAACATTTTGTAATGGGAACAAAGTATTTTTATGAATCTATCATTAAAAAGTTTGAAAGGAAACTAGTATTTGTTTTCATGTTTACATGGTTTATCCACCCTGTATACAAGATGATTATGGATGCTACCACGTTAAAAGTCACAATGTGGCCTTTTCAGTGTAGTTGGCATCACACAAACGTAACTATGTAAATTTTTATTCATTGTCGAACCGAGGATTTGTTTGTGCATCTGACAGCATCTGCGTGACACGTGTCATGTATTCTTGAGTAACTCCACATCTCATCTATCACGACTATGTCTCTGATCACGGAGATTTTTGCTTTAAATTCCCCAAGGTCTTTTCCCTTTTTATAAATTGGGACTTTTTTAAAAAAAAAACCCTTTTAAAAGTTTGAGTTCATAAATGCGGAGATAACCCTTTAATCCTATATTCTTTATCGTTGACGGTCAAATTTTAAAATTACGCTTCTTCAGACCTTATTGATTCCCATACAAAACCCATAATCTTGCCCTGGTTTGACTTAATGTTACCCTTTGTGATCTTAGAAATTTTCTGGTTAAAAGTTTTGCATGCAAAATGTCAGGTATTTACTTTCAAGCTTCCTTCATGCCTTAAGGATCATTCTAAGATGCCACTGTTACAAGCCCATATTTTAGCATATATGACTTTGTGACCTAAGTTAAGACTTGATAAATGTTTTGCATATAAGATAGTCTTCAAAACTACTAAATCTTTACACATGCCTTCAGGATCATAAATAAAGGTCACCGTTAAAGTCCTATATTTTTCACATAAGCCTTTTTGTAAACTTTAAAATCCTGGTTAAAGTTTAGCATACAAGATCAGTCTTCAAACTTTGAAACTATTCACTTTGAATCATCGTACATGTCATCGGAATCTCAATTTTATTGGCAACTCCAAGACCAATACTCTCGATGTATTTTGATTGAATAGAACAATGTGGAAACTACTTTTCGTAGTATGATTATTTTTCACGATGTGGACAATAGTGCCTCTTATAACCAAGAAAGATAGAAGGCTACACGCTGGCTTCTGTCGTTCTTGGAGCCATGACCATACGTTTTATATTTCCGTATAGGGGAGTTTCTCAGCTATCAAACGAGCTCTTATTTAACAAATCTTCCTTTGAAAAAAATACATTCATGTTAAACACGTAGCATACTGACAAAAGAAAACGCCTCGCGGACTTGAAGCCTATGCAACCTACTGCAATAAATATTACAGAAATTGTGTATTTTTACGAAAATAAGCCGGTTTTAAATACTTTAAAGAGTAAAGCAAATAAAAGCCAATGCAATTTAGCGTTTGCGAAAAAAGTGTTTCCGGCTACTAAATTTTTTAATAGGGAGTCTCAAGGCGTTGCATTTGCACAATAGCATTTGGTCGGGACAAATACATAGGTGACAGTGGTCTCCGGAAGATATAGACTTACATTCATTACAGAAGGAATTGCCGCGCGGACTTGAGCCTATTCCACATGGACATTTTTCGATCCTGTTTGTGGGCTAACACATTTTGTCTTGCATTCCCGTTTAAAACGAGCCTCAAAGTTAATGCTCTAGCAAATCTGCATACAAATCGACGATGGTGCTACGGAAAATGATGTCTTTTTTTTTTAAAGAAAATACCTACACGTTATATATCTCCAGAAGCAATTGCCGCACTGAGTGAAGCATATGCCACACGGGCATTTCGCGACAAGCACAATGTGCCTTATATTGTCGTTACATGAGACTTGAGCTATGTAACCGTATAAAGGGAATACTGACAGTGGGCTCCGGAAATGGTGTACTTGTTTTTAACCAAATATGTAAACTATACATGCTTACACAATGAAACGCCGAACGTTATGCTATGCGGACATTTTGCGACCTTCTTTCTGACAAACATGTAAACATTGCATACATATAGAGTCCTGTATATGACATCACAGGGATCTGTATTATCAAAACAATATATAAATCATGTGTTCTTTATTTCATTTCACAGGGATCTGTTTAAAAAATTATATAAATCATATGTCTTGTATATGACATCACAGGGACCTGTATCGTCTAAACAATATATAAATCATGTGTCCTATATCATGTGTATATCACATTACAGAGATCTTTTTATTACATGCTTTTCGGTGGTTTATAGAAATATATCAGTGAGTTAAAAACTGGTAATTTCACAGTTTTAAACAGTGAAATTATCAATTTGATAATTTCACTGTTTTGAATTTAAGCCCTTATGTTGGGGTTCATGAAACACCAGCGTCACAGTATGGAAACCAATTAATATAGGACGTCATAAATTGACTTTCAAGTTGTATTATCATTGGCGCGTTTTCATTAAATATTAGGTAAAAATGTCTTTTTGGAAGCTTCTTTGCATATAATAAAAAGAAATTTTGTTTAGTTCAGAGTAAGATTGGGAAATATATTTCACCTTGTGAACACCAAAAGATCATATTTCACTCGTGGCTGCGCCACTCGTGAAATATACCTTTTGGTGTTCACTCGGTGAAATATATTCCGATCTTACACTGAACTAAACAAATATCCTCTATATAATCTTAGCAATAATAAATCATAAATCTTGTATTTGGCATCACAGGGACCTGTATCATATAAACAATATATAAATCATGTGTGCTGTTTATCACATCACAGGGATCTGTATCATCTAAACACTGAATAAATAGTGTTCAATATTTCATTTCACAGGAATCTATATCATCTAAACAATATATAAATCGTGTGTCCTATATATGACACCACAGGGATCTGTATCATCTAAACAATATTTAAATCATATGTCCTGTATATCATATCACAAGTAAAACATATATAAATCATGTGTTTAGTTTATCACATCACAGGGGTCTGTATCATCTAAACACTGAATAAATAGTGTTCAATATTTCATTTCACAGGCATCTATATCATCTAAACAATATATAAATCGTGTGTCCTATATATGACAACACAGGGATCTGTATCATCAAAACAAAAATAAATCATGTATTCTATATTTCATTTCACAGGGATCTATATCATCTAAACAATAAATAAATAATTTTTAATACATCTTCTCTCATTTGCCAACTTACATAAAAAGTAAATTACGTAACTCTATTACCTCAAATATTTAACATGAAAGTTCTGTAGATGTGAGCTTTTTCAAGCGACGTTATATATCCGTCTATTACTCCTTAAATTGTGTTTCTAAATTTTCCGTTTAACATTGCTTTGCACATTATTTTAAATTTTATATTATCTATTCATATATATTATTTTTTTGTGAAAACAAGAACATATAATGTTTTTAAACATAATTCAAATATTTCTGAGTATTTTTTGTTTTTTATAGAAAAATTCATTTTGAATAAATTGCTCAACAGTAACCATTCCGATTATTCATATTTATCAAAAATACATAATATTTAACATCTTATGTTTTATCTAACACGTGTTTATACATGTATAACATATTCCCAGTTTCTCATTTTTTGTTGAAAATATATAAAAAAGGCATTTACTATTTCTGTCAACATTTCATAACTGTCCCCTACTCAATATATTATATGACAATGAATTGCATTCCTTCTCTGATTTTGTTTATTAAAACAGTACGCATAATACTTATCTTATACTTGATTTAAATTAGATAGAAAAAAAACAGAATCCCTAAAGAATGCCCAACACGACAACATTGAAAATGTTGCAGGCTCGGTTTGATTGAGCCTGTTCATTGAAGGTAGTGGTAACTGCAAGCAACCAGCAACTTATAAGCAAAATTCAACATTTAATACGAACAGGTAAAATTTTGAAACAATCGCAGATGTGTTCATAAGGCGGTTATTATGGAATCTTCAATGTGATTCGTAAGTTTCTAAATCACCATCTCTATAAACATTAAATGACTATCTGATTTATCCCCTTCTTATCAAGATTCAATACATTTTCTTCTTTTAAATATATACACAACTTTTATTTTTTTCCAAACGCAGCCTTTTTATTGAAATGTTTAACAATCCACCATAGAAACACGTCAATTGTTTGTTGAAAATAAGAAGAGATTTAAATCATCATTTTTAACAACGAAAGATTGCCCCTTATCTTTTACATGCTGCATTGCATCACTTTCCCTTCCGCCTCTAAATTCTTTCGGTTCCAGTGTTGACATATCAATATTACACTCCTCACCTTCACTTGTTATACAACAATATGATACAATCACATTCACAGTATGAGGAATGTCAGGAAGTCTATCAACAAACTTCCGCCATGTTGTCAAGCTCATTTTCACCATAAACAGCTCAATGTGCTTCAAACTTTTCATTTCAAAAGGGAACTTTATTAAATTGTCAGTCAAATTAAATCTACTTAACTCAAGCTTACTGAGATTGTGTAATAATGAAAGTACTGAGGCAAGTCTCCCTGTTACATTTGGAGAATATAATTGAGAATTATTAGACACACCTACAGACAACATAAGTTCTTTCAATTTGTTAGATTTTCTAATAATATCAAATACTTTCTCATGATTACCATTATCCAATGTCTCAAATCTGAATACTTCAAGGCTTGTAGTATTAGCATATGTCACATCAATGCCAGCAGCCACATGAAGATAGCGAAGCTGTTTATGTTTTGATAGATCTACATCATGGTGCTCACTACACTCACATTTAATTTTTTCAAGATGTATTTCTTCAAGATGACTGTTTCCCGCAAGAAAATTACAAAATGCAATAGTATCAATATGACTCATTGTTATATATCTCATTCTTAATGCTACAAGATTGGTCACACTGGGTAGACAACTTATAGTTGTTTTACACACTGGTTTCATTCTTTCACTAAGAAAATTCCCATCAAGAGACAGAGATTTTAATGTTGAGGCATTCACTTTAATTGTGCCAGCAACAGAGTCGTTAACCTTATCATTCACCTGTTTATTACTCTGTGTACTCGACAATCCTTGGTCATATTTTATGTCAATTCTATGTAGACGCTGAAACTTTGATAAACGCTCAGAAAATAAAAAAATTCTGGTGTTAATGTCATATACAGAAATAGAACGAACATAGTCAGGAGCTATTTGCTTTTGATCAATACTTGAACAAACAATTTCATTGTTACTAGTTATAACCAAATTTCCTATATAAAATACAGGACGATTCTCTGTAACAGATGCATTGCATTCTTCTATTGACTCAACAATAAGTTTTTGAATATTACTTATGCAACTAAGATCACTATTTATTGTTCTGTATTCCTTTTGGTCATTTGACACAATATCATATATGTATTTTGAAACATCTGTTGCTAATCTAGGCTCTAGACCACATAGCATTATGATAACATTTGACTGCTCTAATATGTTATTTACTGTTGAACATTTCTGGAAAACATCTTTAACAAACTGAGAACACCTGTCTAATTTAACATTTTCTCTACTCTCGGGTGAACCTTCTTCAGTTATGAATTTGATAGCAATGTTCACCGCAGCCAGAAATTCTTGCATCGATTTGTGAATAAAAGAGAACAACAACCCCGGTGGTTCAGATACAGATAAACTTGGACATTCATCTTCTGTCAGAATTCCAAGTTTCATACACCTTTCTCGAACTTCATCAGATATGTTTAATTCGTTAAACACAGAAATGTCATATGTCAAAGACTTTACCTTAGGACAATTAAACAATGTCTCGTAAGCCAACTGTGACACATCATATATGAGATGGCTGTTTATTTTACATTTGTTCTTAGCTGTTAAATACTGAGGAAGTTTGACCTCCTGAGAATCCTTCTTACTTTCTGTACAAGTTCCTGTAGTTTTCAATTCATTCCAGGTAAAGAAAAGTTCCAACATACTGGCGTAGATTGCACACCTTGATGTTTTGTCCAGCTTTCCATCAAACCATAAACATATTAATTGTTGAAGCATAATTGGAATTTGTTTCAAAGTGACCAAAGACTTTTCTCTTAGCCTTTTCTCACAAGCACTAGCCTCTTTACAATCACGTCTTCTTGCATTCAATTGTAAGACTGTGTTTTTTACCATAAATTTCTCACTATCTACGTCAAATCCTTTTAGATTCAGTAACTGCTCAATCTCTGAGTAACCTATTCCTAAGTTGTGAATCTTCCAACGCCGAGACGTTGTTACGATTGTGTAATCCTTGGAAAGATCCTGCTGTGGCAGACCAATGGTCTGGAATTGATCACATGTCTTCCTTTCAGTAGACCATTCGTCTAAGCCATCAAGCAAAATCATAATCTTTGCAGAGTCCTTTTCAAGGACTTTGCTTAAAAGTTCATTATCATACTGACTTTTAAGCATATCACGGACAATATCTATGTCTTGATTGTGTCTGAGAGAAATGAAAAACATGAAATCAAATTTCTTCATTGGTTCAATATCATTAAATCTGTCGTCTACATGTTGTTCGTCACTGTGTGCCATACACCAACAGTTGATCAAATACTTACAAAAGCTACTCTTCCCAGACCCAGCATCTCCAACAACATATATAGATTTCAGAGGGACTCCATTCTTTATGAAGATCTCTGACATTGACGATATTTCTATTTCTTTAATCACTCCTTGATCTCCTTTTATTTCACTTGTTATAGTTGGCCTAACATAAATTTCTCTAAAGCTACATTTCTGACCTCTTGGTAGTAAAGGTGTTGTTGAAACTTGCAATAGAGTTTTGCGATATTTTTCTATCAGCTGCTTTTTAAATTCTAAAAAATAAATAAAACGAAGACGTAGAACACTTATATACATTTTGTACTTGTAAAAGAATTATGTCTGGTTAAATGTGTGGTCGTATTTAATAATTTTAAAATTGCCTTTGTGAAATAGAGTATCTTTGTAAAGACAATCTGTAAGAAATTCTGTACACCTCTTCAGAAAAAAATAATTCTTTTTAGTTATATGCAATTCAAAGAAAAATCAGAATGTATTTTTGAGAATTTTATCACTTAACTTTCTACATACCCTCGTGTAAACAAACTTAACAAAAACATAAGCTCACCTAATTTGGCCTTCTCCAAGTCTGACTGACTTTGATTCGTGGAATTTTCTTTCGTAATCTTTTTTATTTTCTGCAAAACAACATTATTAAATCAGTATGGAAAGTATAGTTAAAATATGTATTCAATTATTAAAGATAATAAGATGTTTACAGACATTGCTTAATGTGTCTTGCCGTCAATTAAGACGCCTCGGCCAATTAAAATCAAATCAACAAATTAAGGTATATACATGGAATTATTATGCAGTTCAGTGAATTACCCTCCTTGGTTGATTTAGAAACTGTCATAAGTACTTTAATGTTAGTTTCTGACAACCTAAATGTGGATAAAATACATAGACACCTTCCAATCAATGTGAACTTTGGCTTAGGAGATGATGGACAATCTAAAAGCACCTGTAAGTAGGGTTCAGTTGGCATTTTTAGCTCCAAATGGATGCAATATAGCCAAAAATTGGGTTTTAAAGTGCTGTTAAGCCCAGAGGAACTATAGTACTACACAAAATACTTATATTTACACATCCATCCTTGATATGTTAAAGCAATATTTATCAATTAGTTTTAGTGTTTAATGGACATTTACGCCATAAAAGCAAATTCTTAAAGTAGAAAAATAGAGCAGAGGTAATATAAAAATACTTAGTTACACCCAAAATGCTACTCTGTATGCACAAATGGTGTGTTATACATAATCAGGTCAATATGCAGTATTTTTTTTAATATGTTTACATGTCTTTAAGTGACATTTTGGCCATCTATCGGTATATAGTGGGTGTGATTGTTGGATGTCAAAATAAGTTTCATTTTGCCATAATTCCTTTCAATTCATTAATTCGCATGAACGATACATAACTCACGTGACGATAAGAAATTTCTGTAAATATCAATTAAGAATATACCTGCAACGTTCAACCTATAAAAAGAGTGGGACAGACCTTTTTATATTTTAGTCGGATTTATTTATTATCCTAAACATGTTCCATTATAAACTGTTGGTCAATTACCATTATTAAAGCTAGTCCTTTGAAATATATAGTCAATTTAGCTCAACTTGACAATGAAAAGATTAGCATAATATCACTTTAATCTTCTTCCAGAAAGTCTGTTGGTAATGAATTATTTCAGTTTTGGTTAAACTCACTTATTTTGTGATGGATAAAACCCTCCCTGTCACATACAATTCTAATTTTTTGCAGCAGTTTTATAATGAAAATAATTTGTTTGGTTACCTGGATGATTTTATGGACGTTCTTACAAAAACTGGCTGTACAATAGTAAATTATGGATGAAAATCACATGTTAACATTCATTTTCAGAATAGTAGTATTCGGAATATGGCATTATGGCGCACGTTGGAAGAAAAGGAATTTAAAATCGGCTGTAGAGCAGTGCAGTTACATCCATATTATTGGTAATTATATAAGAAACTTCATAAATGATTAGATACAAGGATATAAAACATTCAACATTCCCTTTAGGTCAGATTACTGTATTGTAACACAGTCAGCGATTGGCTGCAAAAAAGTGCAGGGAAAACCGTAAGATTCAATGGGAAATCAGTTGACTGGATGAAAATGTAATGTTTACAAGTATAAAAATTATTTAAGAAACTTACATTGCATTGTTTTCTTATGAAAATGAACTATTTCATAAGTATCTAGGATAATTTCTAATTTGGATATTTGCATTTTAAAAAAGTTTGTCTTGTGATCAGCAAAAAATTTCAGTGAAAAGGGGGGTAATCATGTTTTGGGACATTTTGCGAAATATTTGGTTGGTCAATCCTATATAACTACATCATTTTAATGTGTCGGGCATGTCATTCTTGTAGAAAAATCACATGTTTAGCATGAATACTCAATTTTAAGATTGGAGGTTGGTAAAGTGGCCATTTCTTATATTGTTTGTCTATGGAATAAATAATAAGCAGTTTGACCTAAAATATAAATAACCTACACTCAAATTTCAACATTGTTAGTAAATAAATCATGGGAATTAATATCTTGGCTTTGAGTCTTTTGATAATGGAGAAGAACTTTTCGCTTATGTAGAATTTAGAATGATAAATGTGTACACTAATACATAAGAGAATATATAATTTAAAATGATACATATATTAACCACCTCATTTGTCATGAACAAATATTTCAAGTCTGGCTTATATCATCTGAATATTTTACAAAGTTGTCGAATATCCAACTAGTAATGTAGTCTCAAATATTTGTAAGGTTTCACTTCGATTTTTATCTCCTGATATATTTTTTTTCCACAGATAACCCATGTACGCAATTATCAAAGATATTATTAAGACAATCATTCTGGAAGATCATAATTATGATGACCTGTAAAGTTTTTAAAGCCCAAGTTTGAGGACGCAAGACCCCGTTCGACGGAAAATTAACTGGTCCTAACAGCTCCCTCTTTATCACTATGAGCTCAAATGAGATACAAAGAACAAATCGGTATACCTCTTTCTGCTCGGAAACCACTGTCTCAAGATCAGAAACTTTCTTTTTCAAATCCCCAAGTTCTTTTTCAACTTCTAGTTTTCCCTCCCTTTCTTTACATAGTAGTCTTTCAATGTCAGTTAACTTCTTTTTCAGCTCCTCATATTCTTCATTTGTTGATTTCCGATCTTTTGCCATTTCTTCTTTAATTTGTTGCAGAATTTTCTCAAGGCAATCAGTAGTAATTATGAAGTCTTTCTGCTTCAGCTAATATAAGATACAAGTTTTGTTACATTTTCATTTTGAGAACTTGTTGTTATTTGATTTACAATACTTACTCTTCCAAATGGCATATTGTATGTAAGTTTGGTTCTTAATTTTAAATTTTACCTCACAAATATTTGCCATAACTTTCCCTGCGGACTTTCAAAATCTAAATCTTTTTATGAACCGCAACAAATAATTTCAGATGATGAATAGCTGAAGCTACTCATTGCAAAAGAGAAACATCTCAGAAGGTAGTCCCAAAAGTAAATGTGAGTTTTAGCTCCGCCCACTTTCTTATTTATTTTTCATCTTTGTTTTTCACAAATATGATATGTATTTGGCTGATATAGCACCATATTTCATTGGTAAAATCAAATAATCTTTTTGTACCAACAAACTCAATGTCGTATTTGTACATTGTGACATTTTACATGGATTTCTATATGATTTTATTTAGCTAAATCAACTTTAGACAATTTTGCACTTGATTATGATTTAATCGTATTGAACACATTCAATTTCCATAAAAATGTGTTTTAAATCGGAATGTTGTATTACCAATCATTGTAACTATACTTTATAGAGATTTTACACTTACATTTTCGAGCATTGTTATTGCTTGTTGAGACTCCGGGCGGTTTTCGAGTTCCTTACTATCTTTTAGAATTGCAATCATATCATCTATGTAAGAATTAGCATCATTTTCCTCTAATTCCGTACAGCTTGAATGAAAAATCTCATTTCTACACTTTCGTACCTATTAAATTGAAAACAAAGCTTAAGTCCAACCTCAGTGTCTGCAAAGTGTTCAGAAAAAGACATTTTGTTTGGGGATTTCAACTGTTAAAGGAGGTACATATCTTTCAATCATGAAAAAAACTGGTAAGAACTATTCCAATCTAATTTCTAAATTACTCTCACAAATAAATGAACTTTGACGCTTAAAATGCAATAGGCCTAAAATTCTACATATGCAAAAACTAAACAACAACAAAGAAACATTGGAATTATATGGATTTACCTTTGTAAAGATGTTTGATCCTGTAAAATTGCATCCAAAGTGACTATGAAAATAAATGTTGTTTAAAATAACATGTATTAACCCTGCACAATCAGTGTCATACGCAGATGGTTTTTCCTTGTACCCAGGAGCATCTATAAAACATTTACAAATGCTCCATGGATGTACTGACCACTGCTGGGCATTGGTGTTTTTCCAATTCGGTGCAGGTGGTGTGGATGCACAGTTCTTTATGATATAGTCATATATGGCGCCACATATGTTCTCTGGACAAGCAGCATTTTTGTCCTTAGGAAAGAAACAGCTACATTTGACTTGTCCAAGAGGACACTCTCTTTTTCCAGCATTCATTACTTTTTTGTGGTCTGGCTTCAGAGTTTCAACTTGACAGGTTCCACATGTTACAGTCGGTGGTATAGATTTTGATTGTTGAATACTATCTCGGATATGCTGATGCTGTTTGATAGCTAAGTCATTACAGAATGGCGCAAGCCCGTCGGCTAAATATCTAAATCCCAAAACTGCCTTGACCCACTGTCTATACTTTTTGTTTTCTAATTGAAGTTGATGTGCCATCTTGATACTCTGTCAAAATCTAAACAAAATGAAAGAACATTTAATTGACATTTTATACAAATAAGTACATTTTGGACATTTTGGATTACAATGCGAAGTCTTATTTATGATACATGATGTAAAAGACTGAATATGAGGGGAAATATTCTAAGGTTGGAGGAAAAGGATTTGGTACAACGATATCACCCTCTTTTATTTCATCGCGAACTGTAAAAATACTACTGAAAATAGTTTGATCTTTAAACCTGTTTAACATGTTGTGATCCATTTTGGATCACCTGATGATAATTGTTCAAACTTACCTTTTTTACACAATACGTCTGTACATGTTTTTAAATAACAAAATGAACTTTTAAAATAAAAAAAAATCATTTTTGATCCACTATTTTAGGCCAGTAGAATTTTATTTTTAAATCTAGATCTATGTGTTAAATAATTAATATTGTATTTGTCTATATTACTCATAAGTGTATATATTTTTCATGTACATGTACTTGCTTTTTTATTAGATCTTGACGCAATATTATTCTTTGTGATATGTCGCTAATGCCTACCAACTTTCTTGATTATACTCAAACGCTACATAATTCTACAATATTTAATACCTAAATTTAACAAATAACAAGAAATGCACATGCAGTTGATATTCTGCGGTGAAATATATGGACATCGAAAAAAACATTTTCATATATTATATTAAATTTCCACTAGTTTTTAATGAGCATATATTTTGTTCAAATTGGTAGCACATGCATTTGTTATCAAACAAAAGTGGTTTCCATTTCAAGGTGTGAGTGAGATTTGATAGTGAGTGTAGCAGTTTTTCTGTGAAAGACAGTTGGAAACCATTTATCAGGGGAGTTCCTAAAGGTTCTATATTGGGGCTAACTTTATTCTAATGTATGTCATCGATAAGTTATTCTGTAAAAATGTTTGCAGTCGATACTAAAGTCCATAAAAAGTATATTCCGCAAAAGACTGCGACGATTTTCAATTTGATCTAAACACACTTGAATTATTTGCCAACCATTGGTTTCTACACTTTAATGAAAGTAAAATGCATTGTTCTAAAAAATCAGACAGTCTTTACAATTTCACTTTTCTTGGAATGGAACTGCGTTGTGTGAATATATTTGTCAGGAGAACTTGGTAGTTATTATATCTAATACATAAAACCAGTGGACTTGCAAAATAGCTAACTTGAAAATTGAGTTAAAACGAGGTGCTTGAAATTTATTTACATCCGATATGATTAAGACATTGTACACGTATGTAAAGTGCCTGGGACTTGCTAATGATACGATAAACTTGTCTCGCTCGGTGTCATAAGATCTGTACGAAACTTATAAATTTACTCCTAAGCAATAAATACTTGTAGGACTTAGTGTCTCTTTACTAATAAATTTCTTTTATGTTATCACTGATTGATTTAAATAACATTTTTCAAGTTGAGAATACAAATCAAATGGTGATTCTAACAATGCCTTTGAGACAAGCAAATCGCATGCAATCTAGGTGTTACTATGATCTATTCTATAGAATAATCGGTATGCAAAATGACCAATATTAAAATGATTTGTAAAATTCGGTGTTTTTGTATGTAAAATATGAGAACAAGAGATCTTTAACAAAACTATATACAATAGTAAAAATACCTTAGTATACGCAATTTTAACGCAATTTATGTATCATGTAAGTTTGCAGTATTAACACAGTGCGTAATTACGGTATACATCATTTAAAAACTTTTTAGCCACGTATGTCTCTAAGTATAACAAATATATGATTTGTTGAGTGTTAGGACAGGGCTTTTTATTTAAAATTTTTCTTTTTCATAACAAAAATGAATGACACTCTTGAAACTAAATACGTTATTAGCATTTTGTTACAAGGAAGCCAAATCCTAATGCTATTATACTCGGACAAGATTGGACATGGATTTTCTTTTCTAAAACTATTTTACTGATTTTTTTCTTCAAATATCTCTGAATTTCTTTTTGTGAATAATTTTTGACAGGTACGTTTTTAAAATATATCTTTTCTTTATAATCATCAAATTGTTCTTATATAAAGCTTGAGTTCTGTTTAAGTCGGTGCTAGCGGGTGTGGGGGACGTTAGGTTTTATTCACCACTGCTGATGAAATCAATTAAACGCAGGTAGCCCATTCGCAAGCAAAAATTGCATTTAAAGATAATAAGGTTGCCATTCAATTAAGATTGATCTTTAAACTAATCAATATACAAGAAGTCTCAAGCGTCTTTTATCAAAAGAACGTGCACAGTTTCGGGTCGATTTCCATGTAACTTTAATTCTGACTGTAAATGATCTTAAAATAAAATTATGCAATCAAATTGTCTATGACAAATATGATAATGCAGTTAATTTCATAGAATATATATTTAAGCAGTAAAACCTTCTATGCCATATATGGGAAAAAACAACAACAACA